TATATATATATATATATAAAATATTCACTACATTTTTCAGAATTGTATGCACCTCTACATCATTTTCTAGATTCTGCTTCCATCCACATAAATTCAAACTGCCTTCTGTATCAACCATATCCACTTATCCAGTACTTAAACTATAACTGGGGTACAGAACATGTACCCTCAGGATTGCATATAGATTGCTAGCATTTGTTTTTCATCCCTTTGGATTCCCCAAGAATTAGAACAGGACCAGAAATTCCTAGGTGTATTTAAGATCCTGTTATTTAGTTTAATTTTAAATTAGATTTTAAATACCATCTGTTTTTCAAGACGTTTTAATAAAATAAAATATCTATTAAATAACAATGTAAGAATGAACACTCTTACATAAAATAAAGTAAAATGAAATAAAGATTTGTCTCCTCAATGATAGAAAATGGAGAAAGGGTGTCCCTTTAGAGATGCAAAATGGCATGTACATAAAGTCTTCAAAATCTTAACGTCTAGTCCCAACTCTATCATTTCCCAATGATCTATTTGCAAGGTTTTTCTTCTTATCTATTTAAAGGATAGAAAACTACTTTAGGGCACAACTATAGATGTTAACTATTGATGATAATGGGTTAGGATTCTGCAGTATTTATCCATTTCAGGGTTAAGAATTCAGTCCCTTATATATGAATGAAATAGATTTTTGTCTGGGTGCATGTCTGTGTAGCATATTCATCATGTTTATTTTTAATCTGTGGGAAAGCATTATGGTTTTTAGAGTGTTTTCTTTGTATTATAGCTAAGATAAGCACTTTGGTATTTTTACCAATATTTTAAATGTTGAAGTTTATTTTATTTGCACAGGAAAAAGAGAGAATTTGAAAAAAAATGCTTAAAATTAATATTTGTAAATTTTGGGGGGGGGGGAGTTAAGACATTAGTGTGAATAAAATTCAGAATAGGAATTTTCAGGGTAGCTATATAGTTAAATCCATTAGTTTTAATATGTGGGAAATTAAATAGTGCTAATAAATGTGTTGGCCACAAATCTGTCTATTTTAAGAGGAACAAGTGTCCATTTACATTTCTCTGTAACGATGTTTTGTAGGCATTTTTAATAATTGGAATGATTTTGGATTCAAGATCTTATTTCCACTGTTTGACATTTTAAAGAATATATAAGGCTGTAGATTTGATCAAAAGAGGTTGTTCATGGGAATATGAATGTACTATTTTTCTACAACTCATTAAATCAGCTACCTGTCACTGATGAAACACAATTCTAATACCGTGCAGCATTTGTTCCCTTGAATGTACCAAAGCACCTCTTCTGAATTGAATCTAGAGTATTGCACAGTCCTATTCCAAGTGAAATCTAATGGTTTTGAACCTGAGCTGGTCCTTTGTTTATTTGAATTATATTGAGTGTGGTTTTTATAACTTCTTCAGTATCTTTACTCCTCTTGCACTATATCTCACAGTAGTTTGAAAGGTTTGGCTAATAAATTTGTGCAGAGGGTGTCTATAAACTGCAAATGGGAATGAGGAGATAGGAAAGCTTTCTTTCATGATTATGAACCACAGGAAGAAACATGAGATTCAAATCAATTTTAGTACTAAGAGTGAAAAATGTATTCAAGTAAGTGATTTTTTCTCTCTCCAACTTTCCTTTCTCTCTTGCCTAGCTATGCATGCCTAAAGGTTTGTCTTTCAAGACACAAGCTGATGCCAGAGAACCTCAGTTTCATTCATTCATCATTACACGTGAAGATGGATCACGGACATTTGGATTTTCTCTAACATTTTATGAGGAAGTTACCAGTAAGCAAATCTGTAGCGCAATGCAGACATTGTATCTCATGCACAATGCTGAATATGATATTCTTCATGCTCCATCCACCAATGATAAAGATAACCTTAGCACTATAGAGGATTGTAATGGTACCTCTGTATCAAAACTACAGCGATTTAACTCGTACGACATTAGTAGAGACACGCTCTATGTCTCTAAGTGTATTTGTCTGATCACTCCAATGTCTTTCATGAAGGCATGTAGGAAAGTGCTTGAACAACTCCACCAAGCTGTAACTTCACCTCAGCCACCACCATTACCATTGGAAAGCTTTATCTACAACATTCTATATGAAGTTCCTCTCCCTCCAGCAGGAAGATCTCTAAAGTTTTCAGGAGTTTATGGACCTATAATCTGCCAGAGGCCAAGCACCAATGAATTGCCATTATTTGATTTTCCAGTCAAAGATGTTTTTGAGTTACTTGGAGTGGAGAATATGCTTCAACTCTTCACCTGTGCTCTTTTGGAATTTCAGATACTGCTTTATTCACAACGTGAGTATAGCTGTTTTAAATTGAAAACGTTGGGCAAGTTCATAAAAATACTACATTATTATTGTTGTTGTTATTATTGTATTGTCAGATTTGGCATTTTATCTGCTTGTCGAGTCCTTCCCAAAGACCTAGGATAGGCAGACGTTGTTCTTTGATTATGTTAAAGGCATCGTCACAGGAAGTGAAGTATTTTGTAATTGACTGGTGATGATTATTGTTGATTAGCTAGTCAGCCAGATGTTTAGATCAGATGTGGCAGTTTTATTCACCTTTTGAGTTCTTCCCAGGGAACAGGCAGATGTTATTTTTTGATGGTGTTAGAGGTATTGTCATAGGATATAAGCTGTTCCAAGTAAAGCTGCCTTTTGCAATTGACCAATGATGATTTTGTCAATGCCAATTTTGTTCAAGTGGTGCTACAGATGTTTTGGGATTACAGTCTAGGTACCTATCATTGTTGGTACTATCTCTGCTTTCTTTTGCTACAGACATTCTTCTATTTACAGGGATTTTTTGGTATTTTAAAATTTTTGCTCCAGTTCTTTGTCTTCTCTTCTATTGTCACCAAGCACTACAGCATCCACTATCCAGACTATTTAATCTTCCTTATCAATAATTGTTAAGTCTGGGATGCTTTGTGACAAGTGCTTGTCTGTTGGCATTCTAAAGTCACAGGTTATTTTAATTTCTTCATTTAGTTCAATTTGTCTGTTTGGTAATCCCACCAGTTCTTGCCTGTAGGCAAATGGCATTTGTGCAGATATTTGGTGGTTATTATTATTATATTTTTATCTCATCTTTTCAGTATATAATTCAAGTAGCGAAAATACTAATGCTACCTGCTGCAAGATAAGGGGCTAACAGAGAACTGCTAGCTTAAAGTCACTCAGCTGGCTTTCATGCCTAAGGCAGGCTTAAAATTCAGTCTCCTGGTTTCTAGGCCAGCATCTTAACCACTACACCAAATTGGTTCATCATTATGATGTACTGGTAGTGTACTCTTCTTTTCTCCTCCATGCTGCATCGAGAGCCTAGGATGGGTTGACTCCTTCCTATGACATCATTTAGCTGAGTACAGACTGGCTTTTATATCTTAGTACAAAGATATAAAAGCCAGCCCCCAGAAGATACCCCAGCTTTTGACTCAGTTCCTTTCAGTCTTTGAAAGTGTTCTGTTAGTTAGCACTCACCAGCGATCTTCAGTACCTTTTTTTCTTCGCTTCAAGCAGCTCCCAGGGAAGCTGCTCTTCCAGGAGAGCAGGGCTCTCTCTCCTGCAACGTTGCAAACAGCGTTGCCAGAGCGCTTATCAGGCAAGTTGGGCAGCATCTGTAGACTTCCCCCATGCCTGCGGTTTGAGCGGTCATAAAAAGCAATCGCAAACTGATAACAGCGTCAGCCAGCCGATTGTGTGGCCAGAGGCTGCCCTTTCCTTTGCTGTCTTCGCTCGGGGCTCTTTATAGCCTAAGGAGCAATTCTTCAATCTCAGAGCCTGCTTCTTATAGTCAGTGGCCATCTTGGATTGAAGCCTTCCACCACGAGGTGAGCAGCCATTTTGTAAGCCCGGGGGCCAATTTATACCCTAGGGGCTTAATACAAAAAATTTACAGTTTCTTTCCATTGCAAGAGCCTTTTATTCTACTATGGAGCAAGATAAGAGTCAGGCAGAGCTTTCCCCCGCAGTGGAGCAGTCTCTTAAGCCCAATAAGAGAAAAAGACGTAGGCAACGCACCCAATCAGTCCAGAGGGAGGTGGCTGCTAAAATCAGAGCTAAGGCTCTAGCCCTTAAGAAAGCAACTCAGGCTGAATTGAGGGCAGAGAAGCGCAGACATGTGGCTCTAAAGAGGCAGTTCAACAGAACTATTCAACAGAAGGGACTGCAACTACAGAATGTTTCAGGTGATACCCGTGGGCCCCAGCCAAGCCGTCCCTGGCGGGGGGGAAGTTATCTTGAGCCTTTCCATTCTCCATCCTGGTCTCCTGAGCCTTTGGCAGTACAATATGATCCTCAGGATATAAGCAGTTCTGGGCCTTATTTCCAACAGGCTTCTCCTCCCCCTCCCTCCAGGCCTCGAACCTCTTCTCAATCTAGGCCTGAAACCACCTTCACTCCCACAGCAGCGGGCCTTCTGCCTTCTGCCTCTACCTTTGAGCATAGACCAGGGAATATCCAAGATGTTGTCTCATTGGCCATTAGGCAGGGATTGGCTGAAGGCTTCAAGCAAATTCTTCGACCTCTGGAAAGGGCTCAGGCCCTTCTCCCTTCTCAATCTATTAGTTCCCTGCCTCATCACCCTGATTTAGGGAGAGACCTTTGACCAAAATCTTTCAGAGGAAGAGGACTCTCGCCCAGAACAGACATCCTCTGCATTAGTCTTCAATCCTTCTCTCTTCAGGCCATTACTCAGCAAGGCCTTGGTCACTGCCAAGCTGTCACCAGAGGAAGTGGCTCCCGAGCCACAAGAAAATCCCTCTAGCCAGGGAGACTCACTCTTCTCCAAGCCTGTAGTGCATGCAGGGGTTTTGCCTTCTCCCACTTTGCTCCTGGACATGGTCAAGGAACAGTGCGCTTCCCCTTTGGCAGGTCTTTGCATGTCTTCTCTGGATAAGCATTTCTACAATGTCAGTGCAGCCCTGGACAATGCCCTGGCAGTGCCTTCTGTTGACATTCTGGCACTGCATGGGCTGTTCGGCCTTTAACAGCAGCACCCTTTTTTCACGCGGGCATCCATATGGTGGCTGCACCAACTCCAGATTAGATAGCCTACATCTGACCTTCGGTCTCACCAAGACCTTAATAAGATTATCGCAGTGGCGGAATTCACTGCAGATGCCACTCTCAATTCTGCCAAATTTGCATCTAGGGCCATGGCATCTTCAGTAGCAGCAAGAAGACTGTTATGGCTCAGAAATTGGCAGGCGGAGTCACGCCATAAATGGAAGCTGGCTTCAGTTCCATTTGCAGGCGATAAGCTTTTTGATGATGCTCTGGAACCTTATCGAAACCAGAGATAAACGTAAAATTCTCTCTTCCTCTAGGAAGAGAACTGACTATCGCCCAGCTCCTTATCACCCTCCTGCCTTTTGAGCGGAGACCTCATCCCTCTTCCTCCAGTCTCAGAGGCCATACTACCAATGCCAAGACCAACGTGCGGAAACATCTGGCAGGCAGCAACCTTCTACTGGTAAACAGCCCTTTCGGGGGTCCGGGGGTTGTTCCTTCTGTCACTCTAAGTAATCCCTCATTCTCCCCACCCTTCGGAGGTCGCCTAGCCTTCTTTGCCTCCAAATGGGAGGAGTCAACGACGGATGCCTGCGTGCTCAGCACTATTAGGTCAGGATTACAATTGGACTTCCAATGCCACCCCCAAAAGGGAACAGCTGGCCTGTCTCTCGGGACATTTCAAGGCAAGACCTCATGAAACAGGCCATTCAACACCTTCTTGAAATCCGAGCTATTTAACCTGTTCCCCCTCTCAACGGGGACGTGGGCTTTCCTCTCGTCTTTTAATCATTCCCAAAGCCTCAGTGGGGCTGGCAAACCGTCCTGGATATAAAAATTCTCAACCAATTGGTAAAATATAGACAAATTAAAATGTAGACTCTGCGTTCTATTTTAGAGAGCGTTCGGGAGGGCAATCTCCTCTCTTCCATTGATTTCATGGAGGCTTCTTCCACATCCCCTTTTGGCCTCATCATCACCAGTTTCTCCGTTTCTGTTATCAGAATACCCATTACCAGTATCGAGCACTTCCCTTCGGCCTCTCATCGGCTCCAAGGGTCTTCACGAAGGTTCTGGCAGCATTGATGGCATCTCTGCGTTCTGTTCCCGTGAGGATCCAATGCTACTGGGATGGCATTTTGATTCTGTCCTTCTCCATCCATGCAGCCCATCGGGATCTGCAAATTACCCTGTCATATCTCCAGAGCCATGGATTTTTCCACTCCAGTCCACTCCAATGGTTCCTGCTTCCCTACCAACGAAGAGGAACCAGCCTCTCATCCATCAAGGTCCTGCTCCCGCCACAAATCCGGAGATGTCTCAATGGTGGCGTTCCCCGTTAATCTGGAAGGGACTCCCTTTCAGGGTCCCAGACAGGCTAGTGATCACTACCAATGCCAGTCTTCTGGATTGGGGTTCCCATATGCAGGGCCAGATAGCTCAGGGCGTTTGGTCCAGACCCTTCCCATAAATTGGCTAGAGCTCAGAGCCATTTTTCTGGCTCTCAAGCATTTCAGGCAATCAGTGACCGGCTCTCGTGATCTAGTCCTTATGGACAACATGGCTGCAAAGGCTCATGTCAACCGGCAAGGGTGGACAAGGTCCAAAGCCCTCATGAGAGAGGCTCTACGGTTGGGGTTATGGGCAGAGTTGTTGTCGATCTTGGCGGACCACATCTCCAGGGTCGACAACTCCCAGGCCGACTGGCTCAGCAGGAGCCTAGTCGACCAGGCAGAATAGTCCATTCCTCTGTCTCTGTTCAGGGATCTTTCCCTCAGATTTGGAACACCAGAGGTGGATCTCTTCTCCACTCCTCAAATCGCCCAAGTCACCAGATTCTTCACCAGGTTTCCTTGCCAGGGAGTGGAGGGGACCAATGCTCTTCGGTGCAGATGACCCAAGGGTCTCCTCTACACCTTTTCCCCCGCTTCCCATCATTCCAGCAGTAATTTGGAAGATGTTGGAGGAACATGCGGAGCTCCTCCTCCTGGCACCTTATTAGCCAAGGACGCCCTGGTTTGCAGACCTGGTCAACCTATCGGTGGCTTCTCCTTGGAGGATCCCAGCCCATCTAATCTCCCATCACCAGGGGGCTCTGCTCCACCCAGAGCCCCAGTAGTTCAAGCTGACTGCGTGGCACTTGAGTGGCAGTGGCTAGAGGAGGCTGATCTTCCAGAAAGGGTCATTCTCACTATCCTGGCATCTCGCAAACCTTCTACAAGGCGCATATATGATGCCAGCTGGAAGGCTTTTTCCTGATGGTGCCTCAGGGAGGGTCTTTTCCTGCTTCAGCCCAGTTGGCAGAAGTTCTTAGCTTCCTTCAGCATGGGCTGGAGAAAGGTTTGGCCCCCAACACCTTACGCAGGCAGGTTGCGGCCCTCTCCTCGGTCCTTTCACGGGGGTTCGCTTCCTTCCTTATCCCATCACACTTCAGTCAGGAGGTTTTTGAAAGGGGCTTCCAACCTGCACCCTCCAGTGGTTCACAGATATCCTTCCTGAGACCTTCATATGGTCCTTAATGCCCTTACAAAGCCCCCCTTTTCACCCCTCTAGAACAGTGTCTCTCCATTTCCTGACTCTGAAGGTAGTGTTCCTTGTTGCCATCACTTCTGCCAGGAGGGTTTCCGAGCTTGCTGCACTTTCCATCAGACAGGACCTTTGTTCCTTTCACGATGATAGGGTTGTTCTTCGTCTGGACCCCTCATTTATTCCGAAGGTTAACACCTGGTTTCACAGGTCCCAGGACATTGTTTTGCCTGACTTCTGTCCTCTCCCACACCATGACTTAGAGCGGCAGTGGCACACACTAGACGTAAGAAGGGCTCTTAGAATATACATTAAGCGCACTTCCCCCTTCAGGAAGTCGGAAGCCATGTTTGTTTCCTTTTTCCCTTCTCACTTGGGGCACAAGGCCTCTTCTCCTACTATTAGCAGGTGGAGCAGGTCTTGCATTGAGCAGGCCTACAAAGCTGCGGCCCTTCTGGTTCCCCGAGGTCTGACAACGCACTCTACCAGAAGCGCGGCCACTTCTGCTGCCTGGGTGACCCAAGCATCCTTGGAGGATTGTTGTGCGGCCACGTGGACATCCCTGTCTCCTTTCATCAAACACTACTATCTGGATGCTTTTGTCTTGGTGACTGCAGCCTTTGGCAGACAGGTGCTTCAACGAGTGGTTCCACAGTCGGTATGATGAGCCAGACGAGGACCCGCCCCTGGACATGCAAGCTTTGGTCTGTCCCATCCTGGGCTCTCAATGCAGCATGGAGGAGAATGGGCGTTGGTAGACGTTACCATGAACACCCTTTCTATCTATGCTGCGAGAGAGCCCAGCCCCTCCCTTGATTCCTCTGGAGAGGGTAAGACATATTTCTGTATTTATTTTGGGATTTAAGAGACACTTTTCAGTCTGTCAAGTATCTTCGCCAAAGCTGGGGTCTCTCCCGGGGCTGGCTTTTATATCTTAGTACAGACTCAGCTAAATGACATCATAGGAAGGAGTCCACCCATCCTGGACTCTCTCGCAGCATAGATAGAAAGGGCATTCAGGGTAACTTCTACCAACGCCCATTTTGTATTATAATAAAGATTTCAGTAGAAAAGTAAATGAGAGTGTTTCAGGTAGATGCAATATTGATGCCCAAACATTGAACTAATAAATAGGTGGGGTGTGCAAAAATATTTGGAGGGGTTCTTCATTTTGACACCAGTCCTCATGAAAATGTTACTCTTTTGCCCCATATGCATGCTTCGATATTATAAGATTCTGAAGGTTTTCCAAAGTTATTTGAAAGTTGTGTATGTGTGTTTTCTATTTCTTAGTTTTGTTTTATTGGCTTCCAGTAAACGAGTGGTCCCAAATGAGAAAGTGTAATTGGTAGTTTTATTTTTTGCCTTTTTTTACCAAACACAAAATAAAGACTTGAACTTAACTCTGAGCAGCTACTTAGACTATGTATATTTTATCATGCTTCACTTGAAAGGGAAAAGGCTGTTTTCCATGAATATTGAAAATAATCCAATAGCACAAGATATGGCTTTAATTCAAAGGCACAAGATATGGCTTTATTCCTTGCCCTGTTTCATGCTTAAGCAGAAAAAAATAAAACAGAAAAAGTCTACCAAACCAATATAGTCATAATTTAAAAGCATGCAAACTAATTCTCAAAGCAAATATCTGCATAATAATGTGTTCATTTTGCTAGATTCTGTATTGAAAAAAGTATTTAACCAAATATATATTGCATAATTGGTAACTTCTGTGCAAATGTCTACAGATAATATTTGGCTGCTGTTATGATGTTGTACATCTGCTTTATCAAAGTCTCAGCCAGTAGCAACATCTGGGAGATCCCTGGGGGTTACCAGGGCTATAGCTCAGCTGGGAAGTTGAAAAAACATCTCAGAAGAAAGTTATGTCTAATGATTTCCATATTATTATCATCAATAAACATATTCTTAAAAGTGATATGTTGAGAATGCTACATCAGAGATGTTGTTGCTAGCCTCACCGCGTCCTCTGAGCTGAGCCCCGCCGAATCAACGCCTCTGCCTGATGCCCGTGCCACTGCAGCGTTTGGAGCTGCCAGCGCATTTGGAGATGCATGGGGACGGGGACCGGCTGGGCGAGGGGTGGAAAGGATGGACGGCTTCGGGCTCTCTCCGCTGGACCCACCAGCCAGGGAAGCAGCACTGCTGTTGCCTCGCCTCCCTGTCCATGGATGGGTGGGTGCTATCACTGCCTCGGGCAGCCTCTGCTGGTGGTCCCTTCGGGTTCGGTCTGGAGGGACTTGGGAAGGAAGCCAAGCTCAGGTCGGCCTGGCTCTTTTGCTTGGCAGGCGGGCGTGTACCTGCGGCTTGCTTTCCCAGGTCTGCCCAGCTGGCACGGCCCTGGTGGGATGAGCAGAGGGCCCGGTGGGGAGGTGCTCGCTGCCTTGGTGAGAGCTCCGTCGCCGGGCAGGAGGGCCCGCCTGTCAGCTGCGCTGGGCGCCCCAGGCAAAGCTCTTTGCGCTCTGCCCGGTGCCAGGCAGGGATGGCGGCTGGGCGTTTCTCCCAGGGTGGGCCGATCCTGCGCTATGGCACTGGGAGATTCACCTCCCCACGTGGGGTTGGGCTGTCCTCTCGGGCAGGGGAGGCTTTGTCATACTGGTAGTAGGGTGTTGTTTTTAAAAGAATTGGCTTTGCCTTCAAAGGCAAAAGGAAGGTGGCAACAAGAGCGCCTGAAGCCTAGTGTCTCCACTGGGCTCTGGTTGCAGGGAGGAGCCTTGGCTGGCCGTGCGTGGCTGCGCCAAACGCCGCGGTGTTGCTCTAAACACCACAGCAGCACGGGAAAAGGAAAAGCAACGGTGGTGGAAGGTCTCCCGAAACGAAGTGCCCCACCAACGCCACGGTCAACATCCAACCCATCGCTGCCCGCCCACCCGAGGATGCAAGGAGGGGGGAATTAAGTCACCCCCGAAAAGATGGCCTAGCCATTTTTTCAGGGGTAAAAAAAAATAAGGCCCGGCCTTATTTTGTGAGAAACATGGTATTAAAAAACCCCAGAGGGTATGACTTAATCCACTGAAATTAAAATACCTCATAGGGGATTCTATGGATTTGACAGGGGATTCTATGGATTTGACAGTTATCCCTTCACCCTGCTGGTATACTTGCAATACAATAGGAGTTAAGAGAAATAAAAATAGTCTGTCTTCATTCAGTACAAGTAAATATAAAAATAGCATCTTCATTCTATGCAGCATTTTAAAGAAAAATACATATTATTCATAATTTAGATTATATAATAAATGTATATTATACATATTGTGTGTGTGTGTGTGTGTGTGTGTGTGTATTTTTGTGTGTGTGTGTTTGTGTGTGTGTATAGATACTATTTGTTACCTAGTAGTTAGTGAATAAAGGCTCTAAGTTTGTGCCAATCAAATTTTGGGGATAATTTTTCAAGGGATTGTTTTCAATTGATCTGCTTTTTTAGATTACCAGAGGCTGATGACAGTGGCAGAGACAATCACAGCACTGATGTTTCCATTCCAATGGCAGCATGTCTATGTTCCCATCCTTCCAGCCTCTCTTCTACATTTTCTAGATGCTCCTGTCCCATATTTAATGGGATTGCACTCTAATGGGCTTGACGACCGGTCTAAATTGGAGCTCCCTCAAGAGGTGAGAAAAAAATTATCAAGCTTAATTTCACTGCCTCTTCAAAGTTACAAAAAACGAATGTGGAATTAATTTCAAATCTATTCTTGCTGTGTGGGCATGAGTCTTTAGAAGAAGGGTGATAGCTTAGCTTACCAAGGGAGGAAATGCCTTGTAAGCAGAATCACCACTCATTTATTCTTTCCTCAACTTTTTCAAAGCCTATTTGCTTAATAGGACAACTGCTCCTATGATTAACTTATGGCTTATCAATATATTAGGAGGAATTAAAGTTTATTTTTCTCTCTGTTGCTCTAAATAGATGGAGGGGAAAAAACAGCCAGATAGTATACTGCTGTCATTATGCAATTGGAAATCACTGTGGAAGGGTGAACTGGGAATACTTAAATGTTTTTGCAACAAGGGAAATATCTATTTTTATATTGAGTATGCAATACCTGTGATCCTTTAGATCAGTGGTCCTCACTGTGGGCCAGATTTCTAGATATAATTATAATAATCATGTCAACAACTAAGAGGCTAGTCACAGAGGTATATGAGGAGGGTCATTAAGAAAAAGATGGTTGCATTGTTTTACCTTATTTTTGTTATTAAATTTCCATGTCTTTCACAAAATAAAAACAGAGTATACATATTTCAAACAGATGTTCCTAAATATTTAACCTCTGCTTATGATTACTCTTATCTCTCTTCTTACTTTAATTTTTAGGCAAATTTGTGTTTTGTGGATATAGACAACCATTATGTTGAGTTGCCAGAAGACTTGCCTCAATTTCCAAATAAACTTGAATTCATTCAGGAAGTCTCTGAAGTACTTATGGCTTTTGGGATTCCACCTGAGGGAAACCTACATTGTAATGAAAGTGCCTCCAAGATGATGAAAAGTCTCAGGACCTGTGACATAGTCTCTGATAAGAGAAATGGCAATTTAGGAGGACCAACTATGAATACTTATGAACTACTGAAAGAAAATGAAACCCTAGCAAGACTGCAAGCGCTTGTTAAAAGAACAGGAGTTAGTCTAGAAAAGGTAAATTGCATAATAGTTACGGAAGTTCTGTAACAATACATGCATGATTGATGTAGGATTGTTTGGAAATTTTATCTTGCACTAACAGCAACATTCTTGGTGGTTATATGATTGTTTTAAATCAATCAGTCAATCTCTGGGCAGGGAGTCAGAAAAGCAAGTTGATTATTGTGACAACGGAGACAAAGTCCTGCTCATGTTGTGTATGTGTTGACATTGTACATGTGCACAAAGAGGCAAAGCTTTGATCAGCCAGCTGCAATTGCTGCCTTGCTTTTTTTTTTTTTTGATCCACCCCCTCCCCTCATGGGCACTGGTAGCTAATTAACTTTATTCCCAGTCCAGCTATATACTGTCTACTACACTTAAAAGCTTGATACCTACAAAGATAATAATGAGATTGTTTCATTAATTTGGCAAGCATTTTCTCACCAAGTTTTCGGGGTGTTTTCCTCCTAATTTTTGTTCTAATTTGTCAGTGGTTAGGTACCAGTTAACTATTTCTTAGATGTTGACACACAAAAGGGTGTTTTTCTGATATGTCAATTTTTCCCTTTTATTTGTTCATTATACTATTAAGGAGTAATTGTATAACAGTTATAATGGCACATTTTGGTGCTAAATAACCTGTGGTATAATTGATAATGTATACTGTTTTCTCCATATAGTACATCTTACTTTTATATTTTTGGGGATATCCATGGATAAATATAAGGGGGTAAACAACAATGCACATGACTTGTCATCATGCAAATACCACAATTTACATACCTGGCTCAGATATCAGGATAATTTAAAGAAAGGGGCCAGACAAGGAGAAAAATTTGAATTGATACTACTGATTAAAATTGCTTGCCTATAATATGTGGTCCCTGATATCAACTAACCTCTGTCACATATTCTCACATACTCAAACACAGACACATTTTTCTTCCCTCCTTCTAGCAGGAATATGAGTATGAGGATCTAAATAATTTGTAAAGACAATTTTCCCTGGACTCTATTTTTAATCATGTATATAAAGTGCTAATCTATTGTACATAGATGCAGTTACTTTATATTTTGCCTCACAATAAAACAATGGAGTACTATCTGGTAAAGCTCTTGACTTTTCAGTTTAAGTAGCACATACACATTTTGATTCCTCAAGATAGTAAAGCTGAACCACTGTGTGAACATTTCCTTCCTTAAAGGTTGAATTTCGAGAAGAGATGAGTAGCAAGAAGGATCTGAAAATGCAGTGTGACGAAGAAGAATTAAAGATTTACCAGCTCAACATTCAAATACGGGAAGTTTTTGCAAATCGTTTCACTCAGATGTTTGCAGATTATGAAGTATTTGTTATTCAGCCCAGTCAGGACAAAGAGTCGTGGTTCAGTAATAGAGAACAGATGCAGAACTTTGATAAAGTGAGTATGAAAATACATATTCTTAAAATGAGGAAGATAATTTATACAAGTTCACGGCAAATCTATATACTATAGCTTGTAAAAGTGGAAATAGGAGATCTAAAATGGGGCACAGAAAGATTATTTAAACAATTCTTGAAAACAACCATTGATACATTTAATTTTCATAAGAGCCATGTGATAAATTGTGAGTAGCTATGCCTTATGAACAATAAGAAATGGTGATTGTTCAGATGAATCACAATCTATATATTGCTACAAATTATAGCTTGTTTAGGGTGTTTTGTTTCTTTCTGATACTACTCATGATAGTAAATATATTATTAAGATTTGAGGAAAATATACTTATTTAATGGCTATATTTGATGTAAATATATTTGATATTTTCTGTATTAGTTGTCATGGTCACATTCAGAAGGCTGATATGAAAACATGATGGCTTTAAAGTATTTTTCTTCTAATATTAATTCCCTTCTTCTTTGTATATTGTTGAATTCCTGAAATGTCACAACATTTTAAAGAAAGAGATCAAAGATGGATATAAGATTCATGTTTGAAATCTTTGAGAGTCCCTGCTACTAACTAAATCTGATTTCATTTGAAGCAGCTTTTCCTGCATGTACAGTTTGGCACAGGAATTCTTCCAACAAAATAGAGAGATAAGTGCAGGTGTATTGTTATATTTTCCATTAATTAAAAATTGATCTAGTAATTGAATCCTATAGTATAGCTGTTTCCAAAAGTTTATGATTTTCAATTTTTCCTAAGAATTATACAATTCTAGGAGTTGGAAAAACATAGAATCTTTAATGTTTTTCAGAATGTATTGTAGTAGAATATGATAAAATAGAAAATAACTTTAGATGAATGAAAACATTCATGTCATTTTTTAAAAAAACAATTACAATTTAAAGAAACATAAATACTGTTTCTTTCATTTTTTAGGCATCCTTCTTGTCTGATCAGCCAGAACCTTATTTGCCTTTCCTCTCGAGATTTTTGGAGACGCAGATGTTTGCTTCTTTTATTGACAACAAGATTATGTGTCATGATGGAGAGGATAAAGATCCTATCTTGAGAGTGTTTGATTTTAGAGTTGATAAAATAAGATTGTTAAATGTTCGAACACCAACTTTGCGCACATCCATGTATCAAAAATGCAGTACCATTGATGAAGCTGGTAAGAGTTGCAAATTTTAATTCTTATTTAAATAAATGTAAAAGGTACAGGAAACTAGTGATATACTAGCTACCAACTTAGCTACTACTCACTTATGTGTATCTAAAATACAACTGAAGCAGCATTTTAAAATGATAAATAGGGTAAGCAAGAGTTTAGAAAATAAAAAATTAAAATTAAAACAGGTAACAAATGAAAATGTACCTGAAAATAATTTATACCTATATCATTTATTAAATCTTTCTAGTCATTCTACTGGAGGTTCCTTGAATAGCTACCTTTATCCAATTACAGAACAATTATTAATTTTATCAATATTGTTATCACAGTCTCTCATTATTTATTATTTTCATTCAGTACTTGTACTTTCTCTTCCTGCAGTCACTATGCTTTCACTAGTTTATTTCATTATTTCCTTTTCTTTGATACATTTTAATGATTTAATGATCCATTACCATCACATAGTTGTTCCATATCCAGAAGCCATCACAACCTTTATATCCTTCAGTAAAACTTAAATATTTAATCATAAATAATGAAGTCAGTCATGCTTTAAGATTTATTTCCTTTCTTTTCCATATAGAGACATGAATAAGCTAATTATTAAACCATGTATTTGAAACAAAGAGACTTTGTCTAAGCAACTATTCACAAAAATCACCATTCACATTTGTTCTTAGCCTCAGCCCAGTCAATTTTTCTGTACTTTCTTGCCTAATCACTAAGTAAAGTATTTTTTTTTCTCCTGGATAATATTCATTCAGAATGTTGCATAGTTTCCTCCAGCTTACCCTGGATCTACCATTATTACTATTTTTTGGAATGTAGCATGTAGGTTTCACAAGCTTATGGGTTTCTATTTTCTTATGCACCCACAATATCCTAGATGACACCAGTTCATACTTTATGACTTTGTGGAAACTTCATGAAAAAGTTTCCCTTCTTGTGAAAAGAAAAATAAAACAAGAAAACCCGGTTGCCTTTTAATGAAAGCACTTTTGGGACATGCATTCCAAATCATAATTTTCAATAAAATAAGCCATGCAATTATTACCATTATTATTAATTAATGCCCACATTATGATATACTATGTCAGAATCTGTAATTTATAATCTGTGCAAGCCAACCTTCTGTTGCCCATATTCTCCTAACAATACATAGTGTGATGACATAGAGTCAGAGACAAAGAGTCAGGATGCAAACAAATTACACTATCAAACAGTTGAGAAAAATGGTGTAGGATCAATATGTTTTAATGAGCTACTGAATGCAATATAATTGTATCAAGACACTCCTTTTTATGTATTTGTGCAGAATATGTATTTCTAGCAGTAATGTCCTATTTCAGATTTTAGGATTCAGATTTTTATTCTTTTATTTCACAATTTAACATCAGCTATGCTAAATAATCATATGATTCAATGTTGATTCCCTCCCCCTCCCCAGAAAAAGCTATTGAGTTAAGACTGGCAAAAATAGACCATACTGCAGTCCTTCCTCATTTATTAGATATGAAGATTGGACAAGGAAAATATGAACCTGGCTTTTTCCCCAAGCTACAATCAGATGTACTTTCAACGGGGCCAGCAAGCAATAAGTGAGTATTGTATCGCTGTATTAATATGACATAGGTAACTGAATCAGCTTCTCTCTCAGAAAAGTGACTTGCAGTAATTCAGTGTGTTGATGTGGTGGGATGTAGTCTGGATTCCCAGGAGGAATGGACTGCATTCCAGAGGGCAAAGAAGCAGTAAAGCATGGAAAATTTGGACAGGAGAAAGACTTAAAAAAGCTCTTCCCTAACAATTCACAGAGTACATCTATAGTGTTGCAAATAGTTGCTTTAGTTTGGCAAGTCTATAAGTGAAGAACAATAAAAGAAACTTCCCAGTTCTAGATCCACAATTGTCTTTCTTGATTCTTAGAATCTGCCAATCAGTAGCATATGATCATCTGTATTCTGGTGAAAAGCCAATAATGAAACCCCATAGTCACTGCAAAGGTGCCTGAGGAATGCCTACTTCCTTCTATGTCTTTCCCTTCCAGAGGAAAATTCTCATACTTCCTCCCTCCTTTAGTATTGCCACAAGGTGCAAAAAATAAAGAACACAGAAAGAGAGAGAGAGAGAGAGAGAGAGTGACTGTTCTTCTGGAGACTGTATAGAATTTTAGTTGATGTTTCCCAGCTGGTAGAAGAGTTTATTCTCCGTTTTGCTGTCTGAATGATACAGCTGCTAAGGGATAGTTTCACCCCAAGTCAGTTTTGGAATAAAATCAACTGTCCTATTCTCTTTCCCTGCTGTGTCATCACAACTCATGTTGCATGCTATCACAACTCATTTGTCACAGTTAAGTGTGTTATGTAAATGCAGACATTGTCTAGAAAATGAAAAGTTTGTTTATTAAAATGTAAAAATTTAGGAATTGTAATTAAAGTAAATTTTAAAAAAAGTTTAGGCTTTCACTAGGGGGAAAGCAAACAAAACAAACAAGCAAGTCTCATTCACTTTAAAAGTTATACAACAGTAATCATCTCACAGTCAAGATAGTTCATTTTTATATGGAAGAACAAAAATTTTAAAAATGCTGCAATTATTTTCTCCCATGTGTTTGACTCCTGTAGTTCCACACCATAGTTTTCATTCTTATTTGCATACTTGGTTCTAACAACATGTTGGCAATTAAACTGTATTATTATTAGCACTTCCAGATAGGAATGAACATATTTGACCTTATTTATCTAGTGTATCTAAAGAATACCACTTTTGATTTTCTAGATGGACCAAACGCAATGCACCTGCACAGTGGAGGAGGAAAGACAGACAGAAACAGCACACAGAGCACCTGCGTCTTGATAACGATCAGAGAGAGGTAACAACTGTTGTTACATTATCCAGCAATAGAAACAACATTTTCTATAAGTAGTGATGTAATTTTCCTGATTTTCTTCTACCAAAAGAAAGGAAAAAGCATTCCAAATCTTTAAAGCTATGTCTATTTATTCAGGAGAATGGTTGACATACAGCTTTGATTCCATAGAAAAAAAATTAAGGGAATTTATTACACACGATAGACAAATGTGGCATCTTTGACTCAGCTTTTGGTAGTTGTAATTTGTGGGGGATACCATCTTTACTTGGAGATATGGCTTTACATTTTCAGGAACCTTGAAAGCAGTACCAGAACTTATGATAGGATCAATAATTTCAAAGGTGGGAATAAAGCAGAATGTAATCCACAACATGAGGGATGGTGAGGCTGTAAAATGGTGAGAGAAGCTAACCCAAGTAAGAGAAAGAAACCCAAAATTAAACCCAGAAGATGGCGATGGCAAGTCTCTTACACATAGGGGTGGGTTTCTATCGGTTCTGTCCACCTCTGTAGAACCGGTTGCTTTGAAGAGCAGCAGACATAGAACCGGTTCTATGTCTGCTGCTTTTTTTGGCCCACCCGCCCGGGCTCTTACCTGACCTTTATTTCCTGCTTTTTCAAGTGCAGGTGCTTTGCGCGACACAGCTGCAGTTGAAAAAGCAGGAAACAAGGGCTTTTCCAACTGCTACACACTTGCACGCAGTGCTGCTCAGCTGTCCAGGCAGCTCAGCAGGTTGTCAATTGCACTCGCGCGAATTGTGCATGTGCACATGACGGTAATAGACAGAACTGGTAGTTATACCAGTTGGATCCCATCCCTGCTTACACATGGTTGAAAATTATATAGGAAACTGTGTAGACATGACTGTAATATGAAACTGACTTGGACAGCATGTTATAAACAGATAAAACCACATATAAAAAACAAGAAACATAAAAATGTACAGTCTCCTTCCTCTAAGGCAGGGGCGTCAAACTGGATTTTTTTGAGAGCCAGATTAGCCCCTCTGTGGGCCGGCCGGGAGTGGATGATAGGGGAGATGGGATGGACAGCAACCTGCTGGCTAAAATGGGGCATGGCCCATGGCCATTTTAGCTGCCAGAGTCACCAAGGGCCAGTTCTTTACTATTTCCAGGCCAGCTCTGCCGGCCAGATTTAAGCAGGCTGGATATGGCCCACGGACCTTGAGTTTGACACTCCTGCTCTAAGGTTCTGTATAACTGAAGCCCCACCAACTTCTCAACACAACCCCCTATGAAGGTGCTACACTGCTGCCATCTTCAACTCACAAAGCATAATTCTGTATTAATGAAATGCTGACCACTTCCCCAATCAAGCAACTCAGATCTCCCAACTCACAGAAGCATTTCTCAAGTGACAATGTTTATGCTAGAAAGTACCATGCACGCTTCACCAGAGTCCACAAGCTGAAATAAATCCAATATCAGATTGAACAGCATCAGTCCAGTCATCCCTTTGAATGCCACTCATGCAGTCGAGAGAGGTGAAACCTGTTAGGAATATGGGTCACCTAACAGCTATTTGGGTTAGAAATATATAAACCAGGATAAACATTTTAAAACTGTAACTTTAAGAAAATGCAAAACTGTAATTTGGTGTGGTTTCTCAAACGGCCATAAGAGGGAGCCAGAAGCCTGGTTTGTTTAGTCTTAGTCTCAGAAGAGTGTGTCTGAGTGAGTATCTCTGTTTCCTTCTGTTGGAAAGTATTGCCGTTGCTCCATTTCTTCTAATTGACTGATATTACTGGATTTAATGTAAGTCTGATACTGAGCTGTTTTTGACACTGGAATTTGATATTTGGATTATCCCTGGATGAAAACTGACTGATTTACCTCTGAATGACTTTGGATTGCTTATTTTGGACTTTGCTTAAATTTTTCTGGAAGTAAAAACCTACATTTACTGTACAGTGTATCTGTGTGCTCTGTGTGTATTATTCAGACACTCCTCTCAAATACGTCTCCCTGTATGCGCTCATTCTCCTATCGGGGAATTACCTCAACAAAACCTGAGACCTTTTGCAGTATTTGTAAAATGTGCAAATGCATCACAGTGGCCCTATGACAATTCTGTCAACACCTTTTGCAACCCTCTGACAAACAAAGTCAATGGGGAAGCCAGATTTACTTAACAACTGTGTTAGTAGGTTAACCTCTACAATGATTCCCTTAACAACTGTGGCAAGAAAAGTTATGAAATGAGGCAAAACTCACTTAATTGTTTTGCTTAACAATGGAAATTTTGGGTTCAATAATGGTTGTAAGTTAGGGACTACCTATATTAATAAAGCACCTTAAATGTACAAAGGTTAAGATGCTGGGCTTGTTCACTGGTGTTCAGCACCTTAACTAAATCTTAATCAGTCCTACCACCTTGTAAATATCTTAGGTGACATTGACACCAGGAAATGATGTAACCATGGCAAAAGACTCCTCAGCAGCATCCTCCATATCCAGATCACATATCCACTATATATATCCACACAATCCAAGTTGAACTAGCCATTGGTGTCAGGTGGTGGGGTGACCATGAGGTCACCATGGAAGCCATGGATTCTTAGCCTTCCTAGCACCTCATCTCAGAGCATAGAGATTTATATCTTCAAGTATAATAATAGGAGAATTACAAAGATGACGTCAAAGATCAGGAAACCCCATCAGATCAGGCAGCATGAAGAACAATACACAAGTAGAATCCAACTTGTATCATTTTACACTTTATCATCACAAAAGCAGCAATTCTGATAACTGTAAATCTATCTCTCATTGCCCAACCCTAAGTTGACATCACAGCTGTTATACTTTCCAAAACCTAGGATGACAGATCTCTGAAAGGATTAACATTTCAACCTTCACTTAACAATCTTTCAGTAATACATGCCAGGTCAGTCTATCCACTATTACATTATGGATAAATGTAGATAACTTACAAGTGAACCTGGAATTCATTAACAACTGATTAAGGCCAAAATTGACAGTAATCTATCCTCTAGGCACTTGGAATGAAGCAGCTGAGCTAGAAATAGGGACCAGCACCAGACTGCAGGACTCCCCTTCCTTCTAATGGCTCACCCAGTGACCTCTATTCTATCTCACCTACCATATCTTGCCTGACTCCGTCTACCTGGGAGCCCTGGCCAAACTGCACAGCCTCTTTGGCTCCATATACAGATATCCCCTATAATAGTGCCTCTTGGGTTCAGCAGCATTTTTTGACTTGCCCTTTGCGATTTGTCCCATAAGCAAGGACAGAAAGTTTCATTTCAATAGCTTGTTCTTTGAGTGGCAGCTACTACCCATCTGGCATGCTAGCTGGCAAGTCTACCCTCATCAAAAAGAATTAGGGCTTACTATTTTATAGCTTTGTGGTTTAAACATTTGTCTTACCAAATAGTTACTGAACTGCGACATGATCACAATATTTTTCAATAATATAAGCTTGAAAACAGGTTAAGGATTAGTGAACCCTTTGGAAAAAGAGGATTGCCTTTTAGTTTCCATTTTTTACTTTACTTGTCCTCTGTAAGTATAACGTGCTAGCCACCCATTTGTGTGATGCACAGAATCCTTGCATAGAACAGGTTGCTTACTGCAACTGTAATTTGTTGACATGTTATCTGTGCATTCACACAACCCACCCTCTATCCTCTCACAGGCAATCATTCCCCTGAGGGTCTACATCAGCTAATGGAAGGCATGAGGTACCTTCTTAGCATTATCATACACATAGGGGTAGAATATCCTTCCTTTAAAAACAGCTCAGCTCTCAATGGTATTTTGCACAGAAGGCCACTGGAAAAACCTTAGTTACAGGTAAATAACACCTTACTGTGCTATTTCAAAAATATAAGAAAGCATGATTCTGTAATATCGAGAAAGTATTACTTTTGCAGTGAAATGTAGGATAATTACAGCCAGGCTATTTAAAACTAGGTGGGAACATTAATTAAAAATATTATTTGCAATCCATCATAAAATATAGTTTTGTTTATATTTTGCTTTCTTGTTAAATTTAGAATTATATCTTTATGTATCTTTTGCTCTTTTTTTCTACAGAAATACATCCAAGAAGCTCGAAATCTGGGTAGCACTATTCGCCAACCCAAATTGTCTAATCTGTCACCATCAGTAATTGCCCAGACTAATTGGAAATTTGTTGAAGGATTGCTGAAGGAATGCCGAAATAAGGTATTATATCATTCTTGACAATATTGTTCTAGCTTCTGCTATTCAGAGGAGTCGAATTAGCTGGACCATTATAGTAGATTAATTCTTATAATATTGATATCCTTTGATGTAGTATCTTCATACAAATGAGGCAAAACTGAACATTTCAGTGAATACAGTATGCTCCTTTGTTTGGGATGGAAATAAGTCTGTGGATCAGGATATTCTGCTAATGTGATTATTCTAATGATGGATTTATTCTAATAACATACAGTTTCTCCATATTTTGACTTCAACTTTCTAGGCTGAAATGCGCAAGTAGTGTATTATTACTTAGAGCTACTTCATGCACTACTGTGGTTTGATGAATAGGAACAACAAACTTCAGAAACAGGCCATCTAATTTAATTTTCAGTGTTTACTGACAATGGCAAAACCTATGGAAATTATACCAATATACATTATCCATTTCTGTTGTCCCATTTCTGACTCTACAAAATACAGTGAGCCTTCCAGAATAAAATTAACGTGAAATATCTTCTTCCCAAACAAAAGAAGTATTATGAAACATAGCTATATCTTATGATTTAAAGTCACATTTTCCGTTCTATATCGAACAGTGATCAGAAAAAGTCTTGGAATGGTTCAGCGTTTGCTATTTTTGTTAACCATGATTATAAATCTAGAATTATAATAGTGTAATGTACATGTAGAATAATGTAATGTAAATGTATTTAGGTCATTAGGATCAAGCCAGTATTGTTGTGCTATTTGTACTATTCCATATTTTGTCTGTTTAGAGGCTAATATAGGTATGCTAAGAATAGTATAGTAATATCCCAGGCATATATAAGCACATTATTTTAACCCATTGAGCAGGATGTAGGAGAGTTTCTTATAAAAATGAAAAGTTTTTGCCTTTGATTTCCTTTTTGGGAAACATAACAATCATGATATTCTATGGGTTTCCCAGTGCTCAAGAGTGGCTTTTAGCAGATATTGAAATACAGGAAGAACATATATTTCCTCCTTGTTTGAGCTTCAGCTCCCTATATGTTATATCTAGCAGTTTTCTTGCTTGTTATTCAAAAAATGCAGAACGGAAGCTGTGGATTTGCATACACACTAAATGAAAGCAGATATAAATGATAAAACATAGCAGAAAAAAATTATTGAGTCAATCAAATATTTTAATTTTTCTTTTGGCAGATGAATGTATAGTAGATAAGTAATCAGTACTGGCAGAGTGTCATAATGAAAAAAAAACCCGTTGATTTTGTATTTGTGAAATATGGTATATTTCAGACTAATTAGTTCAACAACTAATTGTATTGCTGCTTACCTTGCTCATTTGAGGTAATAGAGAATTCTGACTTTTTCAAAAAGCAATCATAACTTTTACATATGCTTTCTATTTTGAAAGACAAAAAGGATGCTTGTGGAAAAAATGGGCCGAGAAGCCGTAGAACTTGGTCATGGTGAGGTGAACATTACAGGAGTGGAAGAAAACACATTAATAGCCAGTCTCTGTGATCTTTTGGAAAGAATATGGAGCCACGGACTTCAGGTGAAGCAGGTAAGAAATGTACTCTTAGGGTTATTTAATGCTGATTACACTTTTTATTAGGCTTTGGGATATTAATGTAAATGAGAACTATTAATATAGAGTTGGATCCAGAAGAGGCTGCCATGAACAAAAAAGATACAGTCAATCAACACCCGCACCAATTCCACCTTCCAATATCACTGTCTTACTCTTTCAGTGAGTTCCCTAAATATTCAATGCAGATTTTTTTAGAGCATTCACAATGCACAGAGGAAAGGCTGAACAGATAAAAATGTGTTTGTAAGACCCTTTCTTTGACCAGAACTCCACCTGTAGTAATTCTGGATCCAACCCTATCTTTCCTAATTGTTTTTTTGGCATCTTTACTGTGAGCTTTACATAGAAGATAATGAAATTAACTTGTTTTGGGAAAACCTAACATCTTTTAGAGAAAGAAACTGACAGATTTTCTCTGTAAACACCTTGTTGATTATGAATGAATACAAAGTGAGAGCAATATATTTGAAATATAAAACATTTTTTAAAAATTCTGGTCATTCAAGTAGGGCTCCCTTTGTCTGAATCCATTTCTAAATTGTAATCATTTCTGTGTGTGAAAGATATGCTGTCTGACTTTTCCCTTCCGTTTATATGCTGCATAGGATAGAAGCTGTACTACTTTCATCCTAGAAGATAGAGCATCAGTATACTCTGCTACAACTCAGATTTGGGCTTTTCAGACCACCAAGCGGCCAACCATACATAAGGTTAATTCTTTGGACTGATTGACAATGTTGGCAAACAGTGCTGAACGGTCTGTTGTGGTAGAGTATTCAGGAATCTGATGGAAGATTCAACAGATCCAGTCTGCAAAACCAGTTTTGGTTTATACCATATTAACCTAAGTTTAAAAATGTTTTTTCAAAAAGCTGTGCCTTTTATAAATACGCATGAGGATAGCTTTTTTAACACCTCATACGTATACAACTTTTGCCTATTCCCTTGCTACCGGATCCTTTTTGTTACCTAATTATCAATTTTCTTCATCATTTGTAATTTTTATTTATTAATCAAGTATAATTTTGAGGTGTTTGTTCATTTGTCAGTTCTGGGATCATTTTCTTTGTTAACATTTCTCATGTACATACATATCATTCCTCTCCCTTGGCTTTGAAAATGTGCTCTTAATCATAATTCCATATAATGCGGTATTCATTTGTTTTCAACTCACACAGTTTTTTGTGCTCTTTTCATGACCCCCGTTCCAGCACTGGGAGTCAGCATACCTGTTGTTCATTGTGTAGGTGTTACATGGAGATGCATTGTTCACAGGCATACTTGTCCTTATAATATAAAATGTATTTTTTATTACTTGCAGTAGTATAATAGCAATTGTAATTGTAGAACCATCAATATTTAAATTAGAATTAAAAACTTGTCCAACCCTGGACTTTAAGGCAAGATTGTGAAATCTGGGTTGTAGTGTGCCTTAAATAGAAGTATATTAACATTTCATACTTCATTAAGTCAAAATATGCATGAGCCTTTAGTTCACACATGCAAACTGGATTAGCAGTGATTAACTTAGAGAATCTCCAGTGGTGATGTCTACTTTTGTTTGAATCTGGAAATATTATTATGCATTACATGCAGTGCATACAACATACATACATACAATAAATACAGCTTGAAATATTATGATCCTTACTAATTCTGAACTGATAGCTATTGTTTTGAAATGTGCGTGAAATATGAGATTTCAGTTAGCTAGATATTTCTGATATATCTTGTGTTTTTTTTAAGTCCTATGTTTCACCTCTGTTTGTGTATGTGTGTAAGAGAGAGAGAGAAGTCCTGTACTTTATTGGTCCCCTCTGATCTGCTCTCAACATACAGTGGGTGCACAGGTGAATAAGAACCAGTGAACTGTTGCTTTGTCACCTGCCTCAAAAGGACAGAGAGGATGAGGATTTATATGGTCATGTTTATCTCCTTAGATGCGGTCTACCACAATGTGATAGAAAGCAGTGAATAGAGGGGAGGAGGCATTCTGGTAACTCTATACATAATCTTTAGGAACACAAATTATACCCTGATCAAATTAAATTATAGCAAAAAAACTTCACAGATGAGTTTGTGCCCAGTTGGGAAATCCCACTTTTGAAATGTAGCAAGAAAGCATGATTATCCTTCTATATAAACAAATAAGGAAATATATAATTTTTTTTTCATTTGGCCAATGATATCTGAGACATTTGCCTTACGGTTGGCTGTTCATCTCTTGTTTCCATAAAGATTGGACAGGTGCTTTGGATTGATATAAAATGTCTTTCTGTGAATGGATGCTCTACCTTTTCTATTTTGTTTTTAGGAACTGGCTAGAAAATTTTTGCTTCCATGATTATTGTTAAGTGCTTGAAGTTTTTAGTATAATGGCAGAAATAGGCAGAAGAATAATTCACCCATTTATAAATCAAATATTTTCTCCACATGTTGAACACTTTTTCTTATGTGATTATTTTGTATTCCCATTACCTTATATTTTAGCTGTCTATAGTGATTAGAGCACCCATTTCCAAGTTTCTGTTCCTGCCTTGATAGAACTTTCTGGGTGGAATTCTAACAATGTTCCATATAACTTCGTGGAATTAGCTGTTATAAAACTATATTACAGTGTGTTCTCTGTATTATATTACAGGAAACCTAAAAATCTAGTAAAGGCTTTGAGGTTAGCTCAGGACTCTGAACAAACTGAGACATATTATATAAGGACCAAAATAAAATTTTGAGAGAAATAAAATATAGTTGTGGGTATATAAAAATATAATGTAAACTAAAATTGTAATTATGTCCCTGTCCTAGGACAGACATAATATCATTGACAAATTTCCAATAAGCAGCCTTTCCCTCCTCAAATAATATGCAAATAATTGTTGCATTTGTGTTACAAAGAATAATAATCCATACTCTGTCATATGAAATGTGAATTTATGTATTATAAAATGACCCCATCACATAAAAGTGAGAATGAGAATGAGTGAGAAAATCACTTTTTAAATAAATTGGATTAGTCTTGCTCCTTACATTAACTTCTGTTTACCAAAAGAAAAAATATAATAAAAGCTGATAATCCATTTTGATGCGATTATTTGTTTTAAAATAAAGAACAACTTTTTGTATAAAATACATTATATGTATCTGTAGGTGTCAGCCCTACCAGAGCTGGGGCTGCCGGGTAGGTTTATAATATGCAGTAGTTACAGTCTTGGTACTGAGTTATCATTTTTGTGTTTATATGTTTATAAACTACTAAAAATTTAATCACTTTGTTAGAGAATATAGACAACTCCCCAAAATACCAGAACAAGTACCCCAATCTTAGTCAGTTGATTATGTGCCATCAAGGTGGTGTCCATTCTGACCACAGAGATCTCCAGGATGAACTTCCTTTTTGGCCCTTCAAGTCTCCCAAGCATGCACCTGTCATGCAGTTAAATCAATCCATCTTCCTGGCCATCCTCTTCTCTTTCCTTTCACCTTTCCCAGAATTATGGACTTCTCAAGGGATTGGGGGTTTTCCATCTCATTCTATAGAATTACCCAAATTGATTTCAAATACGAGCATGGGAATTTTCATAATAGTCTGAAAATCTTTTGAAGCTTATTCCCAATATGCACACTTGACTTAGAATATATTTTTTCCTCTATGACTGAACTTTATTATCTTGATTGAAGAGAGTACTTTTTATGTGATCTTTTTTTATAATAAAGCACAACATATATAATGTGTCATGATCTGTATTAGTAATTTATTTTGCATTTGACAATGAATCTTTCTTTTTAATCTAAGGGGAAATCTGCTTTGTGGTCACACTTGTTACATTACCAAGAAAACAGACAGCGAAAATCTACATCTGGAAGCTTCAGTACCTCAGGTGCAGTTTTCTTCCATAAAAATTATGTTGCCATTTTGTACAAGAAAAAAAACCCACAAATATTTCTTAATTCTAATAAAAACAGAAGTATGTAGAAGATATAATTATATATTTATTGAAAGCTTAACTCTAATATAAATTCTATTCTCAGGATAATAATTATTCTAGAACATTGGTTCTAAAACATTTTAGTTTCAAGACTTCTTTACATTCTTAAAAATTACAGAGGACAGCGAAGAGCTTTGGTTGTGTGGGTTACATCTACTCATATTTACTGTAATTAAAGCATCTTTAAAATGCTTGTTTACTTTGTGAACCCTGTAAGGAGGCGCACAGGAGTCTCTGGACCATACTTTGAGAACTGTTCTCGAATATAAATATTCTATTCCCGTAGGTATAACCTAGAATTATTATTTTAAAATAAATAATCCTTTCTGAGAAAGACACCATCATGTGTTTGAAGTAATTTGTTTTAGTCTACATTTTCACCGCACTGTACTTGTTATAAGTTCATTTTAGGACTTTAAAAGTAAAATTTATTGGGATTTCAATTATTGGACTAGTTGTGGAACACAGAGTTTTAAATCTTAGTAAAAAAAAATGAGTTGCTTAAAGATGTGTTTTGAGTCAAAGGGCAGATACTGCTCCTCCAGTTCTTCCCTTAAGCTATTGCTTGTTTAATTTGTCCAAAGAATATAATGGTAACTAGTGAAAAGTAAATGTTATTAGCACTTGGTACAACCCAAGAGCTAGTTTCTTATGTATAAAATATAGCTTATTTTGAGTCAAGAAACATATATGTCCTGCATTATTGCGCTTCACACTATTCTGGAATTGTTCAAAATACATAAAAGCTGATGTGTTTGAATTGCAGTGCTTTTGGTTAGCCAGGCTTGATTAGCTGATTGTACACATTTGAAATCATGCCATAGTATGCATTGGAACTGTACTTCAAAGCCTGCAAACAATTTCAGCTAGCCGCATCACTTATATCGTGTCCTCTGCCCCCATTCTCCCAAACTATTGATCTATGCATATCCAACTGCATTTTGGAAACATAATTTAATTATTCTAAAAGCAAAGTCCATACAGTATTCATTTTCAAAGAATAGTTTTGAAGATTTTTTAGGTAAAAGGTTTCAGATCTACTAACTTCCACTCTCAATACGTTTTACCATGTTTTCTTGCATCTACCAGCTCTCAGTAGAAGAAACTCAAGTTGGAATAGATTTTTCAGAGAATATGACAAATAAAGAAACACAAATCTCTGTTGATGAAGCTATAGGTCTTTTAGATAAAAACTATTCCTTAATATGAGCATCACAACAAATGTAAAATGTGACCATCAACTGATGAGACAATGAAGACTACAGAGGAGCTCGTATATGAGCCTATATAGTAGAATAACTTTAAGTGTTGCTCAAAATCAAAGCATTTGCATTTTTTAAACTTTTAATTAAATGTTTGTAATCTTTACTTTAGGAATTCTTCTAGATGCTGAAAGAAGGAAGTCAGATGCCAATCCAGGAATGTCTCCTTTAAGAGTATCCCTCATCCAGGACATGAGGTTCGATTTTTTTAAATCCCAAAAATTCTGATAAAAGTTTTAATCATATTTTAAGGACAACTTAAGTTTAAGTTTAAAATATTTCCTTTAATTATTTAATTTCACTCTTATATTTTGATTAAGATCATTTTGTATTTAGGCAAGCATCAGAATCTTAAGTCAGTTTATTGAAAAGTATGTAACCAGGAATATTCAGTGGAAGATAATATTTAGTAAGTTGGGTAAAGATTGAAATATAAATTTCAGCTAATTTTGAAAAATGATCTCACTATGATTTTGTTAAAATGTCTGCTCTTATTTAAGATCACTAGCTCAGGATCCATTGGAGACAATACTTTAAATAAAATATTTGCTGACAATACATAAAGATAATAATCTGTCTACAGTCAATCTTAGACTGAAAATTAAATGTAGATTTTGATTTTGTATACCTTTAAGAGACCCAAGAATAAATTAATTACCAGACTTAACACATAACTGTGGCTTTATTGACTAGGCTTGGTAGGGCAGATGAATTCAAAGATCTACTAACATACAGTATAATGCAAAGCTGGCTAACCAAGCAAAACAGCTTGTTAGCAGCATCTGCTCTCCAGCTAATTTGGAGTACAGGAATATCAAGGACATGTTTTTACTAGATCAGTGTTACATCCCAATTCTAAACTTTGGAGAAGGAACTCTTTTTTCTAACCTCTGGCATTTTAGCCATGTCAGTGTGAACTTACAGATAGAAACCATAGAGTTTCTAAATTACATAACACTTATACACTTTCTAGAACATACTTTTTTTCAATATTAAAAATTTGTCTTATCATGTAGCATTTACAATTCTAACTCACAGAATAATCTACCAGAAAAAATAAAAATCCATTTTTTAGTATAATTAGCTAAATCTTAATTTTTAAGAAACAATTCAAAAATTGTCTCAGGTGGGGACACCACCATCCGAAGTTCTCTGGACTGTGAAGTTCAGGGGATTGGAAGTTAGACAAACGTCTTACAGAAAGTGCATGTCACAGGTGAATTTGGGAAATCTACTGGTCACTTAAGTAGAAAAAAAATCCTTTTTTTCTGAGCTGTATATATTTTTCTTGGTATGTATTTTTGTTGTATGCATGTTTTATATTTCTTTTATGCTTATACATTTTCTGTTTCATCTTTATGCTAGAAGAGAAACTATATTTTCTTTATTGATACCATATTATCAATGAATCTACAGTAGAACCTCTGGCCATGACCATAATTCGTTCCATAACTTTGACAATTTCTTCATCTTCTAATGTTTCATCTTCAGGAATTTCTGGGACAGGGGTTGTATTTGATAACCACCTGAGTATGTGTTCATGACCAGATTCAAAAATTTTGTGAATTTTTTGATTGGAACCCAATTTGGTTGTGGTCAGAAGTGTTTGTGACCAGAGGTTCTACTGTATTTCTCTTCCTCAGTAAAAGGTTTGGCAATATTAACAGTATAATCTATTTTGCTTTTCTTTCAGGCATATTCAGAATATAAGTGAGATCAAAACTGATGTTGGTAAAGCTAGAGCTTGGGTTCGGCTCTCCATGGAAAAGAAATTACTTTCCAGACATCTGAAACACCTTCTTTCTGATTATGAACTCACAAAGTACGTTGAAACAATCATTTGCTTAATGGATATGAATTGCTTCATATTTCCTTTTAAATTAACTTATGTCTTATAACAAAACCAATAGATACTTAAGGCATACTGTATGGATTTCATAGTTATTTGTAAAAGAAGATAATTTTAAAATTAAGGTATGAGCTCAAAAATTTAATCCAAGAATTCTATGCCATTATGAATTGGCATGAGGAAAAAAAGAAAGAAAACTAAATATAGCTTACACCAATCCATTTGAAACATCATTTAACCTTGCAACTTATCTATTCTTCCACCATATCCATACATTGTTCCATACTTTGTCTTCTTTTTAAAAAAACTTCTCACCTCTCTTCATGAGAATCTCATTAATTCTATCCAGCCTTGACTTTCTTGGTCTTCTCATTCTTTGGCCCGTTCTCCCTTTCTTCATATATTTATTTTTTAGCTTGATGTTCATTTTCTATATATAACCAATCACTTCAAGTATTTCTTGCTCACGATTCAATTTGTATTCAATCCACATTCATTTAGTACTCATCCATTCTTGATCCCAACTCTTCTTTTACAATTCCCCCCTTTTAGTAACCTAATCCCACTTTCAACTGTCAACTTTCTCCTGATCTATGCAACTCTCATTTTCACATCTTAAAGTGGGCAGAGCGGAATTTTAATATGCAACTATTTCTTATACATTTATCTTTAAATAATTTAAACAACCAAGGATTTTTGTGCATATATGTGTTGCTCAGTGTTGAAACATTTTCTGAGTATTTTATTTATTGTCAACTATGTTTTATCTCTGTCATATACCACCCAGACAAAATTCATACTTTCACAAAATGTACAAGCCTATTAATTTTTTTTCTAAATTAACATATAATAGTTTTGGAAATGTTGAGAAATATTGGGAAAAAGTCTTTTTTTAATATCTTTTTTCCATTTTGGAAGGGATAAAATTATTTTCTGAGATAAATATTTATTTAAGAAAAATCACTAATTAGATTATTTTTAAAAAAATAAAAATATTCCAGAAAGGGACATACACACTGGGCAGAGCAGGGAAATGATTATAGTTAAGGTTAGAATTAGGAACCTGAAGATTCAATTTACTGGATACCCTAAACCACAAAACCCAGTGAGTACTTTGGGCTAGCCCCTTTTAGTCTAATCGATTTCTCAGGATTTTTGATGTTAGGAAAAAATAGGAAAAGGGAGCACTAAATATACTACTTCAAATTCCTGAGTGAAGACAGTATTTAAATTACTAAATATATATATACTAATATTCAACGCTTTGTTTTCCCATACTTTTCAGGTAATAGACTAAATTTAATTGTGCTTTGCCAAGAGAGTAAATCAATCTACAATTTTCTTGTTCTATTAATTACTATTTCTTTTTTTTTAAGTGGCAGTCTATACATCTTATGTCTTTGGTGTTAATTCCATTAAACACAACAACTCTTAAATCTGAATAGAGCACTAATATACTTGCATTGAACATTGCAAATAGTTTCTGATGATACTAAAACTAGGATTGAAATATTTAATGGTTCAAAACTTCTCAGTATTTTATTTCTTTATCTGGATCTTTACCCTTCAACAATCACATTTTTTCACATTTCTAAAATAGTTTATTTCCTTTAAAAAGAAATGTGGATCGAAATTTATATAAAGCATATACAGAATCTAAAAAAACTATAAAACAGTAACCATTGGTTTAGTTTTTGTCAGAATGAAACTCCTATTCTAATTATAAAGTGTTTATTTTCTGTCAGAAAACTCTACAAACGCTATGCTTTCCTCCGTTGTGATGATGAAAAAGAACAGTTTCTGTATCATCTCTTGTCATTCAATGCTGTAGATTACTTCTGTTTCACCAATGTTTTTACAACAATTTGTAAGTATAACTTTTTATTATTGGAAAATTTCAAATTATCTTGTGGTACCTAATTTTCTATAGTAAACTTTTGTAGTTCAGATTTCACTTTGTCAAATCCATGGAATACTATTTTCATATGACTTGTATATGTATATCACTACAGAGAGCTAAAAGTCTTAGGAAAAAAGTCAGAGGAAAATGAAATGCAACAAATACAGATTCTAAAAATTATGTAAAATCTTAAAATAAAAATAAGTTAATTATTCATAAAGTAGTATCAACCCCAACACATTATTCAGATTTTAAAATCTGGATTTCTCAAGCCAGGGAGGCTATAATTATATTTATTTTCAGATGTGATAGGAAATATATTTAACTGCTATAATTGATTTTTATTGGTAAGCTGGAAAGAGAACATTTTCTCTCCCTATGCAGATATTCGTATACCCTCAAAATTTGTTATAGAAAGTCATGACTGTGTGTGGGAAGTGAAAAAAGGAAAAACCACCAAAATGCTTAAGGATATTTAAATGAAAATTGGTCAGTACAAGACACTGAATGCAATTTGATAGCTATAGGGCATGCAGTTGTCTTACATAGAATGTGTTTTTGAAAGAGTAATTTTCAAAAGGCAGTTTATAGATATAAATATTTTTAATTGTGAGACAGGTATTTTTGTATGTGCATATTTGGGTAGCTATCTGCTTCTACCTTGGATAAAAAATATTAGTGTATTTATATAAATAGGTTTCCTGGAAGCATTGATTCTTAAAAGCCTTTTGAAACGGCCTCATTTATAAACAGAGAATAAAACCATATCTATAAATTTGCTAAACACAACTGTAACTGGCTTGTATAATTTATACCAGGGGTGTCAAACTCACAGTCGTCATGGCAGTATTACATGACATATCGGGACTTTCTCCCCCTTCGCTAAACCGGGCGTGGGCATGGCCAGCACGTGACGCATCCGGGCGGGGTGGGTGGGAGTTTGACAGCCCTGATTTATACCTAGTATTTTAGTAAACACTAAAATAGTATAAGGGATGGAAGTAAGATCCATTCCCATTTTACTTACCATATGCTGTTGCTGGCTTTTCTTTCTTTTTTTTTTAATTTGGCTCATGAAGCCAGTATTGGGCTGATACTGGAAGTTAAAAAGTATTAAAGAAGAAGGATGGTTTTTACACACATCTCCTTAAAACCTTATTTAGCTTATTCATGAAAGATTTCAGTTACTAAGTACAGCTTTGCTAAGCAATACTTTTAAAAAGAGATTTAAGAAAAGTATGTATGTATGTATTTCAGAATTTGCTAAGTTGCTCTTCAGAAATATCCCCAGCAAACATATAACACTCTAAACCATTACTTATTTTTTTTAAACTGATATAATTCATAATATAAATCAATAAAATTAAGCTGACATGATTGGTTTAAGAACTGGTTTAAGAATTGAAACATAAAATTAAAAAGCATAATGTATTAATGCCTGAAGGGTGACAAAATGAACTGGAAAAATTCTCACTGGAAAAATTTCTTACTGGGGAATTTCTCACTGGAGAAATATACATTTCTGGAGTAGTGGATTCTGCTGAAGAAGCTCAGTAAAGCTCCCCCTGCATTTATTCTTGGAGACAATTACCCAGCTGTATGTGTGTTTTCTTTTTTACAGTGATTCCATACCATATATTGATAGTTCCTAGCAAAAAACTTGGTGGTTCAATGTTTACAGCCAACCCATGGATATGCATTTCAGGAGAATTGGGTGAAACAGGAATCCTGCAGATTCCAAGAAATATGCTGGAGATGACATTTGAGGTATCTCTCATGTTGTTGTTGAACAGAAGAAGGCAACTTTTCAATCACTAAGCCTTGTGCTTTGTTTCAAAAAATAATTTTCAATGATCAAGGGCTACATTGTAATAATGTAAAATAAGTAGCCCTTTAATTTAAAAACAAACAAACAGGGAACAGCTTATACACCTTCCACAGTTGGCCTTTAAATTTTCAGCAGCTTTATATCTCAAAACTACAGGTATCTTAGAGTCATGGGGTATCTACCTCAAGTTGAAGGAACACAAAATAGAAAAGCATGGAGATTGGGGGGGGTGGGATAGGCGAGGGAAAGAAAGAGAGAGGAAGGGAGAGAATTTAATAGATTGGCCTTTGAAAATATTTATTTTTGATGGATCCAGTAAACTGACAACTTTGATCACAAAAAGAAGTTTACTAAAAGAGGAGAAAGACTTCCCCTTTTCTGCATTTAATTTGGAGTTTTGAGAAAGTTCTACTACTATCTAATTTTGAAAATTGTTTCTTTCAAATGTAGCATTTACCCTTAGTAATGTCCTTAGTAATACATTGGCAGGCTTATACAATAGATTCAAGGTTTTTATAAAGTTAAAGTTAATTTGCCACGGAACAAAAGGGAGGAAAGATGGGCATCCAAAACCAAAAATCCATCATCATAAATAATTAGTCATTGATGGACTCATGAAACAGAACTTTAAATGATTTGTGAAAAATCAGCAAGGAAGGTACCTGGTGTCTCTCTAGGATTAGTATTACAAAGAAGGAGGAGGGGGAATACTGCATGCATTCCCCTTGGTGTTCAGTTGAACTCTCGTGGAAATAGGACCGTAAGCAAACCTCCCTTTTACAATGCATGTATCCTCAAAGTCCATTTGAAAGGGATAATCCTTAAGCTTTATAAGTAATAAAGAATTTTGATTGGACTTGGAAACTAATTGATAGCTTGAACAGTAAGCAGAGGACATCCTAGTACTAATTGTCAGCTATTAATATCCCAACCATTGCAATGTGCACCATCTGCAATTCTGGGTCGTTTCAAAGACATATAGAGCATGTTAGAGTGGTGTTCAGGACATAAGTAAATGTTGCAATAACTTCATAGTCAAGAAAGGGGAGCAGCCAGCAGATTAGCCAATGCTGGACATGCATTCTCTGCCCATGGATTTCCTGTGATATTCTTGCAGCAGCCATATGTTTCCAAATTGTGGACCTGTTCCTTCAGAGAGAGAGGATCCCATCAACAACAATTACTGAGTCATATTGGAGAAAATGGCAACTATCATATTATCTTTTTAACCCTAGTTAAAATTCCAAGCTTCTTCTGATAGTGTCAACTGCCTTCTCTTCCTTGCATTTCTGTTGCTTTCCAGTTGCAGAGCAAAATAGAATTGACTTTGAAACTTTAACTCAGATGTTTGTCTTTGTGCATCTCCAATGTCTGCCTAAAGTCCAGTTATATTCCCTCTTCTAATGTACATTAATGAGGGCATCTTGTTTTCTCTCTTTGACTTTTTTTACCCAACATATTCAATTTTTCCTAATTTTTAGTGTCAGAATTTGGGAAAACTTACTACGGTACAAATGGGACATGATAATTCTGGATTGTATGCCAAGTGGCTAGTGGAATATGTGATGGTCAGAAATGAAGTGACGGGTCACACGTACAAGTAAGGTTTTTTTCAGTTCACACATTGTACAAATAGTATTCGAATTCTTGAATAAATTCATTTATAGTACAATAAATATGATGGCCTCATTTTTTTGTTTCTATAATTGTTCCAAACAATAAATACTTCATCTGGTCAGATAGGTATCATTTTGTTTTCTTATTTTATGAAAATAAATCAGCTGCTAATGTAGATGATGGCACCGAGTGCTGAAATGGGAGCGCCCGTAACCGTGTGTGCCAGAAATCAGTAGAGCAGCTCCCTGACACATGCACACAAGAGCGCCAGAAACTAGAAGCTTAGCTACCTAATCTTCCAGTTTCTAATGTGCATGTGCGCGGAAAGACCAGCTGTCTGGCATGTACATGCACTCCGGGGAGATGCTCTTCCAGTTTCCAGCACTCCTGCACACATGAAGACCAGCTGGCTAGCACGCATGCACATGCCAGAACCCAGAAGAGCAATGGCGACGGCTGGCATCAGAGAGATGGCTCTCTGTGCATTGACTTCTGCATAAATTGGAATCTAATGGAAGAATGGAGCCTATACAGTACACATCCTGATTTTTTAAATCGTATTTGACAGCATAAATTGTTCAACTGTATTACACCCTCCTCTGCAGTCCATTCCAAATATTTATATGCTTAAATCCACAATCTTCAACTTTTTTTATTTCCAAAGTTAGGCTGTGTCCCTGTGAGACAGAAACAGTTAATATCAGGGGTGGGCAACCCAATGAGTTTATTTGAAACCCCCCCCCCCTGTTATCCTAAACCCGCATTGCCAAAATGTAGCAACAAAATAGTCAAATTATAGTAAATCAATTAAAGCTGATTTACTGAGTTTGCTGAGTTGGTGGTGCCTCTTCCCGTGGAAACATTGCATCATCAAATAGCTTTCAGTGATCTTTCAAAAACTCAAGATGGTCAGTTGTAGCTCTCAATACCCCAAGAATTGTCTTTTCTCAAGTGCATGAACACAATTCTGCTGGCTCAATTATACAGTAACTGGAAATATTTATAATGGAGCACACTCACCTTACAAAGGAAAATAAAATCTGTGCTATGCTGTCTGTTTAAAAGTACAATATGAGCACAATGACCCCACGGTACTCTCTTTTCTTTATTTTTTTCCTCAGGTTTCCATGTGGAAGATGGCTTGGAAAAGGTGTAGATGATGGCAGCTTAGAAAGGATCCTAGTGGGTGAATTGCTGACATCTCATACTGAAGTAGACGAAAGACAGTGCAGAACCCCTCCATTGCAGCAATCCCCTAGCATGATCAGAAGATTTGTCACCATATCACCTAACAACAAGCCAAGTAAGCTGGGTAGATTGTAGTTACTTTCACTCATAGTATTTTCTACTGATAAAATGAGCTACCTGAAAAATGGCATAGAATACCCACTCATTTGTTCTCAAAACTGCTGATATGTTGTTCTCTGTAATTATCAGTTGTAAATCATTCCAAAATTCATACTATTAAAACTAAATTGATATAATTGGTTATAATTTCAAGTATGCATGCAAGTTTCATAAATATTGCTGCAAATAACCTTCATATTGGTTTATTTACAGACTGAGGAAAGAAATACAACATTTATTGATTAAATTTATAATATAAAGCTGAAAACATTAATGGCTATAAGCTGGATATTTTATAAACCTGTTAGAGGTTTTCTTAATTTAAATTATGAAGATAGGCCCTTAGCCTGTGCTGGGTAACTGCTAACATCATTTGCCAAATAACAATTTTTCCTATGTACCTGCTTTATAACTATAATGGAATTGTAAATAATCTTTGGCAAAGAGGGGAAGAGATTCTGCCTAGGAAACAGTCAGACAAGAGAGGCAGGGGCCCTAATAGCTTAATGGTCAGAAAAAGAAATTTAGGAAGGAACCATCTTGAGGGATGAAGCACTTAAAAATGATGTTGGGAAGTTTGTGCCTTCAGATTTGCAAGGTTCTATCAATGTAGCTTTACAGCAGAGGTCTAAGACTTGTGGACTTCAACTCCCATAATTCCTCTTCTAGTCATGTTAGCTCAGGAATTCTGGGAGTCCACAAGTCTTAAATTTGCCAAGTTTGAAGACCCTTGCTTTACAATAAAGTAGAATTGGTTTGCCTAGTCCTGTTTCCTGCCTGGTTTACCTGGGAAGGCTGACATCAATCTTGAAAATCTCCTATTTTCTTCCAAAGAGAGGGATTTTAAGATGGCTTCCCATCCTCCAAGAATACTACTAGCCTTTAAGCATCTGGCAGACACATTGTTACAACATCAATATCAGGTAGATGCAGCCAGTCCTGCTTGTCTTTACCTGGGAGGACTGATAGTAACATATATGGGCATCTTGACGCTTTAACTTTGTATGCACACAAACAAGTATATACAGGTAGTCCTTGGTTAATGACAGTCCTGCTTAGTGACCATTTGAACTTACAACAGTACTGAAAAAGTATGTTTCTGATTTACTAGAGACAACTGCAGAATGCACAAGTATGTTATTATTGATCACAGACTGAATCAGAATCTACAATGTGATCCGACTATTAACAAAAAACAAAAAAAAACAAAAAAAAGAGAAATGCAGTTTTAAACCCCATTGATGGAGGTATAATTTCTACATCATGAGAAGTCATTTGGTTCTGCTTGTCTGCATTGGTCAGCCACCATCCTGTGTACTAAGTCCTTTATTAGAAACTAAATCCTACAGGAGTGATTTAAAAAAAACGAGAACCTTTAAACATGAGAAGACTGAGAGAAGATAGGATAGTATTCTTGTATAGTATTTGAAAGATACAAAAAAGACCATCTTCTCTTCTATATAAGCATAAGCCATAAGTAATAGGAAAAAGTTTGTATTTAAGGTTCGGAGGGGCGGGGGAGAACCAAACTTCTTAACAGGAAGAACAGATTTATAGGAGAACCAATTATCCAGAGAGCTGGATGGCTTCCCATCGGTGGATGTGTTCAAGCAGAAGCTTGTCAATCATTTGCTGGAAATATTTCACTTCCTGCAGTAAACAGGATTTGTCCTTAAGGTTAAAGTGCCCTCTTCAGACCTATGATTCAAAACTAGGACAAAGCTACAAAGTTAATTTTTTAACCTATTATCCAGAAGGCTCAATATATTTCATTACATAATTTTAGGCTGTTTATTATAGGATTATTATCTGTGGTATGCTGCTCTGTAACTTTTAAAAGTTACAGATTATACATAAATTAAAAAGTTCTATAAAAGAGAGTGAATATGTTCTCCATTCTTATTTTTAAAAGGACTTGACTTATCTGTATATAAACGGATTAGGTTTTTTAAATATATAATTTTTCCTTTTGCACAGAGTTAAATACAGGTCAGATACAAGAATCTATTGGTGAAGCTGTAAATGGAATTGTCAAACATTTCCACAAGCCAGAGAAAGAGGTAAGCTTACTATACATGGCAATAATGGGGGTTGATAATTTCTTCCTTGATTGATATCTGCCTAGAATTGACTAATATAATTGTTAATTAATGTAAAGGTATGGATTATCAAATACATCATGTTATACATAATTTCATACTGTGGCATTTTTTATTAGGAGTTTCAAGTGTTTGGAAGCTGTAATTAAGTTCATTTCATCAGTATTAGCAGAGTTGAAATATACATTTACATCTAATTTGTCTTTTACTGTAATTCCTTTAATTGTTATGAGCCGCTCAGAGTCATTGGGAGTCAGTCAGCATGCGCATTTGGTAAATGGTTATTTGATAAAAAGGGCCTAGGTGAACCTCACTGTGAAAATGAGAGGCAATTTTGGAATTTGATTTGTGTGACTCTGAATCAACAATACTTTCCTTCATTTTTGTACACAGAGTACTTTCTCATCTGATATTTTCACTAGTTTCCCTATTTTGTAGCAGTAGACATATCCTGTGGTGCTTCAGCCTTTATAGGCCTGGCCTTTCAGGCCAAACAGGAGTCATGACCAAATGAACTAATTCTATTTTATTGTAAAGCTACATTAACAGAACCTGGCAAGTTAAAGTGCAAATTCCTGCCATCTCCTTTGCAATCGAGAAGCTAGGGAGGGTTCCTTTTGAGCGTCTTGCTCTGCCCCCTTTCCAGTTTCGGGCTATATCCTCTCATATCTGAGCATTCTTTAGGCAACTTTCTCCCATCTCCCCAAGTGTTTCCTACATATTATTACAGGTACCGGCTAGCATAGGCATCCATAGCAAACAGAAGTTGTCCTCTATTCTCCCTGCAGTTTCAAGTGCCTGCTAGTATTCTTCCTGCTTCCTTTCTTTACATTGTATGGCATCCCCAATCCCCAGTCCGTGGACCGGCATCGGTTCACAACATGCCAGAAACTGGGCCATGCAAACAAGAATAGCCCCATCCACAGGATGCAGGCAGCACACGAAACTATGCCCCTTCTGGTCCATGGAAAAACCTCTCTCCATGGTCCCTAGTGCCCCAAAAGTTGGGGGCTGCTGTTGTATAGTAAAAATTGATTGTTTTCTTTCTGATGCAATCTGGGGGTCTCCACTGATACCAGTAAAAGGGCTGTTGCTATATATAAGTTATAGATTATCTATTCCTGTTCTAGTGTATTACTCATTCTGTAGTTCTCATTTTGCTACCTTTTAAGTAAATTTAATCTGTTGTAGCCTTACTCCTGAATCTTTTTAATATAATAGTTGTAATCAATATGTAATATAGGTAGCTTATAGAAAATATGTATAGCGTTCAGTTAGTTTTCACAGGCTATAGTGGTTTATGGTTAGACAGATATATAAACAATTTACAAATATGTTTGTTTGATTTTCCAATGGCAGAGAGGAAGTTTAACACTTTTGCTTTGTGGAGAAGGTGGACTTGTTTCAGCTCTAGAGCAAGTGTTTCAGCATGGATTTAAATCTCCTAGGCTGTTCAAAAATGTTTTTATTTGGGATTTTCTAGGTAAGTAGAGAACACTTGCTTGGAGATACAATCCTATGATATCTACTTTGTCTTCTTAAATGAGCCTCATGTGTAATTTGAATTATTAGTTATTGCAGTAAACACTATTTAGTACTAGAAGTAACTTTTAACACCTATTCTTAATATAAGAAAATGAAATGAAGTAATTATTCTAGATGATATTTGAAGAGACAAGGCAATATATAAATAGTTAAATAATATTTTTTACTAAGAGCACTCGACAAAATATGAGTGGCATTTTATCAATTGCCTGCATGTCCAATTCTAAATTTGAAAGTATAGTGATATTTGCTTTTTTATGTATTATATACATTCTATACTAATACTCATTATAACAAAGTTGAAAACAATGGTATACTACAGGTAGTTCTCTATTTACAACAGTTCATTTAATGACTGTTCAAAGTTACAGCAACACTGAAAAAAGTGACTTATGACCATTTTCACTCTGACAATTGTTTCTGTATTCCTATGCTCACATGATCAAAATTCAGATGCTTGGCAACTGACTCATATTTATGACAATTGCAGTGTCCTGGGGCTCATGTGATCCTCTTTTGCAACCTTCTGACAAGCATGGTCAATGAGGAAGACAGATTCCCTTAACAACCATGTCACTAACTTACCAACTTCAGTGATTCACTTAACAACTGTGGCAAGAAATTTCATAATGGTGCTCAATTGTGGTTGTAAGTTGTGGGTTACCGGTACTTCATTCTAACCACTGCACCATGGCTCTTAATTAAGCAGGAAGAGGCAGAAATCCCTGGTATGGCTTGGGGTGCCATAAGGAGATGGGGGAAGCCAGGCTGCGCATGAGTCATGGGAGGGCCGGCAGAAGTTGCATGTGAGTGATGGGTACTGCAGTAGAGAGAAAAGCTGGGACCAATTTACCAGAGTGTCTTATGATCCCTGCCGGCAGTGTCCCAGGGACATGTGATCCCCTTTTGCGACCTTCTGACAAGCATAGTCAGTGAGGAAGCCAGATTCACTTAACAGTCGTGTCACTAGCTTAACAACTGCAGTAATTCACTTAACAACTGTAGCAAAAAGGATCACAAAATGGGGCAAAATTCACTTAACAAATGTCTCTTAGCAACAGAAACTTTGGACTTTGTGGTGAAACTTTGTGGTCGTAAGTCGAGGACTATCTGTACTTCATAGTTATTAGGTGATCAGAGTAAAATTTGTATTTAGAAACACAAAAATAATTCAGTTACAATCTGATGTGGTTAGATGACCATTTTTATTCTATGTCTACCTTAGAAAAAGCACAAGGATTTTATGAAGCTCTTGATCAGAATGAACTGGTCCCAGAAGAAAACTGGCAGAAAAGGGCAAGGAGTTTTTGTCGCTTTGTAACAGCCATCAACAACACTCCTAGAAACATTGGGAAAGATGGCAAATTTCAGATGTTAGTTTGCCTTGGAGCTAGGTATGACTCTATGGCTATGGCTTTGTCTGTAAGCTGCTTGCTAGAATGTTTTCCTTATTATTTTGTTTCCTTATTCTGTTGATCAGGTTGGTGCTGTATTTGGTCGCTTAGATAGCTTTTAGAAGCTTAAAATAGAAGATGATTATCTGTAACAATTTATTTTGTGACAAATGATTTTTTTTAAAAAAATAATCAGTGTGGTTTAAGAAAAAATAAATAACCAGAGATAATATACATGCATATATAAATGCTCATAATTATAGATTAAAAGACTGAAAACACAAGAAATCCTAAACACAAAAAGAAAATTAATGTGTTGGAAAAAGAAATCTTAGAGTTTTTGTTTTGAATATTCACCAAGAGTTCTAATCTTTGTATCTTATGCTCTAATTAAGGTACTGTATTTGAGCCCTCAAATTTATAATGGGTTTGTAACTAAATGAAAATAATCCTTTTTGTTCTTTCATTAATATTATCTTCAGAATCAAATTCTAGTCATCGTCAGAACTGCTAGTATTTGGAACTATGTTAGTTTATGAGTTTATTGAGAGATGTAAATACAGGTGTTTTTTTTTAAATTGAGAACTGAGTTGTTAATGAAAATCTTTTGAGCTCTATATAGTTTTTACATAATAATAGAGTAAAAATCCACAGTGAAGAGGTACACAATTTTCCAATATTGATTGAAACCCCAAATCATTGATAGGTGACAGAGAGACAGACACACACACATACATGTGCACAAGATACATATATATGCCTGATCTTTGAAAAAAATGTTTGAATAACCATTTGAATCTTCTGGAAATAATTAATATGATTGGATTTTTTCCCCAAAGATAAACCTCTTGTTGCTCATCCCAGTCCTTTGTCTCAGAAGTCTTAATATTCAGAGGAGGAAATTTTTTCATCCATACCCCATATTTTATATTTTTTTGTTTGGGGGGCAAGAATTGCACTAACTGAAGCAATAATTATATTCAAATATTATATGTACTTTTTAAGAGAGTTGTTTCTACTTAAAATAAACTTAGTACATGTTAAAGGAACCAAAGATGTTGGAATTCCTTTCTATTGTTTTCAGAATTTTGGTTGGAACTCTGAAGATTTCAAGCAAGGTATCAGCATGAAGTCTACAAATGGCTTTCGCCATGCAATTGCCTTCTGTTAAAGCTATGATTGCTGACATTCAGGACTTATGAGAGTTATAGTTCTAAAAAATGTGGAGAGCTTCATGTTAGCTTGTCCATACCAAAGCTAGGTAGTAGATATGTGCTTGCTAAATAGAAGGAGTGATAATACAAGAAAATTTAATATTTTTCTTACAAAAGAAGATAATATTTAATGCTTGTTTTTGACCTCTAAAACTTTCCCTTACAGAGATCATCTCTTACACCATTGGATTGCTCTGTTGGCAGACTGCCCCATCACTGCTCAGATGTATGAGGATATAGCATTGATAAAAGATCACACGCTTGTGAATTCTTTGATCCGTGTGTTGCAAACATTACAGGAGTTCAATATCACACTGGAAGCATCCCTTGTCAAAGGAATAGACATCTGATTTTGCCTCATGCAACAAGCACTGTTTTAAAAAAGCAACAAGCAACAGACTATTATTAGTATACAAAGATTATATCTGGTAATACATTGCATCCAAAATATTCATGTGACTCAATGCAACTCTTCTAGAATGAAGATACAGATGGTGTGCAAAAATATAACAAAAACTGTACATCCGGTGTGTAAAAGGAAAAAGGATACTTATAAATTACTTTTAGAGTTTATTTGCTGATTTGCTTTTACACGCTTTCATGTGAAAGAGTTAGACGAGTATTGTGCAGCTTATTTTAAAGCTGTAATATTTCTTTGCCATAGATAATGGTGCAGTGAGAAGCTCTTAGCATTCTCTCAACTTGCCTTCAGACTGTATCCTGAAAAAATGTAATTAACACATTCCAATTTCTGCTAAGAATCACTAAGCAATTAAAAACTAATATTTTATTACGTAAGTACACTCTTTAGCATTTCCATGTTGAGTCACTGCTGTGCTGAAAGAAACTTAGAAATGTATATGTTTTTAATAGGCTCAAAGCACTGAATTCATTAGCAATTTTTCTTTTTTTATCAGTATTATTTTTAGCAGATTTTTCAGGAGTGAAACATGCAGATAGATGTTCAGAAATCAGTAGTATTTTTCATACATGAAATTGCACAGAGAAAATTATAAGTGTGTTTTAACTGGCATTTATTTATTTAACTTTTTCATCATGATCTGGTCTTTGCCTTTTTAAAAAAAAGAATGCTATATACTTGGGTGCAGTCCCTATAGACAGAAGCTCCAGAAGAAGTATCTGCAGAAAAATATGTCTCTGCATGGACATGCCTTTCGAGTTCAATCAGTTTATAATGAGATTTCAGAACATAAAATACAAATGTGATTATTTTAAGGTTGCATATCCCCTACGTAACGGCTAACAGTCTAATATTGTGACACTTGCTGGAATAGCATATAAATATACAGAGTAAAATAGAACAAAATTTCACACTTGTGTGACAACTTATGATACTGGCACAATTTTATTACAGCGTTATAAGCACATCTTTTGGTCAAACATTTAGGATGAGTATGAGTGAGGTCAGTATTACTGTGACTTACTTATGCTGGTACTGAACCTATTAACATGTAAAGGTTTTCAGATCTTGGTTAACCCTAATTCATAGGCAGAAGATAACAAACATTTTCTTTTCAAATGCCGAATGTCATGTTCTAATTTTGCTTTGTTAAATGCAAGATTTCTTGGATACTTGTGAACATTGTGTAAAAATATTAGCCTATTCTAATAAAGTTCAGATGTGGATTTTTATAAATACAAGTAGTAAAATTCCAATCAAGAAAAAAAATCTAGTGTATGCCTAGAAACAACTGTTATTATTAGCTGAGAATTTAAAATCCTTAGAAAATGCATACCTAATAGAGATAATACTGAAATACATAGGACAAGGGTTGAAATCTCTGTACTGTAGTAGGAGGCCTTTTCTGTATGAACACTAGGCTTTAACATGGAGCTGTGAAAAAGAAGTCTTCAGTTGTCAGTTTACTCAAGTAGAATTATTCTTAATTCCTACATTTTGTGGTCATTTTTTCCAGTAACTTAAAGTACAGCACATGTATTAAATTTTACTATTTTTACTTACCTTGTGTTTTTCATTATTATCTTGATTACTGCCTTCTTTCACATCATTTTTAATCTATTTACTTCTATCCTAAGAGGAATATGCTTGACTCTCAAAGAAGCACATTTGCACTTATTTTATTTATTGTGTATTGATCTATACTGAAATCTCTCTGTGTGTTCATCTAAACATATTTTCCTTCAAAATTTTATCAGGAAAAGTCTTAGCTAACTGCACACAAAACTTGTCAAGATAAAAACACCTGTTACATATTCTTTTAGGCACTTTCTTTTGAAATGCCATGTTCCTTAAACTTTTTTGTGTAAAATGTCTTCTGATAGATAACAACTTAATAGAAGATTTGTACAATAGTAGCTAATGCAGGCTGTGACTAAAGAATTGTATGAATGTGTCACACTGGCTTAATCGCAATTATCACCAGCATCTATACAGAGAAAATAATGGAAAGTTGTATTATCTTTGTTTTTGTTTGCATTATGCAAGGATGCAAAAATCACTCTCTTCCTGTTGAAGGATTCTTGGTGCTCCCCTATCATTTTTCAAGCATATATGGCATTCAAAGTCGTTAAATTTCTTCCCACTACATACAAGAAACTTGATTTTAAGTGGTTCCTGGGCCCAATATGTAGTGAGACAAATTGCTTCTGGTAAAAGAATCTGAACATCAACTATAGATTTGTAATCTTTCAATATTCACCTTATCTTCCATAATCTTACAGTACATGACAGGCCTCTTAAATCTGGGGGCATATTTAGGGATAAATTTAGGAAAGTATTGTAAACATTGTATGCAATTGCATTTATGAATGCACAAGAAGTAAAGGTCCAGCATGCTTCTAGGATATCACACTCATAAATATAACAACTATTTCAGATGAAAACATAATAGATACTCATTTCCAAACAAAATATGTCAATTATAGTGGCAATATCAATGTAGTTCAGTTATTCTTTTATGCTAAATGGAAGGCACAAAACACTTCTAGATTCAAACTGTGCACATAAAATGATATATTTCTCATGAAACTATAGAAATACTCAATTCTCAGCATGGCACTGATGACCTAATTCTCAACGAACGCTGTTTTAACAACTAGAAATATCATTCTTTTAAAGCATAACAGTTAACAGAATTCCTCCTTTAAGCTGTATGATTCAAATACTTTCATGTGTATAAGAGAATAACAAAGACTGCATTGTATTTATTTGATAAGCAACTATACCACTTGTCATCAAAACAGAAATTCACAATAAATGTAGCTTTCCCCATTTACTAACAAATCAGTTACAGCCCATTCCTTTCAATGGGATTTTCTACCATACCAGCACATAAACTTTTAAATCATGTTTCTGTCTAGAGGAGAAATACTTTTTCACCATGAAGAATTTTAAGTTTCAGACTAGTACTACAGAACTTTGTGCTTGTGCATTGTATATTTCAAACCATATAGACTATGCATCTATGTTGATCTCTACAAGAATGAACTTCTTTGAAGTCTTAGAATTCTCATTGTCATAGTTAAAATATATCTGGAAACATGAACAAAATATTGAAAGTTACATGGTTTTAATTTTCATCTTTGGATTCCTTTGATACTTAGAGTTCTTTACTTTCCTCAAAATGCAGCTTTAATTTTAATAAAATGAAGAATTTTGGCACATTTTTAGTCATTTTTATAGAACAGAAATTGCAAGTATTCCTTTTCTAATTGTAATTTGTATTTTTAAACACTGTATAGATATAGCTTACTTGAACTGCAATAAACTTTTTTTCTAATATGATAAACAATATTAATTTAATATGCCATCTGTGGTAATTATTCTAATTGGCTTGAATTATGTAAAGGTATTTCATCACTATGTGAGACTTCAAAAAAATACCACTGTTGAATTCATAAGTTGCTGGTTCAGAGCTACTTCATTTTTCACATAATTTGTTCTGTGATGATGCAAACTGCAGATTCAAATTAAACATCCAATTATGTATAAACTAAAGTATATATACTTAGGGGACTAGAGTAGAGACTAGAATGTGCATTTTATGGTCTACATACACACATTAGAATTTTCTTTTAATCTACCCAGTGTGCTATCTACATGGGTGCTTCTTACAAGGACATAGAATTGTGCTTTTTTTAAAAAAGAGAAATGTTGTCGTTTTCTGCAATGTTTTAAGGGAATAAAACTGCAGTTTTAAACCAATCTGGAGTCCTTTTCCCTTGCACCTAATCATGGCAGAAATATTCCCTAGTAACACTTTTTCTGCTTTGTCAATTTTCCTTCTTTCTTCATCGATTACAACTGAAGAACAAGAAGCTCCTTTTGAAAAGCACTTTTGGGACAACTGCAGCAGTATTAAAGCTGTATTCTTCATCTTATTTCCACACTGTCCAAGGACATTCTTAAGCTGTATCATAGGCTTTGTCCTTGGAAATCAGATGGCTGACTGGAAATGGAACCAGCAGAAACAAAAAAGTTTGACAACAAATGTTATACAGTAGTCTTTTCTCTTGACTCAAAGTTAAGTAGATAGTTGGAAAAGCTCTACATTTTTTTTAAAGGAATACAATATTTTCCTTCAAAGAACTAATCAGTGTATTGCATGAATTTACATGTGACGATACAGCATACAGTAGTATAGCAATAGCAGATTTTTTAAAAAATAAGTATTTCAATATTATTTTAGCCTATTTCAATATTTAATTTTTGGTGGACTAAATACTGTACTGAAACCTATTTTTACAAAAAATATGGGAAGGAAAACAGCAAGAGTTTTAAGACTACTGCACTCTTATATTTTCTGTGAACTTTCACAGAAAAGTTGTCTAGTGATTTTTTCAATTCTCCAATATATCTAAGGAAAACCCTGTTGAAACAATTTAAAAATACCAATCTGGAACAAGTAATGTATACAAATTGTATGTTGAAACCTATTACTTAAAAATAACATTTTCCTTATATATATTTTTTTATAAAACTGAGCTGTATATGTGCAGTAGATAAACATTTTATTTTATGCTTTCCCCCAAAAATGTCCTCATAGCAGTTAATTTAGATTAACTGTATATAAGCAAGAGATTGCATAAAACCAATGTTTTTTTTAGCTAAGCAATCAATTATTGAACAGAAATCCAGAATGTTTCATACAATCCCTTTATGACGAGCACTATGCTTACCACTATGATTAGAAGTGGTTTCCCCCACCCCCAGCTGATTTTTCTCAGTAAATTTGCTAGTGACTTATACTTGGCATGTCTGAAATGTGTTGGAAGATAGTTTGGATTCTAAAGAAATAATCCAGTTGCTGAGATTTCTGTCGCTTTATCTTATCCTCGTTCAGTTAATTTTGTTTACAAAAGTCTGGAAGAATTTTGCTTTCTATCGAAGTAGGGAAGCCAAGAAGTTGATATTATCCCTTCCTCCTGCTATGAGTTAGCATCTTAGTAGTTCCTGGAGTGAGTTTCCCCCTGAGATGCAGATGGCTCCCACTCTGCTGTTGTTATTTTAAAGGATCTCTGAGGGGTTTTTTACCCAGGCCTTTGGCAAGGGAGAAGAACCTCATTTAATCATGCTTCGCATATTTTAATCTTCTATTAATTTTACTATAATTTCTTTGATTGTTGTAAGATGTCCTGAGTCATTGAAAGTTGGGTGGCATACATTATTAATATTATTATTACACCACCTTTCAGGTCTTATTTTTCCTTGCTTGCTAGGTTAGAAAGGTGCTTGTGTATATTTCCAGTTAAAGTTTACAAAAATGTGTAATGTTAACTTTAAAAAAATAGAGTTGGGCTACAGCTTCAAAATCTTTATTTCCTGTCTTTAAGATGTTAATTTAAAAAGCTGAAAAGAACTTTATAAGGGCTTTAATAAACTAAGTGCTTTCTGTATTTACTGAAATCCCCTACACAAAAAAGAAATTGAATTGTGATATATTGACAGAAGAGAATATTTGTAGCTCAGAGTTGAACTGTAGGATCCTTGGTGCTCTCTGAACTTGGTTGTTTTCTTGCAGATGTTTCTTTACCAAACATCTACCATAGCACTGATGATGTTGCTTAGTTTGGTAATGAAACTTGGTCTGTAAGAAAACAACCAAGCTCAGAAGGCCCCAATGATATATATTAGTATCATTGCTGTTGTGTAGAAAATAGGAGGAAGATGTTTTTGGATGTGTTCACCGCCTTGGGTCATTTGTAAAAATAATAAAGGTGACATATAAATAAATGCAAAATTATTGCAAAATAGGTATGCCCTATTTCTGCATAGATCCATCTGTACTTCTCCAATATTTCAAATCATACTATACTACTGTACTATGATTCAGTCCAGAAGATATTTCATACAGAGAATTTTACCATTTTATGGAGCACCTTGGTAACATATATGTAGCCCTTGCTGCGACCCAACAGGATCTAACTAAACATGTGGAAGATTCCCAAATTCAGAGATATGTGAATTCAGCTTTGGTTTTTAAAACAATCTGCCTCATCCATGGCAAAAATAAGGAAACTAGGCTTAGCTTTTCTCATACATCACCAAGCCTCATTAGGAAGATAGGTTGAATTTCTGGATAGTTTTTGATTTGCTGGCTATACTGTGCACAGGGCCTCAGAGCCAGCATTCTGTGATTCAGGTTTTGCTAAAAACGTTTAAGTAAAGGAAAGCGTTCCCTTATATCGAATATGGGGGAGGGCGAATCACAACGTCAACGCAACTACTATTTAGGCGAGAGAGACTCAGGCGTCCCTCACTAGTTCTTTCTGAACTGCAACGCGAGGTCTTCGCGGAAGCGCGGGAAAAGGGGGAAGGCGGTGGGTGGCCGCCTCCCTGAGCGCGTGCCCGCTCCTTGCCCTGCCAGCAACGCTCGCACGTGAGGCGAGGCAGTGCCTCGGGGTGGGACAGCCCGCCGGCAGACGCCTCCTTTTTGGGACGCGCGCGGGGCTGGACCCAGGGGGCTGCAGCCGCGGTAGCGAGAGTAGGAGCTGCAGCCGCTCGGCAGGCAGCTCCAGCTGATCGATGGGGTCCGGACATCCTTGCTCCGCCGTGGAGACGCTTCTCTTCTTCTTCTTCTTCCTCCTCCTCCTCCTCCTGCCGCCGCAGTTCCTGCTGCTTACCGCGACTCCCCAAGGTCAGCTGTGCGCCGCCGGGCTCCTTTTCCCCAGTTAGTAAGCAGGGCGAGCGTGGTGTTGTTCGCTGCGCTTGGGTATCTCGCGAGGAAGCCTCTTGCGGAGGGTCGCAGTTGCGGAGCTGCGCCCTGAAATGCCATCCAGGTTGAGCGCTTCAAGTCAGCTTGTGGTCGGCTGGGTCAAACAGCTGAGCTTGTCTCGCGTCCCTCCGTGCCCCTTGCCCGAAAGCGGGGAAGCTCCTGCCTGTTGGGGAGTTAAACGTTAAACTCACTCGGGAACCCGCTAGCAACCAGCATTTGTGGCACTATTGGGCAAATGTTGGACCCTTTAATCGGAAAGGCGTGTTCAACTTAGAGGCGAGTTCCCGTCCTTTTGGTACATTGAACCCGCAGGTAAATTTTGGAAGAGGAAATCTGTCTTGGGGTTGTTGTTGTTTTGCAATAAAACAGCGTACTGTGGCTCACGCTTCTGAGATAGGATGTGGGTGGAATAAGCCTCCCTCGGGGGGAAAGAGGTTAAGAAATGGACAGCGGTTATCTAGCAAATCAGTTGGTCTCCTACATTCCTCTTTGCATAAAGTTCATCTGTTTTTAGTGCTTTACATTTGACATGGGAGTACTAAATTCGACATTTCATCTATTTTTAATACTAGCGTTTTCGTTTGGGGAAAAACTCAGTCCAATTTCTACCTCTTAAACGAGCAAACCGAAATTAAGAAAAACTAGAGCTGTGATCCAACATACAGTTACTGAAGATTAAATATATTTAAACCTAGTGGGCTAATTTTTTAATACAAGGGTAGTTGTTGTGCAGATAGAGATAACTCTTAGAAGGTTCTCGGTAGAGACTTTTGGAAATTATATTGTGTTTTGTACAAGGCAGAATAGTTCATAGAATACACCTGATATTTTTTAAGTATATGGATGACAGCTTTTTATAACATGGAATTTATAGAATCCAGTTGGACTTTACAAAAATCCAAAAATAAAAGATTTTTGAAACATTTCCCCGAGTGTAAACTAAGTGATTATGTCATATCAAGTCACATAGACAGACTTTTATGGTGAATTTTTCTCCAATCTTGCCTTGTAATAAAATCTAGCAGTACATCTATTATCTCTATAATCAAATCCATTCGCCTTGTTACTGGTCATTCTTTTTCCTTTCACTTTCCAAGCATAGATTTCTTAACAGAGCTAGAACTTCACATAATGTGTCCAATATATGATAATTTAAACCTAATCAATTGCACCTTGAGTGAAAAATGATAAAAAATAGTGATGTAATAGAACCTAACTGTTTAATTGAATGTAGAAATTCTTACTTCTATAGCTTTTCTTTCACCTTTGAATATATTTTGTAAGAAAATATTGTCAAATATATAGAACAATTGTCAAACCACATTTTATACATCTGTCTAGATTGTTTTGAAGTGTGAGCATAAAACATTGATGCCTTTTTCAAGTTGAGCTTGAGTCCTTGTGACATATGATAGGCTTCTAAGAATTGAACATTTGCAGTAGTGTAGGTAGGACAATATAAATTCCATCCCTTGTACTTGCCTGAATTTTCATACTGTAAATACAAAAAGCACAATGATATGACAAAATATGATTCATCATTGTGGCATCATTGTGGAAAGGAGTGGATATTTTTCACATCGCTGGTCAGAACCATTCCTACAGAACTTGTTTGAGGAAGGAAAATTATACAATGCTAATGAAAAATTGTTATTCAGTGGAATGTGACGTGAAAGATAGAAAAAAATCAGTTGAATACAGGTAAATGAAATAGCAAATGAAAAAAGAAATCAATTAACAGATCTATTCAGATGGCATTGAAAGGATAAGAATAAGATATTTGGTCAGGCCCTTCTGAGGAGAGCTGATGGGCAGGTTTCAAAACATGTTTTGCAAGATAAACTTGGCTTACATGTGTGTAATGCTGTGATGGAAATATAAAGTGGCAAAACATGTGGTGTGATGTCACAATACATTTTTGCACTGTCAGTGATAAGAACTGATGCTTACAGCATAGCATTACTGAACTGTGATGCCATAATGTCAAGTCCACTTAATTCTTTGCCACAGAGTTCCTGGGGTGGTAGGAATGAGGTGGGATTAAAAAACTCTAGACAGTAATCATAACCATGCAGTCAAAGCCCCTTCCATTTGTGCGTGTGATTCTATGGTCACAATTGCCATCCTGATTTTTTTTATTCACCAGTGAGTCTTGACTCTCGCTCTTTGCCTTCATTTTAACACACTTTATTTCAAAGATACTAAAATATTTTTAGTAGTTAAAATGCACCATTGCATACAGTTGATAAATATTAATTATTATATATTAATACTACATTATATATCCATCCATTCATCCATCCATCATCAGTCTACAAAAGTTGTTTCATTTGAAGGTCAAACCAAGCACATTGAAGAGTGCATTCCAAATATAAGCAAGGTAAGAATTTCAAGGTTTTTGGGACGATTTCAGGATTTTTAGTGGGTGAAAGTGTACCATCATTCTTTGCAAGGTGTACATGTTAGCTGCTAACTATCTGTCCAAAAGGAAGAAAAATTGCCAACTTTTGGCTTAATCAGTTGGGGGATTTGAAGTCCATAAGAAGAAGGGCAATGGATTTTAGATTCCCAGTTCTTTATTTTTTAATTTCATATTCATATTCCTTTTCCAGAATTACATATTATAGAGGGAACTAGGGGATATCCTGAGGTCCTTGCTGCACTGTCCTGCCAAAGCTTTTGTTAAATCCCCAAAGCTTTTGTTAAATCCATTTTTGTTAAATGAAAGGGCAGCTGAGGCTTTGGACAGGATCGTGCCTGTGTGGCCTTTCTTGACCCATTGTTCCCAATATTCCCCATGGTTCACGGAGGAGTTGTGGGTTTTGAAAAGGGATGAGAGATGCCTAGCGTGCTGCTGGAGGAAAACAAGGGATAAATTCAAGTGGACACGACTTAGAGCTGCTATTAAGGCGTACCTTGTGGTGGAAAGGGTGGTAAAACACCATTATTTTCCCACCCTTATTGTGTCCACACGTCGTTCAGTAGCCCTGTTCAGGATCACCCAGTCCCTCCTGAGGCAGGAGTGCTTGTGTGATCATCTTCAGGACTATGCAGAAGAATTTGTGGAACATCTGATAAAGTCATATGGATTTGCTCCCAGTAAGAACCCATGCATGGTACAGGTTCATTAGAGATGCCTGGGGAAAGGTCTTATTGATTATTTGAGAACAGTTTGAGCTTTTTGGACTTGATGATGTGGACAGGGTCCTTGATGCTGTCAGCACAAACTCCTGTCAATTAGATCCCTTTCCCTCCTGGCTAGTGACAGCCTCCAAGTCGGTGACAGGCAGGTGAATACATTTTTCATTGCAGGATGTTTACAGGACCCTTAAGGAAGCATCAATTTTTGCTCCTCCTCAAAAATCCATGTCTTGATACCACCTGCCTGGACAATTTCCATCCAGTCCCCCACTTTTTAGGGAACATGGTAGAGAAGATGGTTGTGTGGCAGCTTCAGAGAGTCTGGGATGAAATGGATTATGTGGACCCCTTCCAGTCAAGATTCAGGCCCATTTATGGGACAGAAACAGCATTAGTCACAGATGTTGATGATATTTTGTGAAAGTGGGATGGGGTAGTGCATCCATCCTTGTTCTTCTTGACGTCTGAGTGGCCTTCAGTACCATTGACCATAGTATTCTTTTGTGCCAATGAAGAATCAGGACATCAGACCATCAGGGTTTTACCCATTTTCACCCACTAAAGCTAATTTTTGTTTCATTTGTTTAGTTTTATAGGCATCATTTGGGGTGATGAATATAGATACCAAGGTGCTTGTAGAAGTTATGAACTATTGCTTTTGATCAAATGTTGTGGTCTGCATATACCAAGCTACTGCTTTTATTTACACTGTCACTCTCATTTCTCTTTGCACAGATGTGGATGAATGTGCACAAGGAATTGATGATTGCCACCCAGATGCAATTTGTCAGAATACTTTGAAATTGTATAAGTGCACATGTAAGCCAGGATACAGTGGAGAAGGAAAAACATGTGAAGGTGAGTGTGCTAAAACTATAAAGCTAGTTTTGACTGAATATGATTGTTCTCAATATTTAGTTGAATAATAGTGACAAAATGCAGATATTTGTAAACGGTATTATTTAAATATATTGTGGCAATCAATTTTTGTGACCTAATTGAAAGTTTACCTCATCACACTTTCATAAAACCTGGTTTATAACAGTGTTGGTTGTATTTTATAAGTGAGCGTATTTCAGGTTCTTTCCCCAGTAGAATTGAAATTTCCCGCTTTTCAAACCATATAATATGATTTTTGTAGATTACAAAATGTTTAAAATCCTATTCCATGTTCAAATCAGAACGCATTTTACATTTTTTTTAAAAAAAGGGATTTATTTCTTTGCATGAAAACATTCCAGTTGGTCAACATGATAGGCAGACAGATAGTCTTCAACTTACAATCACAACTTATGAGCCCAAAGTTGTAGTTATTGAGACAGTTTTGACTTTGTTTATCAGAAAGTGATTACATGACACTTCAGCAGTCATAAACATGAACCAGTTGCAAAGCATCTTAATTTTGGTCATGTGATCATGGGGATGCTCCAATGGTCATAGGTGTGAAAAACAGTCATAAGTCACTTTTTTCCGTGTTGTAACTTCAAATGGTCACTTACAATGATCAGTTGTAAGTCAAGGACTACTTGTACACTATTTGCAATATATGTACGCACATGCAGAATCATTTTAACAATGATTAGTTGAACAGTCCACTATGATTATGTTAACATATAATACAGAGCAATAAATCATTATTCACATAATATGTTAAATCAATAGCAAACATAATCTTCCTCAGAATGATGTTTGAACCAACTTCCCATTCACCAATATCATTAACCATCTTTGGGGGAATATTTATGGAGCTCCCGTAGTTTTTTTGTGTATGTGTGTGAGAGAAAAAACCCAGCTGTTTTTAGCTGATTCAAAGTTGCTAAAGTTGTTTCCCTGCAAACTGCTGGTCAGCTGGTCAAGTGGATGATTTAAGATTGGGTGGGAGGGCAAGGCATAAGAGATTACATTGACTGAAGCAGGAAGGACGATCCAGGGGAAATAATAAGCAAACATGAAGAGGATATAAACAGAGATTAACAGATTAATAAGAGTTGAAAGGGACATTGTACTGTAGGTCATCTAGTCCAACCCTCTGCCCAAGCAGGAAACCCTACACCATCTCTGACAAATAACAGTCCAATTTTTTCTTAAAAGCCTCCAGTGATGAAGCTCCCACAACTTCTGAAGGCAAGATGTTCCATTGGTTGATTGTTCACACTGTCAGAAAATTTCTCCTTATTTCTAGATTGAATTTCTCCTTGATCAGTTCCCATTCATTATTCCTTGTGTGACCTTCGGGCACCTTGGAAAATAGCTTGACCACTTCCTCTCTGTGGCAGCCCCTCAAATACTGGAACACTGCTAGTATGTCTCCCCTGGTCTTCACTAGACTAGCCATGTATGCCTGCATTACAGATCCAATTCCATTCTAATTGCAGCATCCAGGATAAATATGAAGAAAAGGGTTATCAAGCTCCAGAATCTTCATGTTTTATTTTACATACCTATTTATACATATGTATATATGCATTGCATTTTCAACTGTATGATGAAATCCTCTTGCTACCAGAGAAACCCTCTCAACTTAGGTCAACTTTGCAACTTTAGGCCAATCTCAAGAACTGTATTTCTGAAAAAAGGTGATTATCTCACCATTTCATGTTCATGGATCAAATAGCTCTGTTTCAGTTAGGATTAAGACCAAGCTAAAACTTTGAGACTGCTTGGAATATCATGCTGAATGACTTATATAGAAACCAAAACTTTATATTTCTTCATTTTTGCTACAGTTGATCATTGTATTGTATAGTGGGCCACATGGTGGAATTGGATCTTGGGGTTTTTACCTCGGGGTGTGGTTTGTGTCAAAAAGCTTGTTCTGGGAGATACTTGTCAACCGCCTATGCTCTTCAAAACCCTTATGAAACTACTGGGGGAGATTATTGGGAGGGGATGTCTTTAATCTGGTAATACTAACCAGACATACTGGCCACTGTCATTTAACTCCAAAGAAACAACTCATAAAATTTGCTTAATTCTTGCATTATGCTGAACCGCTAGATCATAACCATATCATTCTGAGAGGTTTGGGGGCAGCTTTTGAAAAGAGATCCTCCAGACTCCAGTTGCCTCTATTACTGGATCACCAGGCTCTACACTCAATTACTCATGCCCTGGTCATTTCCCGCAAGGATTACTGTAATGGGCTGTACCTGTGGCTGCTCTTTAAGAGCATTCAGGAGCTTCAGCTGGTGCAAAATGCTTGTTCCTAGATCAGCACATTGCTATACAAACTGCATTAGGTACCAGTTTGCTTCCAGGTTTAATTCAAAGCCCTACGTGGCATGTGGCTGGGTTGTTTGAAGGACTTTCTCTTCCAGCTACATCTACTTGTTTCCTAAGGTCCAGCAGAACAGGCAAGTTATAGGTCCTGTTCTCTAAGGAATGATATCTGACAAGGCCCAAGAGGAGACCCCCTTCTGACATGGCATATAACCTTTGGAACCATTGTCCCCCTTGAGATCAAATTAGCTCTGATCTTACTGGTCTTCTGGAAGACCAGGCTTTGCCAACTTAACTCAAGGTCTGACAGTGATGGTATGGAACCTACCAAATGGTTATTCTATTAATAAAATGGATTGCATTCTCCTGCAGATTATGTTCTTTATGGTTTTTAATAGATTTTATTATTTTAATGAATTCTTGTGATACTTTTTGTTACTTTTGTATTTTTTTAAAAAAAATTAACTCCATGACCTGCCAGGAATCACAGATGGGCAATTATATACACTGAACAAAGAAACAAAATAGAAGCAGTACTGGACATGAGAAGATTTAGATAATTTATTTTGAAAAAAATGCACTATTTGCAAAGTTGAAATGATTTAACAACATTTACTAGTAGCATATAGACAATTTAATCCTATCACAATCCTGTCTGTAATAGATAACAAACAAGTAGGTATCTATCATGCTGATTTTTGCTTTATTCTCCAGATATTGATGAATGTGATAATGAATTCAATGGAGGTTGTGTCCATGAATGTTTCAACATTCCAGGCAATTATCGCTGTATATGCTACGATGGCTTCATGTTGGCTCAGGATGGTCATAACTGTCTTGGTAAGGATGTGCCCCCAAAAGTTATTATGTACTGACAGTCATTATCTATTATGTGCCTAGACAAAGTGAAATGCTAATTCAGCAAATCAGCATTTTTGTTATTCTATGTATTTATGAAAATAGCAGAAATTTACTCTGTATATTAATCGCAATTTGTTAATCAAAGTTAATGACCCTTATTTAATTTTAACTATGATTTAGAAAATCATAAAATAAATTTGTAAATGGTTGTTTATTTCAGCTAATCATAGCTCGATTTTAAGTGGGTTTTAAATGACATCTGAACTGTAGTGAATCTTAAAATGGAAATTCCCCATTTTCTGCTTGAGCCCAAGCCACAGATGAAAAGGAATAAGTGAGTCCAAGGCCTACTGTAGTTCATGTTTATGGTGTTGGATCGTATTAAGGGCTTGATGGTGAGCTTTCTGCCCGCAAGGCAGATTTGGTCTACCTGTCCCCACCATTCAAATCCCACTTCCATTCGACATCAAAGAATGAAATGAGTATTTGGTATTCCCCTACTTTAGCCAAACAAAATGTATTTGTTGCTGCATACCGAAGAGAACAATAGGCCATAGCTTTCTTCTAGAAATCAAAGTACAATAAACAAAAAGTAGTCTGAAAAGAGAGATATGATAAGGATTTTTGGTACAACCATACTTTTTCCATATATATCTTAAGTACCTATAGATATTTAGTTTCTGGATTTGTTTATCTATCATTAGGCAGGCAAAGAATAAATGCATCACATATAGTGGTGATGGGGAAAGAGTTTAATTAAATAGATGCTATCTGGCCTTTTATTGATGATTATTATTATTATTTCTGTAATTTAGTACTGAGATTAAGATAGTTGTTCTAAATCGGCTTCAAGGAAAAATATGGGCATTAATGTCTGCATTTTTATTCATGAAATTATAAAAATTTAGCTTAATGAAAAAAAAACTTTGTGTTTATTTAGAAAAATAATTATCTGTAGTGTTATGTTTTATTGAGTCTGAAGAGGAGTGATAGGAAAAAATAGGGCAACTATCCAACCAACTGGATATTTGGTTCATTACTGCTTAATGGATTATTTGTGTGCAGCTGGTATAGACTTTATTTAATTATCTCTATCTATCTATCTCTGTCTGTCTGTCTGTCTGTCATCTATTTATTTATTTATTTACCACTCTCTTGGTTCAAAATGACTATGGGTGGCTTGCAAGGCTTACATGGAGTTGGTTCCAAAGTGATACCACTTGTATTTCAGATATGGATGAATGCTTGGTCAATAACGGAGGCTGTCAACATGCTTGTATCAACACAGTGGGTAGCTATGAATGTCGTTGCAATGAAGGATTCTTTCTCAGTGATAATCAGCACACCTGCATTCATCGTTCAGAAGGTATAAGCCATTTCATTTCTACAAAAATATGCATGAAAAACACTTTCCCCCACCACTTAAAATCAAATTCCTTGAAACATGTTTTAATATGGAATGATCATATGCAGTATGTGGAGTTTCTAAAGATGTTACATGCTGATGAACAAAAGAAAAATTATAGCCTGTCTCTTGCCTGTTTTAAACTATTACATTCTGTGGATTCTGTACTGATAGGTATGTGTTAGACAATAATTTTCAGTGACTTGGGCATGGCTGGGGATTCATTTTTATTACATCTTGGGAAGGGATGCCATTAAAACCAGGCAACAGTCTCTGAGTTAATGGAAGAAATGGTGCAGAATTGGTACCCATTCCTCATGTATACCTTCTGCTTCGTCCACTGTGTGAAGGCACTCTTCCCTTCTTATGCTCATTTGAAAGGCTAATTGGAGCAATTTTGATTTACATGCTCAAAGCAGGTGTTCAGAGAACCTCTACTTAGTGATGGAAACTTGAAACTTGCCAGAATAAAAAAAACAGACTTGCTTGGCCCATTTTGTGCTGTGTCACAGTTTGATTAAATAATCACGTACTATAAACCATATTTATAGAAAAGAATTGTGATTTTTTTTACTCTGAGTGGACTGTACCCCATTTTAAGTACTCAACTAATTGGTCCTTTAAAGAATGTTTGAAGAGATAATCAGAGGTGGGATGCTACTGGTTCTGCCCGGCTCTGTAGAACCGGTAGCTCTGAAGAGCAGCAGACACTGAACTGGTTCTGTGTCTGCTGCTGTTTGGCCCACCCGCCCGCCTGGGCTCTTACCTGACCTTTATTTCCTGCTTTTTCAACCTCAGCTGCTTTGCACAGCACAGCTGCAGTTGAAAAAGCAGGAAAAAAGGGCTTTTCCAACTGCTGTGCACCTGCGCGCAGCACTTATCAGCTGTCCCAGTGGCTCAACTAATGGTGTAAGTGCGCATGCATGCGCAAAACGCAAATACCAAACCGGTAGTAATGCCAGTTGAATCCCACCCCTGGAGATAATGTTAGCCATTTCCCTTTAGAGACTAAAGATACTGACTAGGATATTATAGTGAAATCTTTGTGAAATCTCTTCTAAATTTTAATTAAAAGGACATAAAACTCACATTTCCTTTTATATTATTATGGGATCACTATGAATGTCATTTCATTTATTGAGCTTGATTGATACTTGATCAGCATACTTTAGAACTCTTTTCTAGATCATTTTCTACATTATTACATTTTTGGAGAAGAATTTTCAGAACACATAAAATTAGCTTGTATTGATAAAATCTCCTAGTGATATGGAGCAGTTGTGAGATGATGATGACTTGCAAAATCAAACTGACTACTTGCTATGTACCAGTTGACAGGATTTTCATTCATTTTACAGAAGTCCAAGATTGTGAGAGAAAATTAACTTAATTAGTAGTTGCATTATTTACTCCTCATGAAAATGTTATCATTATTAAGGTGGTATCTTTTGAATTTCAAAATTTAAGGTCTTTATCGAAATAGGATTAATTGTTCTTTTTTGTTTCTATAATGTTCTGTAATTGATATAAAAACTTCAATTCTTCATTTTATAAACTTTTTCAATCAAAAGGCATTTAATAGTCATATTTGTGATTAGTAAAAGGCAGTGTTTCAGCATGTGGCTATTTCTTTTGCACTACAACTTTCACGGGAATAATTTAACATTTTCTCTTTATGCAGAGCTGAGCAAATCAGAATTCCCTATTTGAAAAATTACTGTCTCCAGTAAACTTTGCCAAAGTAGTTGCTTATACAGTATAACCCTTGGTTTCTGAACATGCACAAAGAAATCACACTATTAGCAGAAGCTAAGCTGTTAATTTTCTTAATGCTTTTTATATGTCTTTTAGCTAACTGACTGGCATGTTGAACCTTTCAAATGCCACACAACAGGAGTTAATAAGACTAATTTGTGATCTTTTGTAAAAGAAAAAGACAGACTGACAACATAGTAGTGATTTGCAGGTTTAATATGGATTTTTGTGTCTTTTGTGTTTCTGATGGGGTGAAGACATCATTGTATTCCTAGTTTTCTCACTGTGGGAAAGGAATCAAGGAATCACTAGAGCAGAATAATCAGAGCAATATAGCAGCTATCCCTTTGTTAGTCAAAGTCACTTTAGAAGAAGTATGTTGGAGTTGAAAGCATGGCTTATTAAAATGCTGCAGAATTTTCTAAGAGCATGATGTTAGTCACAGTTTTTCCTTGGGATAAGGAAAGTAATAGCAAACAAAACTTAATTCACAAATCATAGGACAGCTTCATTTGGAAAGCATTATACATTATTTTAACTACTATGTTGTTTTCAAGCTGGAATGAGGAGCTCCTGATGCACATAATGAATTATGCATCATTATTAGGTAGTCTGTAAATTAGCTCCACATATGTTTTGAATGCCTTGTGGATTTAGAAGATGTCCATCCCTCTGTCCCATCCCCCTTCCCGTGCTCTGAAGGTTTACGCTAAAAGGAAAATATATTGGAAATTCTTCATTTACAGAATTCATACCATCTGTTGCTTTTTTGTTAATGTTCGATCTGGGAGACTTGTTTCTCCTTATATTAAACAGGGATAATTGTTTGCATACGCGAAATATTATAAAAAGGCTGATCCATCTCAAGGTAATTATTTTCCTAACTATAAATTCACAGCAAAATGTACTGCCAACCCTCAGATTATAAAAATGATTCCACATTGAATATTTATTACTTTATTGGTATGATATGGGAAGTGGAGTGTGTGTTTGTGTGTGTGTGAATACAGTATATGTATGAATGCATTATTTGATTTAATGAACAGAGAGTAAAACATTTTTTATATTTTTATTTATATAGCCACCCTTCTTATATCTGTTAGAAAACAAAATATCCCCAAAGAGTTAGAACCTTTATTAAGATTTTCTTATTGAAATTTGTTCAGTGTTACAGACATGCTTTGCATGGTCATCAGAAATTACAGGAAGTCTCTAATGGGAATTTCCTTTAAGTCCCTTTGATTAGATGCTGATATTAAAGAAAAATCTAGACTTTAAGAAATATGTGTTTGCTTGATTGAGTCTATTATAAGAAATAAATCAGAACAAGGGATAATTCCATGAATCTACATATTTAGAGTGAATTATTTTCCCCTTCTGTAGCTAATAATAAATCAGTAGCTCTATTGTCTTGGATAAATGTTGTTTGTAGAAGATGCAGGAGAGTTTTACACATACCTTAGACTGGGAAAGAACAAGCTGCTTCATTCTTTATATGGTGGGTATGTTTTTGCATGTTTAGCGGGCATCAGGATGAATTTCAAGCAGACTTTCTTCCTAACTTTACACTCAAGTTCATCAATAACAAGTCTTTTAGAGAAGACCAAATTTTCAGTAAATGAATCTTCCAAAGTTAGATATTCTTATATAGTCCAAGTTAAAGACTGGCCATAAAATTACCTATACATCAAAATCTATTGAGAGGGGAAGTCTCACTCATATATATGCCTTTTGTATGTATGTATGTATTGTGACCATGTTGATATTCTCTAAAAGTTTGTTGAACTTCTTGAGTTCTGCCAGCTGTCTGTCCTCTTCAAGAATGTATATATTGTTAGGAATAAAATATTTATTGAGGTATAATATATTTGAAATAAATCGAGGATACATCTTCTGCTTACTGTATCTTCCAACCCAACTCTCTCAGCTCACCCTATTCCATGAAACATTGTGAAAGTAACACTGATTCACAATGAATGCCCTCATTTGTGCCATTTTTCCCTTTAAAAATTGTAACAGATTTATAAATTTGATGGAGGTGCTTCATGTTCTACTCTTGCTACTTAAGCTTTATTCCTTTTTTTCATACAAGACAGATTGTCTCATGACCTACTTAATTCTTAAATGGTGATAAATATCTAGAATCTGTTGCCTGTATTTAAAAAACTCAGAGAATACTGATACATCCACATTGATTGTTTTATAGAAGGTGTGAGCTGCATGAATAAGGATCATGGTTGTGCCCATATCTGCAAAGAAGCGCCAAAAGGAGGAGTGGACTGCGAATGCAGACCTGGATTTGAACTGGCCAGGAACCAAAGAGACTGCATTTGTATGCAACATACTACACCTAGCTGACTCTTATGCTGAAGGAATTGTGATCAGAAGGAATTGCTAAGCACTTTTCTTCCCTTATCTGATCATCTGCTGGTTTAAAATACTTGGTTTTTGTTCTTCTGTTCACCAAAGTTTTGCCTTGTGATAATTTTAAGGATTATCAGATGCAGTAAAGTATGCATAATTGAAAGTATGCAGTAGATGGCATGCATTAGAGATGTGTTAGACTGCAAATCTTTCTTTGTAGAAGAAATCTCTTCCAACTCTATTATTCTTTCTTTGTAGAATTTCAACCGAATTCAGCTAGAGCTTTTGAAATAGAATTCAGTAGCCAAAGATATGTAAAATAACTGTTGGTGCCCAGTCTTGAATTCAGTATTATGTCTTCTGGTTGACTTTCTAATCAAAGAATTAATTTACAATGCTATATACCAAGCTATCAGAAGTTACTATAATTCAATTAAGCATTATTTTTGAATAGGCAGAAATAGCACTGCCTTATTTAATATCCAGGCAGTTTAGCGAAGAGCATAGGTGTCCACAGAAAGATATCAAAATTTGTAAGATGATGGATATGATGTCCTGATTGAAGCCCCATATCTTTTATACATATATGCAATATCAACAGATGTTCAAAGTGCAGGCAAGGGAAGGTCTCAGGTATAGTGTCACACTCAACACCTTGCACCTCACACTCACCACTGTGAAAGGTGATGCCTTAGAGAAAGTGCTATCTTTAAATATCAGATCTGATCCTCAAATGAAAATATACTTGTTACATTATTACAATAACCCAAACGTGCTTTTTCAAGAGGCAAATGGACTTTTTGGTTTATTCTTTGAAGACATTTCTCTTCTCATCCAAGAAGCTTCTTCAGAACCTTTTCTGATGATAAGTGAAACATCTTCAAAGAAAAAAGCCAGAAAGTCCAGTTGCCTCTTGAAAAAGCATCTTTGGGACAATCATGATCTGGATGACTGACAATCTCCATAGACATTACTACAATAACTTGGTTTTTATTGACTCATCAATTTTATATAATGGATTTAAAATTAAATGTATAGTATTAAATAATTAAATAGTTATTTAACTTAATCATTAATAATAATTATTTAATTATTAATATCAATTATTAACAATTTATTATGTGTAGCATAACATATAGTGCAAGAGTCCCTTCTTATGAGATGGGCAGCAGATAGACATAAATTTGATAAATCAATAAAAACAAAAAAATATAATCAATTTAATTGCCTCACGTTAATTGTTAAAAGGAAGAATTCCAATGTCTGGAGTGGTATAGGGTCCTATGCTTCTGCAGGGGGTTGGACTAGAAGACCTCCAAGGTCCCTTCCAACTCTGTTATTCTGTTATTCTTTAATTTTGTTACTGCCTTTACATTTAATAAATGTTGATTTGGGAATTATGTTAAGTTACAAGGATAGATAATTTTTCTACTAAAGTAGCTCATAGGCCGGCAATCATTTAGGATTCAAAGATGCAACATTCATGGGGAAGGGATCCTGAGCTCAGAAATATATATATTATAAATACTTCAGAAGTTTAATTGGATCTTTATTTTCCAGTGACGTGCAATCATGGAAATGGAGGCTGCCAGCACAGTTGTGAAGATGCAGAAGACGGGCCTGTCTGTGGATGTCATCCAGAGTACACAGTGCATACCAATGGAAAAACTTGTATTGGTATCTCACTTCTTTTCTGCTACATTATTTGTAGACAGGTTGCAAATAAACATTTAACAGTTTTGAGTGATTTATCTCAGTAAAAATATAAATGTTTTTACAGTTCACTGAAAAATTGCAGAAAATCCGAACAGTTTGCTTATGAATGAGAAACACGTCGGATTGTGGTTAGTTTCATAACAGCACACATGCCCATAACAATGGGCTTCGATGATGCTCCTGACTAATTAAAATACAAACTTCCATTAACATAGCTGTCCACAACCTTTCTGGCTCAGCGGTGGTGATGGCGGGCAGAGGGGAGGGGCTGGTTTCGTGCACACAACCTAATCCCACACATGAGCAAATGAAGTTTTGCACGCTCCCCCACTGGATGTGTGGTCCGGTTCCCAACGGGCTGCGGACTGGTACCGGTCCATGGCCCAGGGGTTGAGGACCCCTGAATTTAAAAAATTAGAGTATCTATATACTACTAAAACTGTTACGTCTGTAGCCTTTAATTGGGCAAAATAACGCATTGCAAGGTAACATTTTTTGAACCAAGGTACCTCAAATCAGCTGACTTCCTGATACATCCAAAATCCAGGGAAATGAAATTTGGAAAATGTTATGAAATATTTTATAAAATAGAAATTATCATAAAACATGTTGTATAATACATAATGTCATAAACATTCCCTATGGTCAATTTCAGATATATCACTGTCCTGTACAGTTCAACATGGGTTACTTTCAAAGTAGATACATTTCCCTGGAATTTAAAAGAATTTTTCCAGTACTGCAATGATTGAAAACACTACAAATGCCATTCTAAATTCTCTTCTCAGAAGCGTAAAACAAACTTGTAACAATATTTTTTATAAATTAGGCATTATATATTAGGCATTTTATACAATGCTTAAGCCAAAGATTAGGATGAAGTAAATATTAATTATATGTACTGTATTGCTGTTAACATATGTTTTTCAAAGATAATCAGTGAATTTGAACCATAGTACTTTCACTTGAAGAAGTTCTTTACAACACAAGGTAGAAACTATTTGCATATTGCTTCCAATAATCTGGTCTTCAATTTAACAAACCTTCGAAGAATGGAAGACTGAGTCAACCTTGAACCCTGTCAAGATCGAACTCAAGGCTGTGGGCAGAGTTTGCCTGCAACACTGCCTTTTAACCACCGGGCCACCAGGACTCTTTAAAGCTTAAATACTTAAATTGATTAAAATATCAACATATCAAGAAATCCTCTGTTTGGCCATTACAGCATAGACTCATAGAATTTAAAAATTGGAAATTATCCTAGAGATCACCTAGTCCAATCACCTGCTCAATGCAGGGATTCACTACTGTGGCATCCCTAAGGATGATTGTACAGCCTACTGCTGATGAATGTTACAAGTAATCATGCATTGTATGAAGTACTTTATGTAAATTAAACTGCTTATTAAGTTGCTTATTGACTATAATATCTGTATGGCAAAGGACACCATCAGTAATAAGAGCAGCAGGGGGATTCTAAAAATAGTTACAGAAGAGTAATCTGAAAAGCTTGGCAGGAAAGAACACCATTTTTATGGCAGAGAAAAAAAACACTTCAAGATTGCCAAAGGAGCTGCTCTAAGAAAATATATTTTATAAACAAAGGGAAACTTGTTATCCGTTAGGAAGGTTTTTGTGTTAAAAACACATTTACTAGAAAAACACATTCTAGGTAAAATTGAGCCAGAACAAAACTTATTTTCTACAATTCTTCATTTCAGATGATAATTTCTTTTCTTTTATATAGCATGTATCAAATAGAGATATATAAGCTTAGTCACACAGGATTATTTAACTATGGTTTACGTATATCACAATCTGTGGGGTTTACACAATAGGCTAAGCTGTATGGAATGGTTTACAAATCACAAAGGCTGGGTTAAAAATATGCCAAATCAAAATCAGGTAAACATGAACTATTGTGCAGTATATACCCAAAGGGGGTGAACCTGTAACTCAAGCAAAGTCTGTCATATGACAGTGATGAAAATCCCTTCAAAGTTACCAGGTAGATAATTATTTTCTTAACCAAAATGTATTGTCTAGAACATTAGTTTTTATTCCTTGCCTGATCATTTGATATTTCTTTTCTTTTCCGTACTAAGAAAGAGTAGAAGCAACTACAGAAATCTCTGAGAACAATGTTACGGCAGGAGCTGATGCAGACAAGCGAGTGAAGCGGCGACTGCTTATGGGTAAAGAGATATTCAGGTCTGAGAGTTATTTGCAAGAGATTTCCAAGCTTTGCTGTATGTATAACACGAATAACAACCACCGCTGTAATGAGTTTACAGAAACTGAAAATACTTATTCTACCTAATGAAATTAATGCAATTTCTATATGCTTTCAATTCAGTACAGTTAGACACCAATTGTCCCTGCCACCGCAGAGCTTGTTTTTGTCAGTTGTAATACAGGTAGACCCTGACTTACAACAGTTCATTTAGTTACTGTTCAAAGTTATCACGGCACTGAAAAAAGTGAGTTATGACCATTTTTCACAGGTATGACTATTGCAGCATCCCCATGGTTACGTGATTTACATTCAAATACTTGACAATGGTTCATATTTAGGACAGTTGTAGTGTCCCGGGGTCAAGTAATCCCCTTTTGTGAACTTCTGGCAAGGAAAGTCAATGGGGAAGTCAGATTTACTTAACAACCGTGTTACTAACTTAACAACTGCAGTGATTCACTTAACAAATGTGGCAAGAAAAGTCATAAAATGGAGCCAAACTCACTTAACAAATTTCTCACTTAGCAACATACATTTTGGTCTCAGTTGTGGTCATAAATCAGGGATTACCTATATATTCAGAAAAACTTTTTTATAGAGATACAATGCTATTGTGCTAATTACAATTGCAATCTCTGTTTCAAATCTGTATAAATGTGTAGAGCTAATTCATATTTCTGGGAAAAGGCCATAAAACTATTTTTAGTTATATTTTATTAAATTTCTCTAAGAACGAAATTAAGAAAAGAAAAAATGGGAACGAAAAATAAGAAGAGGCAAAGTGCAAGGGATAAATGGAAAAGAGAAAGAAAATAAAAAGAGTACTTTCTTATTTTCTTCAATATAGTTACAAATATTTTTTAATATTTTATTCTTTGTAGAAATTTAATAAACTATAATTTAAAAAGGAACAAACTATGAAAGATGTTGCAGGAGAAAATTACTCAAAGTTACTTGATTGTTCCTCATAGTATATAGATATTATCCCACCTAATTTTCTGAGATTAGGTGGGATAATAACTATATGCAATGAGGAACAATCAAGTACACTCACTGCAGATGAAACCCTATGCCAATGAGCAGGATATGCCCCAACAAAGAAACAAACTGACATGTAAAAAATACATGGATACCTCAGTGAAAAACAGTGGCTTGGGAATGTAGCTACTGTGGGAAGGCTGAATTTTATGTGAGATATCATTGAAGGAAGAACCGAAAATTGCCTACAATAAATTTTTCATTTAACAAACTTAGAGGAAAAGAATGTCCATTAGACCTGAATATCCATTAAATTGGTGAAGTGAACTACGTATATTTTGGTAAGTATAATGTTTTCAGAGGCAGTATGCTTCTAGGTATCAACCATTTAATATCAGCTAGGCAATACAGATGGGAACAGCTAGTCAGATCCAGTTTGTGGAATAGAAACTTAGGCCTGATTCAGTACAGATTTTTTTCAGATTCCTATGGAATACTTATCTGTAGGTAACCTATCCTGATTTCTTTTAATGTTTAAAACTGAAGTTATCTGTTGTACAAATGCCTCTGGATTTCTTTATGCTCTTTGAACTTGGTTTAGAGATCACCAAGAAGTCCATGGTTCAACCCTGAGATACTCTCTGAAAAAGGTCTTGGATATGTTTGTTTAAACATTAGAATTCAATTAGAATTCATTCTGTTGAATAAATAAAAATATCTCATTTCAAATTGTGTTCTAGTTTTTTTTTTCTGCAAATGCCAAATTATGTTCCTTTTCCTTAGAAACTTGTGCAGTAAATAATGGTGGCTGTGATCGTACTTGTAAAGACACTTCAACAGGCGTCCACTGCAGTTGTCCTATTGGCTTTACTCTTCAGATTGATGGGAAGACATGTAAAGGTAAAGTTCAGTATTCCTTGCAATGTGCAAGCTAAATATCCATATAGGATTCTTGTTTAAAATTGCAGAAAAGTGTAATTTTGCTAACCCAGTAAAAAAATAAAATCTGAAATAGAAAAGCAGTGTACAAGGAGTTGCTTTGATCCTATGCTGAAATATGTATGTGAAAAGTTCAATTCATGTTTTGCATTCAGTTCAAGGTTATCACTTGTCCTCTAGATTGTACAGTGCTAATACAACTCCAGAGCTTAGAGGCAGAGGGCCTCTGTATATATTATATTAAATTAAATTATTCCTGCATATAGCATCCTCTAACAAAACACCTATAGATAACCACTACTTCTAATACTACAAAAAAAACCTAACAGTCATTTGATTATGTAGACAGAAACATAAGACTCCTGTTCGTGTTGCAATGTTTGCAAAAGAAGTGGTTAAACAGCAACATTATCTTCTTGTAAGAAACAAAGTGGCTCTAAATCTGCAAAGATTATATTTTCTCCTGAAAGTACTCAGTAGTCTGACTGTTCTATATTTATTTGTCTGCCTGCCTGCCTGTACTCCATCCATCTACATATAGATATAGATACACACACACACACACACACACACACACACACACACTACACATAGACACACAGATAGATAGATAACTAGTAGATAGATACCGGTAGATACTGACATTCAACTGCTATTGTTCCTGGCTTATTCAGTTTTCTGGCCTTTTTTTGTGGAGGGAAGTTGATTCTGTTTCTCTAAGAGTGAATGCATGGTAAATTGACATAATAATACCCATTGGAACAGAATTCTCAGTTTCTCCATAAGCTGTAATGTGAGTTAAATTTACAGAGCTAGTATACCAACTCAAAGTTTGTTACAGTCAACAAAATTAATCTGTAATAAGCATCCCTAAAAAAACAATAATAAAATAGTAATATACAAATGGAAAAAGAATTTGAAAGCATGACTGATTCAGTTGTTTATGATGAAAGTTTAATAGAAGACAGATAGTCCACAATGAACAACCATTCAAAGTTACAACAGCACTGAGGGGGACTTTTTCATAGTTGCTGCTGTGGCAGTGTCCCTATGGTCACATGATTGTGATGCAGGTGTTCGGCAACCAGCTTGCACTTACATCGTCCTGCATTCACGTGATCACCATTTTCAACCTTCACTGCAAGCTTCTGACAAGCAAAGTCAATGGTGAAGCCAGCAGGAGGTCAGAGATGGCAATCACATGATCAACATGCCAGACCACACCAAATTTGCTTAATGACAACGTCTGGGAGTGCTGGAATCAGCATAATTATGTGATGTCACATTTTATGATCACATGGCTGGGTGACCGAATTGCCAGTTTCAACTACCATTATTAAGTGAGAAATACCTGTAAATGAAGAATACAAAAGTGATGTGAAGTTTTGGAAATGGTACAGGAAATTTTTGATATTGTCAAGAATGGATCTTAAGAAAAATAGAAATAGGCATGGAAGAAAAAGAAAGAGCTGAAAGAAGCAAGAGTAAAAGAAGTACAAACTTGAAGAGAAATACAAGTCCTACATGAAAAATACTAAAAAAATAAGAATAATCTTGCAAAAGAATGAGTAGAAATTGGTATGGAAAAATAGAGTGACAGAAAATCTACAAGCTGTGCATTACAACAACACACATCAAGAATGCAAAACATGTGAAGTTTGTACATGTTCCATTCTTGTAGATGACAAAACCTAAGAGTTTTAGAAGCAAATCAGATTATATCTATAACAGGCGTGCTTCATGCTCCCTATTATCTGTCAGATGCTCTCTTGTGCTTGAAAGTTGTTGCTGCTTAAAGGTGTATTTAAGAATATATCTGTTAAGATATTAACTAAAAGTGAAGTGCAGCACACACATGTGCACAGACACACATCCCTCATTGACAAACTTATTTCTTCTGAAAAACAAAATATGGATTACTTAAGTTATTGTGGCTTTTCAGTTTAATTCTCATTCCAGCAAGAAAGAAAATATCAGTATTTATACAGAGTATGGGGATCTAATTTTCAGAAGAATAATGACTGCTCATTATTACAAGTAGGGAATGTGCAGCAGACTGCTTGTTCTGGCCCACTGTATGTTTAATATTTTCCCTGTTTCATACAGAGAAGTATTTTCTTTGGCTTCAGGTTTTACTATACCATCTATAATTCTGGGAGCTTTCCTCTATAAGACCACTTCCCACCCTATCAACTGACTTGAGTTCTTAATGCTGCATTATCCCATGTACCAATCTTAGCTTTCTTTTCTATTAATGCCTGCTTTCTGTGAGGAGATTCATTTTTTCCAAAATAGAAAGGAAGGTTGCTAAATTCTGCTCTGTAGCAGTTGCTCTAAGAAAGAATTGGGTCTAACGCTGGAGCGGTTAACTTGGAATTGCCATTGCTATTTGATTAGATATTGTTAGTTATTCCATTAGTTAACATTTTAATTGCTCATACTCCTTTCCTTCCATTTTTATCTTATAAAGGTTTTGCTCTTCTCCCGTAAATAAATATATAACTTTAGTGTAAATTGCTATCAATGAATTATGGTGTACAAAGACAAGTACAGGTGATAATAGCAATTGGAATCAAGATTGCCACTGCAATCCAGCAATGTGGTTGTAAAGCATGATGTCATGTGACCTCATCGCTTAGCAACAGCAATTGTAATCCCAAGATGCATGGGTTGTTAAATGGGAAGCAATGAGTATCCCAGATAAGGAGAGTTACAGGGTTGGAGGAAGTCCTAGGAGGGCCAGAGCAGGCTGCATTTGAGTTGGGAGAGGCCTAGAACAGGCCATGTGCAAGCACAGGAAGGCCAGTGGGTAGATGGTGTGATAGGACAGATGGAGAGACCGGAAAGGCTGCATAACATTTGAATGCAATGAAGCCATTGGGTGCAGGCACAGGGAAGGAGGCAGACTTATCAGAGCAACTTGCACCTATGCCATAGGTTTCCCCATTGATTTTGCTTGTGTGAATTCAGCAGGGAAAGTACAAATGATTATTGTGTAACTGTGGAGTTAAGGTACCATACATGCAAGCCAGTTGACAGGCTCCTGAATCACAATCACGTGACCATGGAGGCACTGCAACAGCCAGAAGGTTTTGAGGACCAATTGTAAATTCGAGTCATTCAGTACTATTGCAACTTCAAACAATCACTGAAAAAGTGCTCAGGAAGCAAGGACTATCTATAATCACATGTTAAACTTTGTGGTGACACAAGACAGTTGTTCCAAAGAGGATTCTTTTTTTAAAAAAGTGCGCAAAAGATCACTTAAGTCTTGTATGCTTATTACACTAAAAGACTCTTGACTGATTTGCTTTCCAGGTTATTTAAATTTTTCAGGAAAAAGAAATGAAGCTCATTATATCACTTATGATCCCTTTTCTTTTTCACAGACATTGATGAATGCCAGGCCAGTAATGGGGGATGCGATCATTTTTGTAGAAACACAATTGGTAGTTTTGATTGCAGCTGCAAAAAAGGTTTTAAATTATTAACTGATGAAAAATTGTGTCAAGGTATGTGTGAGATGAAACAATAAAAATACATATGCTTTCTGGCTGGGGAATTCTGGGAGTTGAAGTCTGCACTTCTTAAAGATACCAAGGTTGAGAAAAACTGACATAGGGTATGCTTAACTAAATGAATTTCAGTTCTTCTTGTCGGTGTTCTAAATTTCCATTAATTTCAAGGAGATAAATTTAAACTATTTATGGATTATGTTTACATTAACTGAATGATTAATTAGCACAAAGTAATTTAGTAAAATGGTAATTCCTATACTATAAGCAGAGATTACATTGTTTGACAAATATAATTTACTTTCAGAATAACCATCTGGAACCATAATTAACTGATTTTCCAAAAGTATAATTGATTGCTATCAATAGGATTCTTGGTTTGATTCTTCTAAGATTACAGGAAAAAATATTTCCTGTCTGGCTGACAATGTGCTGAATATATGCAGGCTTAGGTGAAAATAGCCTATTGATAATGATAATAGATTGAATATTGATATGGTAGTAATAATATAAATATTCTATTGATAGCAATGGAATGAACATACTCTCAGCTATTGATAGTTTATCTTGAAAATTATTATTTTTCAAAAGTTATCTTATTAAGACCAATGTGATAATTAAGACAAATATAAAATATAAATCCAAGCCTAAATATTATAATTTCAAACTTAGATAATCCTTATGCATATATTCCCCATAATTCACATTTCAGTCTCTGATATCACTATTCAGCTGCAGGCTCTCTATAATCCAAAACTCTTTTGATTGCAGGTAGATCTAGGACTTGGATCCTGAATAATGCTTTATAGCAAAGTGTCCCTTTAGCAGAATGTCACATATAGGTACTCTTACTGATAGAAAAGGAGGGAAATTATTTTCACTATTTGCCTTTCCCATTGCAGCATTTTCATCAAATCTGGTTTTATTCCTATGAAACATATTTGGGAGAATGGGTTACAAAAAGAAAGGGAATTAGGAAAATTAGTTTTTCTTCTGGCAACAGGAGTATCCTATGACCAAGTCCTGCTTTGGCAGTCAGCTTAGATCTTAAGCGCTGAAGCGGAATTGTAGGAGGTATTAATGTGGCAGAACAAGCTTAAGGAGGAAAAACAGGAGGTGTTCAAATCTGCCTGTTCTAGTTGCCCAGTTTAGTCTGGGAAAGCTACTTCCAAATTGTGGTTGGAAACAGGCTGTGGTTGTTTTGGGTAGAAAGATGTCATGCCACTATTTTCTTACTATTTTTATTCCTCCAAGATAGTTTTGTTTGCTTTTTATCACATTTGTATGGCTACCCATCTCACAAAACACAACTCTGGGCAATATGTAATAAAATTATAATAATATTTTTGAAAAAAACAATGATTAGTATTATTATTAGAAGGCTAGAAGACAGCATCATTTCTTATGAGCTATGGAACCAACTCTTCAAATTACCATTCCCTTGGGAACCCCAGGGCTGTAAACACTAACAGGTTTTAAGAGGGTCCAGAAAATGGACAGAGGTAGAACAAATCCCACCATTTAAATGTTTGTCCTTATATGCAATGGGAAATCAAAATGTTGTTAATGCTATATCTGTATGTAATATACAACTGGATGTATGTTCTATAACAAAGCATATGATTAAATGTTTTCATGAAATACAATAAATTAAATAATACCTTACTTTAACAAAAACAAAGTTTAAGAAAGAATAAGAATTCACATTGAGAGCAACAATTCAATACTTCGACTTGCATGATTTATGATCTGCATTATGATCTTAACTTGTGAGTTTAACAGAGTCTATAGGAGTTGGGTGGATTATTCAAATACATAAATAAATGTTTCCAGTGAGTTGTTATGAGACTAACTTATCCTCCATTTTTAATTCAGTTTTCCTAGCTCATTAATGTCTCCTCCATAAAAAGTGAAGTAATAAAGCATCCATTTTAAATTACAGACATTGATGAATGTTCTTTTGAAAGGACATGTGACCATTTGTGCATCAATCATCCAGGCACTTTTGAATGTATTTGCAATGAAGGATACATTCTTTTTGGCTTCACACATTGTGGCGGTGAGTGTACTGCTGGCATTTTCTTTGGAATTTTATTTCTGTGATCGCAACATAAAAAGGAAATGTGCATCTCAAATTCCATGCTGCAGATTTTTGAGAGTATTTGCCTTTCTACTTTTCGGCCTGACTCTGTACACACTGTACTATTCCTAAAACAACTTTTTTTCTTACTTTTCTTACTGGAAAGCAGCTGTGGGTTTTGGAACAAATTCTACACTTGGGTACTAAGAGCTGGATTTTGCAAATCATACTTGCAAAGTACTGTTGGCATGTAGTAATTATCTGCAAGGTAAAAGCCTAAGCCAGTATGGTTTAAAGAAATGAATAGTGTTTGTTATATGTAGAGGTTAGATAAATAAAATAGTTTTAAAATAAAAGATAAAATAAATTGTGGAGAAATTAGATGAAACAGGCATCCAGGAAGAGTATGAACCTACAAGGGAAATGGCATCAAACATACATTTGCCCCAGTGTATACCAGCTTTTAATCATCCTACAATCAGTAAAAGGAACACTACAAAATTATATCCTAACAAGAACTATTACAACCATTTAGTGTGAAAATTACACCTAATGTAGCAAAACTTTGCTACTCTTAGAGAAATAAATTTATCTTGATTGTTTAACAGTGCAAATAAAAGAAATCGGAGTAGTCCAGAAATTTAAATGAAATAGGATAATCAACTGGTGGTCAGTGTCCCTATAGAACTAGCAATCAGAAAAAGATAAGCCCAAAAAACCATACAGTAGTTCTTGTAGTTAGGGATACTTTCGTGTTGTTACTTTTATTGATTATACTTCATTTATCAATGGCCTAATTATAGTTTCTGTCTGTCTTTTAATTATTGTTAACCCTATTTCCTTAACTGTAAGCAACCCAAATGGGAAGCAACTCAAAGCTGACATCTTTACCAAGACAAGGATGCAGTTCCTACATTTTATTTCAGGGCAAGTGAGGTTCTTCATTGTGACTCATTGTCTTCATTGAAATAGTCTACCTTACCTTCCATTTTTAATGAAAATTCCTTAAAATCAGTAAGTTGTCCTTTGTGCAAATTTGCTAAATTTTGGCTGTACAGATCTATGTGGTTGCTAAGAATTAACAGCAACTTGATGGTACATCAAACAATCATCAACTGGGCACCAGTGATTTGTTCTGAACATTTTGTGAGAGGCTTCCTGTAAAAGCTGGTCTGTGCATGCAAGTGCTTGTTTTAAGTTTTTGGCAACAGTATTAAAATATCCATGCTGCAGAAAAACACATTTAGCTCTTTTTGTATTGTGTGCCTGGCAGTAGTTATCCATGTGCAGTTCTTTGCTAACTAGATTCAGAACAGCACCAACTTCTCCCCCCTCATTCTTCTTCTGTAGATATCAATGAATGTAGCATGAACAATGGAGGCTGCCAGCATATCTGCATAAATACACTGGGTAGTTATCAGTGCCACTGTAATGCCGGGTATAAATTACACTGGAACAAAAAGGACTGTGTGGGTAAGACTTGGCGTCTCAAGCCTATTTTTGCAGCTTTGGACCACTTGAAGGCTGTGCACTTCCCATAATATACACAATGTGTCGGTACATGTTCCTTTTATTATCCTATTACTTGTGGCCAACCAGATTTCTTGGAACAATGCAGACTGAAACAATGAATGGTCTTCCAAATTGCATTCAGGTCTCTTAAAAGTTATTGTAGATCAATAGCACTACGTTGCTTCTAATTAGCTGATAAAACAAAAACAGGAGATACTTTCGGGTCTTTGATGCTTTCTTTCCTGTGCTTTTAATCTAGGCTGTATTTGCTTTTGCAGTTGTCTGCATGACCACTTCCCCCTCTCGCCCAGCTTTTTATAATATACTGTGTGTATGTCTTCATTCCCAGTATTATGAATAGCATATGTGCAAATTGATAGTGATTATGTAATATGTAACTTTGTATTTGCATTTTAGAACCATGTCTGCCATTAGCTTTCTTGTCCTGTGAGTGTCTGTGTTTTGCTCTGTAGAAAGGCCCTTGTCTGATGTCCTTTCCCCCAAAATATCTCTGCGCTGCATTAAGACTAGTGGAAATGATAGATGCTTTTTAATCTGCCCCTCAGATGTCCATTTTACTTCTGGTAAGTCATGCAGAACACCGAGATATTGTTATTGTTGTTGCTATTGCAATCATTATTAGGGAAACAAGAATAACTTTGCTAACTTTGATGTATTTGCACACATTATAGGAGAATTCACTTTGAACAGGTAGTCCTTGACTTGTAACTGTTCATGTAATGACAATGTCAAATTACAATGGTCTCTGAAAAAGTTACTTATGACATACATTCATATTTATAGTCATTGGAAACCATCATCCCACTCACTTAATGAGAAATTATGATGGCTTTATCTCAATTTGTACCTACAACCATTATGAACCATTGCACTAACCCCTCCCCTCCAGTCATGTGATCACTATTTGCAATGTTTTTATAGGTTTCTCGAAAAAATGCCATGGGGAAGCTAGATTTGCTTAACCACTGTATTATTTGCTTACAGTCTTGACTTACAATCATCATAGAAATGGCTATAAAATGGGGTCCAGTCACTAAATGCCTTCCTACAAAATTTTCACTAGAATTGTGATCATAAATTGAGGACTGTGTATAATGAATATATATTTAATTACATTCATTTTCGATTCCGCAAATGTACATTGAAGCATTCTTTCAACAGTCCTGTGGTGGTTGCTCATGAAATGAAGCATATTTCTATAATCTGGTAGTGTTGTATTATAGAAAGAAACAAGCAGCAAATTGTTCACCATTGGTATAGAAATCAGTTGATGGCAAGACAGAGCAATTTTAAAATATTGTCTATAAAAGTGCTGTAAGAAAAATGTATTTCATTACTGTCCACAAGTTACTTAGCAGCAGAAGTGTTATAGCTTAAAATTTATATGAACTATCTTCCTTGAAAACCATCCTCTGCCAACTAGTCAACTAATAAACTTCTTATGAAACAATTTTAAGATTTTCCCAAGGATAGAAAAGATATGTGGAGCTTTAAAGCGCTGTGATTTCCAGTGTGCCTATTAAAATGAACATTTTGAAAAATATGTCAGACAAATTAGTGTGGCCTTTTTCCTATGAATCTTGGTAATCCATCTGGGACAATGGAAAAAAGCAGATGGAATCATCTTCCGCTTGTTTCTATCAATTAAAGATAAGAAAATAGGAACTGGAACTGTGCTTTTATGGTGAGGTAGTAGTAGGAAACATGATGGAAATACAGAGTGTGGATTGGCTGATATGATATGCCTAGTATTTTAATTTGAGCCAAGGAACTTTCATTATTTAAAAGCTCATCTCTCATTTGCTAACCTGGATATTTTAGGAGACCTTTGTCCTCTGAGCTTTCAACCTCTCTTTCAGGTTGAAAGAATGTAGATGGAATTTTTGTGGCAGTTTGGAATGGACTACAGAAACCTCCTTAAACTGCTGTATTGCTTTATATGCTAGGCTGTAGATTCAGTAGTTGTGGAGTTGTTTGTGGTCTAAGAACTTGATTATTTGTCTGTAAATGTTTCATTTCTTGGCTGAGTAACATCACCACTGGTATTAAACAGGGGGATTGCTCCCTGCTTATATATAATAGCTTACCCTTCCAGCATTGCAGGGAGTGGTTTTCTCCTTGATAGTTTCTTGATTTGGTTATTGTTTTTCTGCTTGTTTGTTTGTCTGGTGGCAATCCCTTCTTATCCGGATATTGGCTAATGGCAAGGATGGTTTTTTTCTGGTCTCTTTCTTTCCTTCTTAGCTTTTTCATTGCCTCTTCTGGATAGTGTGTAAATGTGATTTATCTATATGTATTTATTAATAACTGATTTGTCTGAATATCAATGAAATTCCGTAAAGTTTTTGGATTTAGCTTAATCTAGGATGCTCATATATTTCCAACTGAAATTATGGTTGAGTCTATCCCTCTATTGTGAGATTAAGGGGTTTTCATTGTGTCTTCTGACTGTTCTACTGAAATTCCATAATTTCAATAGAACAGTCTATTTTGATGAGAATTCTAATAAGTAATGCCATGTTTCAAAAGGGTGCCATGATTGGTAGTGCATATGATCAATGTCAGATCTGTGTTTTCTAAGAAAAAAGCACCATGAATTAAAAAAATATTCCTTGTTATTATGTTGGCCTGGCAATCCTAAACTATAAATTTGTATAACATATAAATATTTATACAAAAATACAGATTTTATCTAATACAAACTGTGTGTATGTTTGTGTGTTGAGACGGTCTCTGTAATTTGATAGTCTGATCTGACAAACAATACTCTATTGCAGTAATAGTTGACTAAATCTAATGGAATGGACAACTACACAAACTTCATTAAATACAATTGTGGCTTTATTTGTGGAATTTATTTATTAATCTGTGGTTTATTGCACTGCATCATGCTAATTTTGTTTTACTGAACTTAACTTAGTCACCACATGCTTAATTATAAACTGTCCTAGCCAATCATATTTTAGCATGCTGAGTTACGCAAATACAAGGTGTTAGGTGAATGTAGGTTTCCCACCAGTTGTTATAGAGGCTAGAATATGTATTGTCTGAAAGCAATGTAGTTTGGGAGCAAAGGAGAATATTCTTCACTTTTACCTATCAGTTATATTTTATCATGGAAATCAAACATTACATCATAATGTAGTTGTACTTGCACATGGAGAACATAAGATTTGCCAGTTTCAGCAGTTTTTCTGTGTAAATTGTTTTGAAATAATGATAAAAATATGATATTTTCATTGTTTTCAATTTCAGAGTGATTCTGAATAACTTGCAATAGTATAGAATTTCCATCATATCCTTTAGTAAATGAAGTCTACAATTTTGTAAATAATTACAATCAATAATTATAGGTATTACTTATAAAATTTGCTGCCCATCTCTTATCCAACAACTGAAGATAATTATGACAATAATATATATCTGTAATCTTGAAGCATTGTTTATATATTAGTGTAGGATAAAGCAGTTGTGGTCCTTTATATGTTGTGGAATTGTAATTCTCCACGGTGCCGGCTAATATAGACCAAGCTGGGAAATGTAGTTCAGCAATAGTTGAAGAGTCACAATTTTCCTGTTGCTATGTTAGAATTAGATTTCAGGGGTATATTTCAGCCATGCTCTAGCATGTATTTCTGTTTTATTGTATAGCCTTATGATCTGTCTCTTAGGCCTGGAAGATTCCTATACTATAAAATGTGGCAACCCTTTATCACTTAAGAAAAAAATTCAAAATCCAAATGAATCACCTACTTTAGGTAATTATTTTATATGCATGTTTTAAAAATATATTACACATTTATGGCTGGTTTGTTTTTATTTGTAGGCCTGCTTGTCAATAAAAGAAATATTGCTCAATTAGTAAATTAAACTGCCTATTTTTCTTGTGTTTGAGCAGATTTTAATTTTCTTTAAAATAATTTTGGTCTGTTTTAATATATTCTTTTTGCATCTTGCAGCGACTAGAAAAATAGAAAAGGCATTGCTGCCTTTTTGGAGGGAAATAGGATAAATAAAGGTACCACTTGCATGTGTGCCTTTTGTAAGCATTTTTAAAAACACATATATTTTAAAATATAGCTTTTAAATTGATGGTCTTTAGTCAGTTACTTGACTGATGCTGCAGCTGTAGTATTGTTTTAATTTTATTTTAAAAATTCATCACATCTTAATTATTTCACATCAAAAGATTTGGATATCAGAGCAATCAACTGATTTCAGGGTACAACATGATTATCTAAGCATGACACATTTGCTAAGGGCTAGCATGACACATAACTTAGACTCATCATTTGTCATGAAAGTGGATGAAAGTTGCTGCTGTACATTTTATTATTAAATTGACTAAACCCAGCCATAATCTATCATCAATGGCTAACGAACCACAGTGTCTATGTTCAGACAACATGGTAAACCAAAACAAACTACAATATTGGTTATTATTATAATCTGGTTATACTATCCACTAATAATTTTATTTGTTTGTCTTTGTCTTAGACAATGTGGTTTGTTGTAAGATCTTCAGTTCCTTCAAATATCCTTATAACCTCACTGTACTATATATTTTGGCTTGCCTTGTTTGTTAGCTTTCATTTATTGGCTCTCTCTCGAGATGAGGAGTTTTTGCATAGTTTGTTTGTTTATTCTATTTATATGGCCGCCTACTTGCCTTGCAATTCTAAGTAGCTAAAAAATTTAAAACATCAAATGCAAAGGAAAATGTTAAGATAATAAAAGAGAGAAAACAGGGTACACTGGTACACCCATAATCCATATATGTAGAGAGAAATGAGGCATGTGGAAACCATCTATATTACCTACTTGGTTTTGGTAATGAATTTAATTAATATGAAAATAATTATTCTACTGTTTCTTTCTGAAGATCTCTCTATCATCAGGACAACTGTAACTTTTAAATTTAATCAAGGAAAATGTAACTTGAAAAAGAGTAAGATGTTTCAGGATGCTCTTCACCATGTAATATCAGGTATGAATGGCAGTGCATAGTTTAAAATGGTTGCTTTTGTAGATCATTTATGACTTGATAGGATTTGGGGGTTTAATGTAATGATTCACAGTTTTTCTCATATTTGGGATATAACTATAAATGTTTCCAGAACAGTTGGCTGGTATGTGACTTGCTAAATATCTAAACTGGCTGCAGTAGTTTGTCATTTGTAAGCATCTGGAATTAATCATTTAACCCCACATGCATTTATTCAGCAACATTTATCAAGCTTTAGCAAATGCCCAGTAACAAATTTGGCCAAGATGCTGCTTCCTTTAATTTTGTCCACACAGAGAAACATAATTCAGTAATGGAGAACTTCTACTATGTAAACCTAACATGCAGTTCTGGCAAGAAAATTGTTGGAGACCTCGGCAGTATGAAGGCAGCTAGAGAAATGTTTATATCTGCAGACTTTGAGCTTGAAACAGACCAAAAGGAGGTGGCAGGTTGGTTGGAAAAGAACTGAAAGTCTTCGTTTGTGACAGAGCTTTGTTGCAGTTTGATCTTTGAGTTCTCTCTTTCATTTCCATTTCTATGCAAAAAAGAAAAAAAGTATCTCCTGTTTTGAAGCTTAAGAGCTCTTTTCCATATGATCAGAAAGCTACTGTGGCTAAAGATGTTATTGTTCTACATTATAAAGGTCTCTTTTGTGTGTGCCTTGAAAATTTCACCTCAGGACAATATTTATTGCCATAATTTAGGCAAGCTGCCTTCTCAGCTGCAGTATCAGCTGCCTCTTTTAAATAATATGGTTCTATATATCTAAGCTTTCTGTTCCTAATCACTGCTACCTGCTCCTTTCTAGATACATGTAATTTGAACTGTGCACGTAAAAGGACTGAGAAAAGGCTACGTAAAGCTATCAGAACTTTGCGGAAAGTCATCAACAAAGAGCAGTTCCATATTCGCCTCTCTGGTATAGATCATGGAGTGGCCCGAAAGCCTCCCAGAGCAGTAGATACCCAGGATCCCTGCAGCCTAGGTCAAAAGTACATGGATAACAAATGTGGTAAGTAGAACTAACCCAAATCAATATTGATGAAATCTCTCAGATATGCATCTCATTCTCTTTGCATCATTTTATCTGCCTGACACTCATGATATCAGAAAATCAGTGTGGATATTGAAGGAATGACTAGATCAACAAATACCAGAATTCTACATTTTAAAGCACCACAAAAAATTATTTGTGGCCAAACGAATTTTATGTCAAGGTTATTTTCTTTGGGCTGAGTGTAAGTCCTCTTTGTTATCTCTACTCCATTGTCTCGGACATAAGCTTTGTAATTTATGTTCTTTTCTGTCAGTTTCATAATATTCAGTACCTTACACGGTGTGAACTTTATTATTTATCCCATTTATCACAAAAATATGGCAGGTACAAAAGATGCTTATTTAGAAACATGTATTGATGAGTTCATTGAAAGCAATCCAATCCTTGATACATATTTTAAAACAAAAGCTCTAAAAAGAACTAAAGAACTATGATTACAAAAACACAATGGAAACAAATGTTTCAATAGCAAATTGGCAGGATTAGTACCTATACCTTCAGATTATATGGAAAACTAATGGATATAATAAGAATAAATTCTATGGAAACTAAAGCTTTTGTATCCTCTCTTCTGTTTGGAAATTTTCCCTTTTTGTTTATAGTATATCATACTATGCCATACCATTCAGGTCAACAATCTGTGCTTAATGTTGACTTTTGCTTTGAAATGTATCTATATGTCCCTTGGGAAACCCCAGGAAATGAGATGGGGAAAACACTCATATCCACCTCTTTATGTGAAATTAAGTACTATTCCGTAGCAGGAATGGGGTTTTGAAGTAAGTCATAATATAATATCTTCAGACCACTTGAGTTGGAGAAAGGAAGAAAGAACCCAACCTTTGATTTGTATCATCACTCTTTCTCTTTTAAGATATTGCAATTTTAGTCAATTATTTTATTTTAATTTTTAATCTATGAGATAACTTTATGATATCAAGTCACTTAAAGAAGCAGCAAATAAATAATAGCAAATAAATTTAAAAAACTATTGAAAGCAATATGAAGTCATTCTTCATCAGGGACAAATTAACTTGTACTAGAGTTTCAATCTTTTGCGGGGGGGGGGGTTGTAAAGGTAAAGGTTCCCCTCGCACATACGTGCTAGTCGTTTCTGGCTCTGCTAGGTTAGCAGAAGCTGGGACAAGTAATGGGAGCTCACTCCATTATGCGGTGCTAGGGATTCGAATCGTCTAACTGCCGACCTTTCTGATCGACAAGTTTAGAGTCTTAGCCACTGAGCCACCGCATGCCTATAGGGATTTTGTTTATCTTGCCTTTATTTTTTAAATTACTCAAGATGATGAACATACCTAATACTCCTTGCTCTTTATTCCTATTTTTTAATTGTAAAACTTTTTCTATTATCTTAATTGTTAAAAAAGATAAAAATACAGAAACAATTATACTCAGTATATAGTTTTTGTTCCTACTTACGTTTGTATGTCTGATGTTCAGTATATTGCAACTTTTTCCCTTTTGAATAACAGGGTCTTGAATAGAATACAAGAGGCTAATAGATTTTCTAAACTGGAGATAAATAGCTAACTGTTCTTACTGTTTCAGGAATAATAGGTTTAAGAGCCCAATTCTTACTTATAAGATTTCACCACATGCTCACAGCCTATGAACCAGTAAGAAACAAAAACAACAGTAACAACAAAGATTCTGAAACAATATAGGAGGCAGCTCAGAGATACAATTTTGTCTTTTTTTCCCTTAGGAAATAAGGGCATGGGTCTTCAAGGGGTGGTTAGTTGTGGATCATGACCTCTTTTATGAGGTTCACCATCTTAGTCAATGAGACACTATAGTGTTTGTCCATGGCATCAAAATCTCAAAGATAAAACTAGCTGAATAGGGAGAAAGAACCTTTAAATGTCTTTATAACTTCTAATCCAGGAGCCCTCAGGGTGCCTCTCTCCACATCTATCTTTTGCATCAGAATAGCTTTCACTTCACCCCTGAAACTCTTGTATAAGTTAAGAATAGGGTTTTAATGGTCAATGAACACAACAGAAAAGAGTGGCTACAGGAACAGAATCTGTTGATGGTGAATGGTTCTTAACTTCATTTGAAGAAAAGAAAAAAGCAAGCAGAAAGTTTGTTGAATCCTTAATGGAGTTTCATTATTTCTAAACCATTGGTCTTTGTTTTCAAAGGAGGCGGTTTTTGTGTTTTGTGGAATACCTTATGTTTTTTTGGTGTGATTTTGCTATTTTGTTCATACTGAAGGATCAGTGTCTTTAAAAGTTAGTATACAGCTGTTGATTTTAGATACTTGATTACTTCACATAGGGAACATTTTAAACAGTCAAGCAAAATCTAACCATTGGTCCTTCTTCAGATGCTGTCCCTGATGCCTGAGGCTGTTAGAAGTTGTCTTTCAATATATTTGTTTATATCAACATATTTCTGCTTTATGACCCTGGAGAAAAATATCAGGAGTACCTCAATAGAATGCTTAAAGCAACTATTTGATGTATAGCTTTCATTTTGAGCAGTGGAAGAGATTGCTATTTTAAGTAAGAGTCATAATTTTAAAGGGTCTATCTCTTCCTGGTTATTTAATAAAATTGTCTCCAGTTTAGTCATACATATGAAGATGATACTTTAAATTACTGTACTTTTTTGCCTCTGTTGAAACTGTTAAGTAGCTATAAGCCCAGACAAAAGCTATGGATTCACTAGTTTAAAAAATTTGTCCAATAACACCTAAGCCCCATTGATATTAAGATGAGAATTACAGCCAATTTTATGCATTGTAAGTATGTGTAAGGCTAGGAAAAATCCAATAATGGATCCTATTTTCAGTTTTATGGGGTTGTAGACTTTGCACATGCATAATTATTTATTGAAATCAATACTGGGAAGAATATTGCTCAGCTGATGTGGCTATTTTTTTTAGAATGCTTAATCTTGTAGTTCAGTGATGTGGTTAGTCTGAAATTCTCTTGCCTTCAAGGGCCATATTCTTTCAGAAGCAACCTATAAGAGATAGCTCAAAGAATAAGGCTAAAGCAAACAGATGTTCTCATTTGAACATCCCCTTTTTCTTTGTCTGGCACCATTCTCAACTTTGGTGTCAGAAAGAAAACAGATTGGCTTATTTAGTAGTCTGACCCAATTTCTTTAGTAGGGAATTTAATTAAAATATTTCCCTGAAATAACAGCTGTAGTCCTATGAAAGGAAATTGCTGACTCCTATGTTAGAGATCCTGTTCAGTTGGCTTCCAGGGATCTTTAATTTGAGAGGTTACCGATCAAATAAGATACGTTTCAGCTAGAAAACAGGTGTCTTGAAAGTATGTTACAGATTTTCTACTACAGCTCATGTCTCAGTTTTTATAGATCTTTTTTTAAAATGTGGATCTAGAACAAAGCTGAAAAAGCCCATCTGCCATGGCTTGAACATTTTTTTTAATCCTTTAGGAAAAGTAGAATTCTATAGAAAAATCGTGTAGGAAAAGTAGAAGGATTTTCATCTTCAGGAATTTAAAGGAAAACTATAATGGGACAAGAGTCAATTTTCCTGTTCCAAAAAATATTTCCTATAGTGAACATTCAAAACAAAGAAATGCCATCTATATCTGCTCTAAGTGAAGAAAGATTAGCCATTTACACATTATGAGTGAAATTCTGAAAATTTATCAATTATGAGATTTAAATTATAGGATAACTATTCAGGAATAATAATGATGGTTAGCAATTCAGTGAAATAACATACTTTTAATTGAAAATAGTACATTCAAACATAGGTTAAACCTTCACGCTATGTAATATTCATTCTTCTTACTGAAGAGAAAAAAATTTCTGTGACTGACTGTTCTGCCTTCTATTGTTAGCTAGCTGCAGTGTTGGAACATATTTTGATGGGGAACAAGAAAAATGTATTTTATGTCCTAATGGAACTTATCAAGACAATGAAGGTCAAATTGTCTGTGAACCTTGTCCAAATCTTCAACGTTCTGGGGACTCAAAAGCAATTGGTGCTCGCAGTATATCTGAATGTGGAGGTAAGGATATTATGCAACACCCTGTGTTTGGACAGAAGGACCCACTGTTGCTTCTCCCTCTTTATAATATATACTGAAAAATGTTCATCAACCTTAGGCTTTGGAGAAATATTATAATGCTACAGTTTAGCTAAACAATTTACAGAAAAAGTAAGTTTGCTCTTCATTACAGGTGAATGCACAGTAGAGGTTTGTGTCTATGAAAGTAGGTATAATTTAACAGGCAGAAAAAAAAATGATATAGAGATATCTCTGTAGAATCTTGCTGGGGAATATTTGCCTGAATAAAGGCAAAGTTCTCAGCTTCCAACACGATCCTAGCTATGAAATTCTTCTTCTTGATCTTTGATCAGTTTAGCAATGCTGTAGCCTAGAGAACAGTGGCGTTAAAGAGAAACTAATAAATTATACTAGAGACTAAGGAAGATATATGTATTACCTACTGACCATCAATTTCTGTAGCAGCAAAGATTGCCTATGTGTGAAACTTCCCAGACAAGTTTCTAATATTCGTTCATGACGGGATTTTACAGTACTTCAATAAAGACTAAATTCTAAACTCAGGAATTAAATACTGCGGACTGAAACACCCAGGGCATTCAAGAGTGCTTTCAGACAGTTATTTAAACTATGCATTAGAGACCACAGACAATTACTTGCAAGAGGGATAAAGTAAATCTTGTAGTTTAAATAATTTTTCCTGGATGGTTAAGAATATACCAATTAAAATGTTTAAAGACTTGTGAGTTAATTTTATCCAGTAATCAGACTATGTTTTGCCTATTAAATGTATTCAATGGATTTACTAAGAAGGAAAAAGCAAAATTTAGTATACTTTAAAGCCATTTCTGTGGATATAATGTAATATCATCCAAGATGGGCAAAAAGTATTGGAATTACAAAAGTACAGGATGATTCTGGACTGAATATTCTGGAGAAAGTATTTTAATACAGTTTTACTTCTAGAAAGTGCTCTAGACATGGGAAATGTAGATATGGAAGTATCCTTTAGTCTAATTTTCATTAGTTTATTCAGCCTAATATTCCCTCAATTCATTTAGTCTAATATTGCTTACACTTGACAGGTAGCACTGTCCAAATTTTCATGCAGGATCTATTCCTAGCCATAGGTATATATGAATTGGTGCATTTTCCTTTCCTACCCTTTCTAGAGCTATGATCTTTTTCCAAAGTTTTCATCTGATGGGTTATTTTCCTGAATAAGCAAATGCTTCTCTGATGGATACTTAATATTTTTTTTTGCTAGGTGACAGTGTTTAACTACTGAAAAAGAGATACAGAATATTTGCAACCAGCTCTTTCTTCAGTCACTATATAACAAAAATATTTAATACTACTGGATATAAGTAGCACAGTTTCTATATAACTTTTGAAACACAGGTTCTATATAAGTCTTGATAGAAAAATAGAACTGCAAAGATCTAATGTACCTTACTTCAATCTTTGTTCTTAATGTGTTGTAATTTATCTCAATTGCAATAATATATTGGATTTTAACATGCTATTCCTTTTTTTGGCATACTAACTTTCTTTAATGAAAGAGATCTTTAATGTGGAGTAGAACTGCAGTTCTCTATCTGCATTCTTAATACGAGACCCAAATAGTAGTTTGGGTCTTGTATTAATATTTTAATCCACAATCCAAGCCATTCTTTACTTTTGTTTCATAGTACAGAAAAAAATGACTTTTTTGTTTGATTTTATTGTGAATTTTATACTCTCCATTTACAAGTCACTGCAAAATGTGCAATAAAATATCAACATGGAACATTTTGTAAAATACCCATATTCTCCATTTAAACTATCAGCTTTCAATTAAGAAGTATGGATGATATGTTGTTTTATACCACAAACATACAAACATAGTTTGGTAACTGGTGTGGCTAATCCTTGCAGTTATGTTGGCCTATTGGTAAAGGAAAGTGGCATATCCTCTGATTCAAATTAAATACCACTATCTAGGGAAAATAATTTAAATTTACATACCATGATTATCTTAGTTACTTCCAAGCTCTAAAGAGAAAGCCTTGGGAAAGAAATGATTTCTTCATGTCCCTCATGTAATGACTAATGTCTCAGTGTCTACCATGTCATTTTCTTCCTTCGTTGCTGCAATGAGTGCATATGGTTCTTTCTGCTGCTTTATTCATAAGCCAAGACAGTTTTCCGTATTAAACACAGTTCATTAGCTGTAAACAAAATTCCTCATCCCTGATCAAGAGAAGTTAGTGCCTTTTTTTTCCCTGTGAACTTAAGTAACCTGAAATGAAGCCAAGGCCAATTTAGCTCCTCTTAACAAAAACAGTCATTTGGCCAAGTGATTTATTGAAGCTGTAAACCACAAGGTAACAGATTTAGCCTCTCTTTAAAAGTTAAGAACTCCACAGTATAGGCAAACAATTGCAGCAGTAATCCATTGTCTTACAAAGCAGTTTAATCACTTGCTTTGTTTTTGCAATCTGCTTACTGCAAATTTGGGAGATACATCACTCAGATTTACGGGGAGAATCTATAGGCAACATGAATATAATCAGTTCTAGATTAGCTCTATTTTTATAATATCTGAGCATCAAAACAGTTCAGAAGCAGAGATATTAAAGACCAGGGGTAGGAATTGGATGTAGTTACTGTACTACTACATCTATTTAACATATGGCCTGCATTTGTATGTGTTATAAAAATATTTTAGTACAGTTTCACGATCATTTCTGCCTTGCATATGTCCTTCACCTGAACTGAAAGTGAATGGGTTTTCAAGATAAGGTCTGTGGAAATAAAGGGTAAGCAGAACCAGGCATTGTTAAAATATATTCAAACAAAGGATAACCCTCCCTTTCTTTATTATCTGTTCATTCAGCATATAAACTAAAAGGGTTTATTACTTCATAAAATAGAGATAAAGTGGGGTAGAATATTGGGAGGCATATAGAAATTTATAATTCCTTTTCTCTTTAAAAAAAAACTTGGCATGATATTTTTACATAGATAACTGGTAGGAAGAAGCATTGAAAATTAAAGCTGTTATGCCTTTAGCAGCTTTACCTGACCTTGTCTCCTCCAAGATGTGTTGAGATTACAACTCCCACAATTTTTAATTTGTGTCAAAGTGTGATCCAACACATCTAAACAGAGTGGGTTGGGATCCTATTTTGTAGCCTTGTTTTGTTTTTCTGAATGGTAAACTTTTAAGACAGATGAAGGAAGGCAACTGATAAAAGGTAGGAATGAAGAATTGTTTGAGCCAAGACACAATTACTAAAGTATGCTATTTCTTTGCAATTTTACTAAAATAAAATATTTTGTTTCTTAAACTTGCTGATTAGGTAACACATTGCAGTACTATGTTATTTTTGTACAAGAATGCTTTCTCTCTTTCAAGCCATTAAGATGATATTTACAAGTCTGTTAATTTGAATATAAGCTTTTTCTTTTGCAAACAGCTGGGGCAGGAGAGGAAGCAACTGAATGACAAGTATGTTATGAAGGCAGGATATTTCTTGCCATAGCCCCAATTTGGAAACATTAATCCATGGTATTTGTGCAAGAGTAATAAATCCCGTTTTGCTGCAATATCAAATATGAATTTTTAACAAACATGATGATTCTTCAGCACTTAGCAAACTTCAGAGCAGATTCTCAATTAGTAATTGTTTAGTTTGGTGCATTACATTTGAATACAAGAATTCTGCTGGAGCAGTGGTTAGAATGCAGTATTGCAGGCTAACTCTGCCAATTGCCAGCAGTTCAGTCCTGACCAGCTCAAGATTGACTCAGCCTTCCATCCTTCGGAGGTTGGTAAAATGAGGACCTAGATTATTGGGGCAATATGCTGACACTCTAAACCAGGGGTGTCAAACTCAAGGCCTAGGGGCCGGATATGGCCCATGGGATGCTTAGACCTGGTCCACAGGGCTGCCCTGGAAATAGCGAAGGAGCGGCTTGCGATGCCACAGCCAATGTAAATGGAGCTCAGGAGGGTCACATATGGCCCTTCTGGACTCCATTTTCACTTGGAGAGATTTGCAGGAGGCCGTCGCAGCTGAAATTAGAGCTCATTTTCACTGGCAGAGCGCTCGGGCTGCCATAGGTGCCCTTGACATGAGTGACATCAAGCTGGCCACGCCCACCCTGGTCATGCTCAAGCCGGTCCCTTGAGGTCAAACACAACCCGGATGCAGCCCTCAATGAAATCGAGTTTGACACCCCTGCTGTAAAAGCTTAGAGATGACTATAAAGCACTATGAAGTGATATATAAGTCTAAATGCTATTGCTAATTTTCTACTAAAAAGCAAGTTTATTAAAAATCTATTATCAGAAAGAGAGGCTGATAATATAGTACAATGGAAGCTTTTCTTACTGCAGAAATAAGCAACTTTCTCTAAATCAAGTTACATGTAACAGTTAGAACTGAGAGCAGAGACGGGAAACTTTAAATTATTTTCTGCTGTATTTTGTTTTTTGATTCTAAGCTTGCATGCAGGCATCATTTTAAACTCATTTTGCTCCAGATTTTTATATCCACTCTGTTACCCTTCTTCCTACTCTTCAGGACAGTGTTCCCCAGGTGAATATTCAGCCGATGGACTTAAGCCCTGCCTTTCATGCCCTTCTGGGTCATACCAGCCTGAACCAGGTCGAACATCTTGTTTTACATGTGGAGGAGGTCTGATGACAAAAATTACCAGTGCAACCATGTTTCAAGATTGTGAGACTAAAGGTAAGAATGGCAAGACTTCAAAACATAAGCCCTCATGTATTTCAGTCCCAATTTTTCATCTCTCCTTGAAAAGGATCTCTCCCTCCCCAACTGGGATAGGCAATGATTTACTACATATAGGAACACTTTTCACCATCCAGAATATAAGATATATCATAATGTAAGAAATGTCATATATTAGACCAAAAATAGGTAAAAAATAACGTGTATCTTCCAATCAAGCAAGGCAAACATAACCCTAGCACCATTTCAAATAGCTAGAATCCTATAATGATTTTTGTTTCCACAGAAGGTTGAATGTATTTTTCACTTATATGCCTTTTTGTATTATAAATGTATTATGTAGTAAGCACATTATGAAAAAAAATCTGTGCTTTGTGTCAGGTACACCAACTCATACAAGCTTTCATTTGTACAGGGTTATAAGCATGTCAATTTGTGTAAATTTATTTTAAGAAAAACAGTTGTTAAATGAATTTAAGGTGAAGAGTGCTTGTATGTTTGCCATACTTTTTCAAATTATTAGTCCATTCTGCTTTCTTATTCTCATTTATAGTGCAGTGCTCACCTGGACACTTTTATAATACAACTACGCATCGTTGTATCCGCTGCCCAAATGGAACATATCAACCTGAGTTTGGACAAAAGTACTGTATTTCTTGTCCTGGAAACACAACGACTGATTATGATGGATCCACAAACATATTGCATTGCAAAGGTGAAAATTGGTGCTAAGTAAGAATAGTAAATTTTAGAATCCAGGAGATCAGTACAACTTGCCTTGCTTATATTCAGGTCAGGTGGCTTTTATTTTCACATCGTTGGAGAATTCTGTGCCATAGTTCCTTCTTGAGTTGCTGTGTAACATTTCTATATATAGCAAATCACATGAGATTTCTTTCCTTGGGGGAATTGCAGCTTACATTCTGCCAAGGAGTCAAAGGCAGGCTAATACCAGAGCAACTAGATTCAGTTTCATTATAAATGTATTCCCTAAAAAGTATAGCTGCTCTTCTTACTGCTTCAATTAATATGAGATGTCCTTAGTGTAAGAATCTTCAATAATACTTCTAGGCAACCTGTACTTAATCCTCTGTTATTGCTGCCTTTCATTCTTTCTCATTAACTCATAAAACTCATAAAACCTCATGCTGTGTTTCAGGGGCTTTCTTTAGTATGTTAGGTTCTGCTCCCTCTTGGGATACAGCATATTTGACCTGGTTATTTTCTTTGGTATCGGTCTCAATGAAACTCACATAAGTGGAAACAAGAACAGATGCCAACAGTTTCATCAAGGTTTCTACTCAGAGTTCTGTAACTGTACTTAAGGCTTTGCTTTCTAAGACTTTTGTTTGCTCTCTTCTACCCACTGCCAACAGTATGTAGCAGTCTCCCCCATTTCAATGTATGGAGCCAGTGTATCCCAGCCATCTTCTAAAGAGCTCATTTCATTTCATTTCACATACATCCCACCTTTCTAATCTAGATAAAGGTAGTTAACAACATTAAAACAAAAACATAAATTTGACATAAATTTAAATTCACTAAAATTGATACATAAACATTGATATATAATAATGTAACAATTAAAAGCATCGGGTGGGTGGGTGGAGATTTATCTTCAGTGTTCTTCCCAATCCTGAACTAATGGGAGCCAAAATCAGTTTCCAAGAAACTGTGCTCCTTAGTTGAAGAACAATACCAGAAAAGTCTCTCTTGGACCTCAGAAAGATTGGCAACAGCCACTTGCAAAAGGCATCTTCTATAGATATTAATAGCTAGACATAATCATAATAAGAATACTTTAGATAGTGAAGTTGATAATCTTTTTCTCTTTAAAAGTGAAGGCTAACTGTGCTGTGTGGTTTTGTTAACATCTGAGTACAATTCAAAGTGGTAGTTATTATTTTTAAAGTGCTAAAATGGTTTGATGTTTTGATAATTTAAGTGAAATGTATCCATCCATCCAAGGAACATGTCTAGAGTAGGGATGTTGTTGGTTCCCTCTGTGAGCTCTGGGAAGGAAAGCTCGGAGAAACTTTCTTTTTTACTATGTCTTCCATACTTATGCAACCTTTCATGAAGACTCAAAAGATATATTTCCCAAAAGCTTTTTAAAAAGTGGTTAAAATGGAATGTTCCAAAGAACATATGGTGTCTAATGTTGCCAGGACTGGTTGTTATGAGAGAGATTTATTATAGACTTAATGGGAATGTGGTTTATTTGTGGTTGCATGCTTTTATTGATATATGTAAACCACTGGGAACTCATGTGGAATCATTGGTATAGAATTAATATGCAAAGTCTGGATTTCATTTTAGCTTCTTCCTACCTCCGCCCCCTCAGCCTATTACTGAATTAGGGAATATTCAACAGAACCAATTGTTCCTTAGAGTTAAGAAGTAAGGGCCATCAGAGACTGGCACCACCAGGGCACTAAAGACATCCCATCCAATGCCCCACACTCATAAATGTAAGGAATGATTTTGAGGGACAAGAGAAAATGCTGAACCAAGACAAAGGTCGTATAAATCTAAGTCCAGGACATAACAATAAACATCTCAGGGAAGTCCTAATAAAGGGAGGGGGAAGAGGGAAGAACTTTCAGACTTGTAAAATTCTATTGCTGTAAACCTATAATTGGCCTGCATAACTTTAGTTTCCTGATCTGGTCTACTTTGGAGAGCTGTCATCAGTCAGCAGCATAAGTGTTGAACAGTAGCCCTTCAATACTATCTTCTGGATATAGCCATAAAGGAGCAATGTCTCAATGCCTAATCCCACCTAGCAACCTGAACAATCCCATGATCAATGTACAGAAAGTACCAAAAGGTCCAGGGTATCTAATAGGGCTTCATTTTTATCCAGTTTAATTGCAGGTCCTCTGTCAAGTCAACCATATCAGTTTTAATAATACTCAGTACTGTCACCTAGTACTGTTTAACTAAACCGTGCAATGGTTTCTCCTCATAAATGGAGAGTATAGGACAGGTGAATCATGGAGAAGATCAGAAGAAGGAAACCATCAGCTAGTTATTTTGGTGTTTGTGATGGGAAACAAGTTTTCTTTGCCATTCTAGACAGTATATCTAGATAAAATGGGTAATGAGGAAGGGGCATCTAGATTGGTTGCAATATTTGGTCAGCTTGGAGGCAATAAAGACAATCATAGGTTGGTTGGAATAATCGGCAAGCATTGATATTTTTTGCTTGTAGTGAGGAGATAGAAAATGGTGATATGAACATCAGAATAGCTATAAAAGTTATGAATATAGCTACCAGAATGTCATTGGTATAATCCATTGTGTCAATGGGATAGTCAAGTGGAAGGACTGTGTATGTTAATCTTTGTGAAACTTGGAAGATGCCAGGTCCACAAATAGGATGATGTGTGAACATACTTCATTCTGAATCATTGCAAGCAGTTGTATATTCAGTTTAAGAAACCATATGATTGATTTCTATAAAGAAGCTGAAGTTTGATTTAGAGTGTTTGATGAGTTTGGTGGCATTGGTTATTTTTCCTTCCACTATCACCTTTTTTTTTGTGCATAGGCCATAATGTAGATAATAGATTCCTCTTTCTTTTTTCAGATAGATATTGTGGGGGTGAGCTTGGAGAGTTTACTGGATACATTGAGTCCCCAAACTATCCTGGAAATTATCCTGCAAATACTGAGTGTACTTGGACTATAAATCCACCTCCTAAGCGCCGCATTTTGATTGTGGTTCCAGAAATATTTTTACCAATAGAAGATGAATGTGGAGACTACTTGGTGATGAGAAAAAGTTGTAAGTTAAAATGAAATAGATTTTGTTTCTCTGGATTTCTGTGTCGTGTGCAGCTTTATATAACGTGACATAAAAATGATATGCTTTGGTTATAGGCCTGGGTATACTAATACTTAGGTGAATAGAGGAGAATGTATCCAAAGTCTTGAAATTCTGTTGTTTTATTTTCCTTGGGTTGATGTTTTCAGATTAGGTCAGCTTGCTCATAGGTATATAAGTAATCCTTTTCATGGGAAAAAGATGTACAAATGATATTAGTTCCTTGTAGGTGGGAAAAGCTCCTTTCTACAGTTTAAGACATTACCTAATGAAAAAAAGGATCAACATTAGGAGAACAGTATGTTGAATATTGAAAATCAGTGTTTGTTGGCTTGTTTCGGTAGTAAAATTAATGCCCAATGATATGATCAAGGTATAACTGAGTTAGCTACTCATCAGTATAGTGATGTGTTTTGAAATATGATTTTTCAATTTTTGTTGGAGATTCTTTCCTAGATCTTTTCCCACAGCAGATTACAGCACTCTTATTTTGGAAATGTTGGGAAGATCTTGACAGTAGCTTAAAATGCAACAACTTGCTTTCATACTATGTTGAGAGCAACAGTGACAAAAACTGTATATATTACAATGAAATTGGAAAAAAAACTCCTGTGAAATAACACCCTCTATTATTCTGGTACCATATAGGTACTTCGATTATCGTCCCTGAATTCTCAGTTGTTAGCTTGTTTTCATTAGGAAAATACTTTACTAACGCAAGCTTCAGTAGATAAACATAGTGATTATATCTTCTGCTTTTCACTACAAGAGACTTTGGCAATAGGATAACTGAATGAGATCTTCGGAGAAAAATAGTATTGGGGTAATAGGACCGTATGGGAAATAAAGCATAATAGAATTCTAATATCTGCTTTGTACATTTTCTTTGGTAGCTTCCTCCAATTCTGTGACCACGTATGAAACCTGCCAAACCTATGAACGCCCTATAGCTTTCACTTCCAGGTCCAAAAAGCTGTGGATCCAGTTCAAATCAAATGAAGGAAATAGTGCGAAAGGATTCCAAGTCCCTTATGTAACCTATGATGGTAAGCCATGCTTAAAACTCAAAAAAATTTAAATGTGGACATTTTATTTTTGTTATTTATATTTCTGCACTTCCATAATTAAAGAAGGTAGAAAGAGGCGATCTCAAGAGATGAGCAGTTATTTAGCACCTGAATTTTCCAATATGTGAAACTGTCGTGTGTTATACTCACAGATCATGCTAAATCATAAGTGATTTGTTCATTTGATCTATATATTGTGAATCCAGTCGCTATGGGATTATAAATTGTAGCTTATGGCTAAGTCAACAAACACATGGTTGAATTAATCATGGCTGGGCACAATATATGAATCCAATCATAATGAATGAATGAATTCTTTATTGACCAAGTGTAATTAGGCACACAAGGAATTTGTCTCTCTTGGTGCATATGCTCTCAGTGTACATAAAAAGAAAAGATACATTTGTCAAGAATCATAAGGTACAACACTTAATATAGTCATAGGGTACAAATAAGCAATCAAATCATACTAGAAAACAAGTCAATATAAATAATTCAGAAAACATTAGCAATCATGTTACCCAATACTTGAAGTGTTCATCGATCTTTATGGATTGAAAGCCAGTCTTGGCAGAGGTTAACCTGGAATATAGATATAATGTATAGTTTCCTTTATTTGGGGGAAATATATTTTGTTTATCTGAGAATACAGTTAGAATTCCTGGCTAGAAAATGGCAGTAATTTCATTTTTTGCAGCTTAAGGCTTTAATAAACAACTTTTATGAAAAAAATGTGTTTGACTTGACAGATGGTTTTCTAACATCATGCCACATCTTACTAGTCAGCCACACCAGGATATATCATTTCTGCACAAAATGATGAAGGGTGAACTGTACCTGATCAGAAATTGTTATGGTATTTAGGGCCATGATAGTAAAGCAGATACTATAGCTGAAAAAAAGTTCTGAATCTTTTATTGTTTTTTGTATTTTTTTGTATTTTGTATTTTATATAATGCATTTTTTACAAGATAAGTTCTGTGTGATATTGTGACTTCTCTGTTCCTTGATTTCTCTATTATAGCTAAGATTATATTTTAGATTTAGGAAGAACTATCATATGTTTTCACTCTGCCCTCTCATAACTGTTCCAGTGATTTTACACTTTCTGCTTTGAAGCTGAATTTGGGACTAATCAATATTTCACGCAGAAGCAAAGAGAACTAGCAGCTTTCTCCCCATGTGATCTCTGGCCATTATACCAAGTTAAACAGGAACTACCCTCAGGGTAACCACCATCCCCAAACAAATCTGGCTTGGGCATGATGAACTCCAAATGCCTAACATGTGTTTCTTTTAAAGAGCTAAATTTGGCTTTGCTGTAATCAGTGGTAATTTTCTGATCTCCGTTTTCGGAGACAGCATTGGTTCCAGAATTTTGCAACTGAGCTTGATATAATTCCCATAATGAAAGCCCATTTCTGGAACTCACATGCTTGCTGTAAAAACAGCAAATGATGTTGAGTAATGGTTTTATCATACAAAGACAATGGGGAATAAGAATGTTGATGGTGGATTTTTTAATGCAGGAAGTGTATTTTTTTTCTTAAGTAAAAAGTTTTTGAAATTTTAGTTTAGTTTAGTTTACTTTATTGTTGTTATGTTATGTACAGAATAACCTTTGAGTAACAAGGATATGCACATGGAAACATTTATGAGAGTAGTTATGAATGATTATTCAGCCATACACAGCATTGAGTTAAAGTTTACTTTAAGAAATAGCACAGTCCAATAAACGGTCCAGATCATATACGTTTTACAGTCCAAAGAATACCCAATTACAAAATCTTCTTACTAGTGGATCTTTGAGAATGTTTTGAACTTTCTTAAGGCAGTGGGAGCTATAAAGCTCTTCCAAGGAGGGGAGAGGGCAACCAATGATCTTCTGGGCAATGACGTTAACCCTCTGGAGCGCTTTCCTATCTGCCACTGCAATTGGCAAACCATACAGAGGTGCAGTATGTTAAAATGCTCTCTATGGTGCAGCGGTAGAAGGTCACCAGCAGTTTTTCATTGAGTTGTTGTTTTCTGAGAAGTCTCAGGTAGTATAATCTCTACTGGGCCCTTTTGACCAGGGCTGCAATGTGGGCACCCCAGGTCAGGTCCTCTTTTAGGGTAACACCCAGAAACTTAAAATTGGCCACTTGCTCCACTCGGTCTCCATTGATAAGCAAGGGTTGGATGTCTGATCTGTTCCTTCTATAATCCACTATAAGCTCCTTGGTCTTATTGGTGTTGAGGATGAAGTTATTGTCTCCACACCACAAAAGCAACTGGTCCATCTCATCTCGGTAGCTAGACTCATCCCCCCCACCCCACCCCCCAGAGATAAGTCCCACCACTGTTGTATCATCTGCAAATTTAGCAATAGTATTACAAGTGTGAGTGGCAATGCACTCATGCACATAAAGAATATAGAGTAAGGGATTCAACATGCAACCCTGTGGTGTATCAGTGTTAAGAATAAGGGCTGAAGAGGTATGATTACCTAATCTGACCCTCTGTGAGCGGCCAGACAGGAAATCCATAATCCAAAGGCAGATTGAATTGGAAAGCCCAAGGTCCAGAAGTTTAGACACCAGTCTTATGTGGAAGAATTGTGTTAAATGCAGAACTAAAATCCACAAAAAGCATCCTCACATGCCCCCCCCCGCCCCCCTCCGGCTGTTCTAGATGACTCAGAGCAGTGTGAAGAGTGATGGCTATAGCATCCTCTGTAGATATATTTTTTTCTGTATGCAAACTGGTGTTTATCAAATGTATACGGAAGACCAGAAATGATGTGCTGGCAGACCAATTTCTCAAAGCACTTCATGATGATAGGAGTGAGTGCCACTGCTCTGTAATCGTTGAGGTTATTTATAGGGAACTTCTTTGGCAGCGGAACAATGGTGGAAGCCTTCAAACAAGATGGAATAGTGGACTGGGATAAAGACCGATTGAAGATCCTGGTAAAGACTCCAGCCAACTGATCAGCACAGTCTTTAAGCACTCAGCCAGAGATACCATCATGACCAGCAGCCTTTCTAGGGTCCACAGCCCTCAGAATGCTCCTTACCTTCTATTCCTCCACAATTAAGTGGGGGCTACAATTGGCTGGTAGTTGTGTTTTATCTGTCTCTGATATCTCCACTTCAAAGCAAGCAAAGAAATGATTCAGTTCCTCTGCCAATGAAGCATCCCCCTCAGCAGGGATGACATTGGCTGGTTGGTGGTTTGTAATTTGTTGAATCCCTCGCCACACCTGCCTCGTGTTATTGCTATAAAAATTATCCTCAATCTTCCTCTTATAATCAGTCTTGGCCTTCTGAGTACCTTTCTTCAGATTAGCTCTGGCAACACTATATCTTGCCCCATCACCGGACCTAAAGGCCTTGGTCCTGTCACGCAAGAGGCGCTGGACTTCCTTGGTCATCCAGGTTTCTGATTGGGATAGATCCTAATACATTTATCCACAGTGATAGTACCTGTGCAGTGTTTGATATAGCACAGAACAGTTGCAGTGTGCTCCTCTAGGTCAGGGTGGTAAAGGACGTCCCAATTTGTGTTCTCAAAACAATCCTGAAGTTGTTGGGAAGCATCTTCTGGCCAAGATTTCACTGTCTTTTATTATAGGCAGAGCCCGTCTCCTAAGAGGGATGTAAACTGGTGCTAAAAGCAGTGACATATGGTCTGATTGTCCCAAATGTGGTAATTTATATCCATGTTTGATGTTGGTATATACTTTATCCAATACGTTTGCTCCTCTAGTAGCACACTTAACATGCTGATAGAATTTAGGGAGCGCTTCTTTTAAATCAGCTTGATTAAAGTCCCCCGCTATGATATGCACAGCATATCAAATGTTGTACAAAGTAGAGTTTGTAAGAATACTCATGATTTGAAAATAGTAGTATCAACTATTTACTATGGAAAACTTTGTTTCTGTTTTTTTATATGGTTCCCTTATTGAAATTATTTTGGAATATATTAAACTTTCAAATAATGGAAGTAAGCTTCTAATTTGGTTGTATGTTATAGAAAAAATTGATAACAGCCCTGAGATGCTTTTAAATTGCTTTAGGTATTTAAATGTATATTATCAATTTTTTGCTTAAATTGAATATTTTTGACTCTTTAACAAATATGCTAAGCAAGATTAATGTTGCTTTTTGTGTTTTGAATAGAGGATTATCAAGAGCTAATAGAAGATATAGTCAGAGATGGTAGACTTTATGCATCAGAAAATCACCAAGAGATCCTTAAGGTAATCTTATTTTTCTAACCTTGCCTGAAAAAAATATGAATTAAGCTTTTTCATAGTTAAAAGATTTATGCTGTTACTCATGATCTGTGAAGTGCAATGAGTCGGCCGTGTGTTAATAAATTCTTGTGACAGAGGGAAGTGGGTACCAGTGTAGGAAGGTAGGTATATCTTCCTAACAAGAAGAGCTATCTGCTATTATTATTATAATTGTTATATATTATACATATATTGCCTTGCCACTCTGGAACTTTCACTCTTGAAAGCTACTTGAGGCAGTGCTGATTAAAAGTATATTATTATTTGAAGCAAAAAAACCCAAAAGTGGCTTCTTTATTCATGTGCCCTGAAACTATACAGGTAGTCCTTGACTTACAACTACAATTGAGCCCAAAATTTCCATAGCTAAGCGAGACAGTTGTTAAGTGAGTTTTGTTCCATTTTACTATATTTCTTACCACAGTTGTTAAATGAATCACTGCCATTGTTAGGTTAGTAACATGGTTGTTAAGTGAATCTGGCTTCCCTATTGACTTTGGTTGTCAGAAAACCACAAAAGGGGATCACATGATCACTTGGACAGTGCAAACATCATAAATACATGCCAGTTGCCAAATGTTCAAATTGTGATCATGTGCCCGTGAGGATGCTGCAACAGTTGTATGTGTGAAAAATGGTCATAAATCACCTTTTTCGGTGCTGTTGTAACTTTGAATGCTCACTAAATGAACCATTATAAGTTGAGGACTATCTGTATATAGTTAAGGAAGGGGTGGAAAATTTCAAAGTAAAAAATACTATTTCCAGCTTATGAAGTGATAAAGACAATAGAAAACTTTGATCTTAACATTGATAAAATAGCCTTTATCTTCTATACAAGGGTGCTAATAAAAGTTCTTGCATGATACTGGGTTTTAGGGATTGGAATATGCTACACTAGGAAATACATCAGTCCAATCCACCTGCAGCCATACGGTAGAGGTTCACTGAGTCTCTTAGTCCCTCTCAATCTCAGAGTCTCCCTCCCTCCCTCCCTCCCTCCCTCACACACACACACACACACACACACACAGCCCCACAGTTTTAGGATAATAGATAATAGAGATAATACCATCTATACTGCCTTGAGCTTCTCAACAAAAGGCAGGATCTAGGTCTGACATAAATAAAAATAACAGTGCATCACCTGGTTAATAGTACTTTTCTGACCTTAGTTTTTAATAGTTATTGTATTAAATGCTATTCTTTTGTTTTCTTCAAATCATCATCATATGATTAAAAATATTGACCTTATTCTTTCAGGATAAGAAGCTGATAAAGGCGTTGTTTGATGTCTTGGCCCACCCACAGAATTACTTTAAATATACAGCACAGGAATCTAGGGAAATGTTTCCAAGATCCTTCATTCGACTGCTGCGTTCTAAGGTCTCCAGATTTTTGAGACCTTACAAATAATGTATGTTACATTTTTAAAAAACTTTTAACTGTACAGGCTTGTTTTATATTCTTTTTATAGGGCAGTCTGGAGGAAACTGATGTGCCAATTGTATACAACATGTATATTTTAAATTAAAAATATAATTATTTCATTCCATTGGGTTTTTTTTTCTTTTTTCTCATTATCTACTGGTGACTGTCTATTTTAGAAAAGTTGCCCAATTGTCTCGGAAGGGATGCAAGGGTGACTCATCATGATTAACATGGATATTCTTGAAAAGCAACTTTTGAAATTTCATGATGGCAGCAGTTTAAAAGAGTGGATCCATCATTTTGGAAATGTCCAATGAATTCACTTTGGAATTTCAGAGATGAAGGAGAAGACACAAGCTTAAATGGTGCTGTGATATGAGAAAGGAATGGTTTTCAAAGTATGATTTCAAAATAAACCAAAGAACAATATGAGTCTTCTGCTTTTTCATTAAAAAAGAAATAGTACAGTAGACTTTCAAGTGGATTTTAAAGTGAAAACGACAGTAATTTTTTTGTATAGAATCCTTTATTTCTCAAGATTCTGGTGGCCAATTCAACATTTATCATTTATTTGAGTTATCCTGGAGGAAAAGTGAATATTTATGTTCTCAGATATTCCAATGTAAAGTGAATAAAAACTATGTGTCAGGGATGGGGAAAATTATAATTCTCTTACTCATGTATGTGGGCAATGATAATTATTGATTATATGACATTTCACTGTATAAAGTATGTTAAGCTTATATTTAAAAATTACCTTTAAAAAGATAATTTAAACATAACTGTGTTCTTTTTCTATATGCCACACTCCTGTTCATAAATTAATGGCTGATTTCTTGACATGCTAAGTAATAATCTCTATTATTTCTATCCTTGTTTTCCACAAGAGGGCAGCACGTGGTACAAATTTAATTCTAAATAATCAGTATTTTTTGTTTTATCCTTAGTTTAAAAAATAGTGTTCAGGAGTATATATGAGTGTGTATAGGATGCTGGTTTCACTTGGCAAATAATTGCAGTCTTTAAGGCTTTTTCTTAAGGGTCATTGTTAAAATGGCCTGGGACTAGAACAAACATAGGGTTACAGTATTTCAAAGATAAAGGTAATAGTGAATTTCAGGGTGAGGCCAGTATATAAGAGAATCTATTATATTCCAGGCTATTACTAATTGGCTTTTCTGCATATTCCAGAAGGTTAGACTCAATAATCTCCATAGTTTCTTCAGCCTCCACAATTTATTTATTTACACAGATATATACATACAATTTATATGCCACTCATCTCCCTATGACTCTCGGCAGCTTACAATTAAAAGTAAAAAGAAGAAGAAAGAAAATGAATAGTCCTAAAACATCACATAACCAACATCCCACCTCCACTCTAGCAGTGACTCAACTGTTGAGTCTGGGAGAATAGCCAGATTCTTAATAGCTTCCTGAACATCACCTTTTAATTCTTCAGTTCTAGGTTAACTGATGGCAACTCATGTTGCATCAGTTATTGTTGTATTGTACTATTCATATATTAAGCAGAGCTAGATGAATCAAAAGTTGGAATTAAGATTGCCAGGAGAAATATCAACAACATCAGATATGCAGATGATACCACTCTAATGGTAGAAAGTGAAGAGGAACTAAAGAGCCTCTGGATGCGGGTGAAGGAGGAGAGTGCAAAAGTTGGCTTGAAACTCAACTTTAAGAAAACTAAGATCACGGCATCCGGCCCTCTCAATTCCTGGCAAATAGATGAGGAAGAAATGGAGGTAGTGACAGATTTTATTTTCCTGGGCTCCATGATCACAACAGATGGGGACTGCAGCCAAGAAATGAAAAGATGCTTGCTCCTGGGGAGGAAAGCTATGGCAAATCTAGCATACTTAAAAGCAGAGACATCACCCTGCCAACAAAAGTGTGTTTAGTCAAGGCTATGGTTTTCCTAGTTGCAATGTATGGCTGTGAAAGTTGGACCATAAGAAAGGCTGAGCGCCAAAGAATTGAGGCCTTTGAACTATGCTTCTGGAGAAGACTCCTGCAAATCTGTTGGACTGCAAGGCAATCAAACTGGACAGTCCTAGAGGAGATCAACCCTGACTGCTCTTTAGAAGGCCAGATCCTGAATGAAACTCGAATATTTTGGCCACCTAATGAGAAGGAAGGACTCATGGAGAAGAGCCTAATGGTGGGAAAGATTGAAGGCAAAGGAAGAAGGGGATGACAGAGAATGAGGTGACTGGATGGAGTCACTGAAGCAGTAGGTGTGAGCTTAAATGGACTCTGGAGTATGATAGAGGACAGGAAGGCTTGGAGGAATGTTGTCCCTAGGGTCACGATGGGTTGGACATGACATCACAACTAACAACAACAACAACTATTCATATTACGCATGTGTAGAATGTTCCTCCAGCCATCTCATCTAATAATCAGCAGACAGCTCATCTAATTATTGGAAAAAACACAGGTTTTGGTGTATTAAAATAGGAACATAAGGTTCTAAGCCTACCATTTGAATGGTCATTCTTACGTATCAATATACAGTACTTATAGTTTTTCAATTAGACAGTATTTTTCTTGAAGATCAGAACTTGGAAGCCTTTGAAAGCTAACCAGATCCATCCATATCCTCTCTCATTTTTGAGCATCCTCGCTTCAAGTATCTGTTATGAGCCTACAGGAATTCATAGATTGAGAAATTAATTCAGAAATGTATCTGTAGGAGGGAAACTTGCAAGTTCTGAAGAAATAGCAAGCAGACTAGAAAATACTTGGATGTTCTGGCTTTAGGTCATAAAGATCTTTCTGTAAAAAGAAATGACTCACTATTTTGAAAGGCTAAGCATTAGCTCATCAGTCAACTCAACTGTCATCAAAAATTTACTCTAGATATTTTGTACACAAAGAAGACTAAAACACTAAAAACACTCTGGGAATGTCACTTCAATTTAATTACTCTATATACAAGTTGGGATGAAATATGGGCTGCTGAACTTTTAAAAACATCTGCAAAATTAAAAGAGGCAGCAGTAAAAATTGTTTATATGTACCATTTTATTCCAGTGAGACAAAAAGCATAAATTCTGCTTTACCAGCTTAATGATTCATTATTTGGTGGAGCCTCACAATTATCTCAGACTTCTGATCCAAAATATTTTCAACTATCTCTGGTACTGTTTCTGCAGTATTGTATTCATTTCCTTTATTAAGCTTACTAACAAAGGAAATTAGTTACAGTTCCTTGTTTTATTTTATAAATAGTAATATTATTAGCTATTCTCCTTCAATCCATTGCTATTAAATCATTAGTGGAAAATGGGAAAAGTTCTCCTCATTCAAAGCAGATTTTCAAAGGTTTCAAATATAAGACTTCTATACGGTGAGACTAAACTCTTAACAATATCATCAATACTTCTGGGAAGCATTAATGGATAATTAATTCAGAGTGTAATCATTGGAAAATTTAATTAGAATATAGAAAGTAGCTATTACTTTGCAGATACTCCATTTCTGTTGTTGGTATTATTTATTGCCAAATGTTGATTAAGGATCTATAAGATGATGTGTAAAATATTATAAACCTTGTTTACTTTTATATATCAACTCTTCTGGTTTTATTTACATTAAATTTGTACATGTAAATAAGATAACTCATGTATTTAATCCTTTGATTCCTTCATTCAAATAAGATCATAGGAGTAGTAATTTGTTTTATCACTCAAAAGTAATATATTTTCAGATTTAATCAGGTTTACAGCCTGAAAATACTGATAATAGCCAGTTTAAATATTCTTTTATTAGCCAGCCTGCTTTTCATATATACAAATGTCCATTTTTTGTGTGTCTGCATGGATCACTTTATTTAAGAGGTAATTTTATACGGTACTAAGCACTGAAGGGAAAACTTAAAAAGGTCAATGTGTAGCCCATATTACTTTACCACACTGTTGTAGGATATCTTCCAATGCCTGGGCAATTCTAGTGGAATAGGATTATTCTTGAATTGAAATTATTAAGTTATGCAGCTTTTCTCATCATATTTATAAATAATGGACAGGCCCAGTCTTGCCTGTGACTTCATTAATGTGAGAAACTATCTGCTTGATGTTTTGCTTCATTCTAGGTAGAAGGGGAACAAACCCCTTTGACTTGCCAGTCTTAGAAGCTAGTCCTATAAGTGCATCTTCAATAGTGGTTGAAACTGAAAGACAACATAGGCGATGCTTATAAATACAGGTGAAACTCGAAAAATTAGAATATCGTGCAAAAGTTCATTTATTTCAGTAATGCAACTTAAAAGGTGAACCTAATATATGAGATAGACTCATTACATGCAAAGCAAGATAGTTCAAGCTGTGATTTCTCATAATTGAGATGATTACAGCTCATGAAAACCCCAAATCCACAATCTCAAAAAATTACACTATTATGAAAAGGTTCAATATGCTAGGCTCAAAGTGTCCCACTCTAATCAGCTAATTAAGCTATAACACCTGCCAAGGGTTCCTGAGCCTTTAAATGGTCTCTCAGTCTGGTTCAGTAGGAATCACAATCATGGGAAAGACAGCTGACCTGACAGTTGTGCAGAAAACCATCATCGACACCCTCCATAAGAAGGGAACGCCTCAAAGGGTAATTGCAAAAGAAGTTTGATGTTCCCAAATAATAATAGAAAGTTATGTGGAAGGGAAAAGTGTGGAAGAAAAAGGTGCACAAGCAGCAGGGATGACCGCAGCCTGGAGAGGATTGTTAGGAAAAGGCCATTCAAAAGTGTTGGGGACTTTCACAAGGAGCGGAGTGAGGCTGGAGTTGGTGCATCAAGAGCCCCACACACAGATGGATCCTGGACATGGGTTTCAAATGTCGTATTCCTCTTGTCAAGCCGCTCCTGAACAACAAACAACGTCAGAAGCGTCTTACCTGGGCTAAAGAAAAACAGAACTGGTCTGTTGCTCAGTGGTCCAAAGTCCTCTTTTCTGATGAGAGCAACTTTTGCATCTCCTTTGGAAACCAAGGACCCAGAGTCTGGAGGAAGAATGGAGAGGCACACACTGCAAGATGCTTGAAGTCCAGTGTGAAATTTCCACAGTCTGTGTTGATTTGGGGAGCCATGTCATCTGCTGGTGTTGGTCGACTGTGCTTCATTAAGTCCAGGGTCAACGCAGCCGTCTACCAGGAGATTTTGGAGCACTTCATGCTTCCTTCCGCAGATGAGCTTTATGGGGATGCTGACTTCATTTTCCAGCAGGACTTGGTACCTGCCCACACTGCCAAAAGCACCAAAACCTGGTTCAATGACTGTGGGATTACTGTGCTTGATTGGCCAGCAAACTTGCCTGACTTGAACTGCATAGAGAATCTAGGGGGCATTGCCAAGAGAAAGATGAAAGGCATGAGACCAAACAAGGCAGAAGAGCTGAAGGCCGCTATTGAAGCATCCTGGTCTTCCATAACACCTCAGCAGTGCCATAGGCTGATAGCTTCCATGCCACACTGCGTTGAGGGAGTAATTGCTGCATACGGGGCCCAGACCAAGTACTGAGTATATATGCATGCTTATACTTTTCAGAGGTCTGATATTGTTCTATGTACAATCTTTGTTTTATTGATTGCATGTAATATTCTAATTTTCTGAGATTGTGGATTTGGGGTTTTTATGAGCTGTAAGCCATAATCATCACAATTGTGACAA